ACAAGGGTAACAAGGGTAACAAGGGTAACAAGGGTAACAAGGGGTAACAAGGGTAACAAGGGTAACAAGGGTAACAAGGGTAACAAGGGGTAACAAGGGTAACAAGGGTAACAAGGGTAATAACAAGGGTAACAAGGGTAACAAGGGTAACAAGGGTAACAAGGGGTAACAAGGGTAACAAGGGTAACAAGGGTAACAAGGGGTAACAAGGGTAACAAGGGTAACAAGGGGTAACAAGGGTAACAAGGGGTAACAAGGGTAACAAGGGGTAACAAGGGGTAACAAGGGTAACAAGGGTAACAAGGGGTAACAAACTGTAACAATGGTAACAAGGGTAACATGGGTAACAAGGGTAACAAGGGGTAACAAGGGTAACAAGGGTAACAGGGGTAACAATGGTAACAAGGGGTAACAAGGGTAACAAGGGGTAACAAGGGTAACAAGGGTAACAGGGATACCAAGGGTAACAAGGGTAACAAAGGGTAACAAGGGTAACAAGGGTAACAAGGGGTAACAAGGGTAACAAAGGGTAACAAGGGTAACAAGGGTAACAAGGGGTAACAAGGGTAACAAGGGGTAACAAGGGTAACAAGGGGTAACAAGGGGTAACAAGGGTAACAAAGGGTAACAAGGGTAACAAGGGGTAACAAAGGGTAACAAGGGTAACAAGGGTAACAAGGGTAACAAGGGGTAACAAGGGTAACAAGGGTAACAAGGGTAACAAGGGGTAACAAGGGTAACAAGGGGGTAACAAGGGTAACAAGGGTAAAAAGGGGTAACAAGGGTAACAAGAGGTAACAAGGGGTAACAAGAGTAACAAGGGTAACAAGGGTAACAAGGGTAACAAGGGGTAACAACGGTAACAAGGGTAACAAGGTTTACAAGGGTAACATGGGGTAACAAGGGGTAACAGGGGTAACAAGGGGTAACAGGGGTAACAAGTGGTAACAAGGGTATCAAGGGGTAACAAGGGTAACAAGGGTAGCAACGGGTAACAGGGGTAACAGGGGTAACAAGGGGTAACAAGGGGTAACAACGGTAAGAAGTGGTAACAATGGGTAACAAGGTAACATGGTAACAAGGTAACAGGGGAACAAGGTGACAGAGTAACAAGGTAAGAGGGTGAAGGGGTAACAGGGTAACAAGGTAACCTTTTTTTTTGAAGGAGGGCCATTGTAAGTAAGAGAGTTCAAGGCAAATGGCACGGGCTGAGGAATGGTGGAGGGGTGGTTTGAGGTTAATGTTTGACTACGTAGATTTGTGACATTTTGATTTCAGGGGTATAAATTTGTTAAATTTGAGACACTATTATTAAGGACTAAGAGTACAGTGCAACAACGATAGTTGCATTTGTTCGTCAAACAGACTAGCCTTAAAGGGCCTTCTTGGATGAGCCTTTACAAAGACTTGCAGGGATATCTCGTCTTCCTGGAATCTCTCGGAGTAGTATATGTCGATCTACTGTGAGATCTGAAAATCGGTCTTGAGGCGTTGTTGACCTAGCGCAGGTCTTGATTCATTTTATCAGTGAAAAGGACGGCTCAGCTTCTGCGTTTGTGATGGGTAGGGTGGAGGCAATGACCAAAAGGCGACAGATGTTTTGAAAAGCATCTTCATCGCAAACACCAGGTGCTAATATAAGGTTGTTTGGAAGCCCTATACCCGTTGACCGCCAGAATGTTTTCCATCTACTTAGTACCTAATTTCCAATGGATTTGAGAAATGGAATATCTTTCTTGCAGAACAGCATGCCTTCTACTTCATCATCCACCTGCAGTGCCTTATTTACTATAATCGATGGGACGACACAAAGCAGATGGCGGGCGTGGCGATCTTCGTCAGAAAATCGAAGTTGCATTTGGATGATTTAAAGGAGTCTAGAAGAGGATTAGCTACAGTCTTCTTGTAATGATCGATTTGACTGGAACTAACATTATAACTTATAATATCATATTTGGCATGAAAAAGGGATAGACATGGGTAGCCAGACAAGTTTGAAAACTTCCCAAAGGGGAGGTTGCACCCCCCCAACCCTCCCCCTTGATCCGCCTCTGGATATGTAACAAAGAAGACTGGAAACAATGCGATTTCGCAAGCGCATCAGAAATGTTAAAAGAGGCCCACCATTTTCTTAGCGAACAATAGCTTCGGCCGTCATGAATGTCATAATACATCGGGATAATCCGGACTGGTAAAAGGATGTGATTTTTGATAAAAATAAAAAATCAAAACACAAAGTTCTGCTTGACTTGTTTAGAAAATAGTTTGTTTAATTTTTAATAATCAACTAACAGCTCACTGATTTATTAATTTGGGCTACCAACCTGGAGGCCTGGGTACCCCAGCTAAAATCTCCGCGAAAATTTTATTTGGGCGACCATCTTTTAGGCCTGGGCACCCCAGCTAAAATGCTTAGGAGCCCCAGGGCTCCCTGATAATTTTCCTTAGCGCACAGCCTTGCGAGCTGTAGTTATTGGTCTGATACATTACATGCTGTTGTTGAATGTGGAAGTGCATTTATTGAGGATATTAGAAAAGACGGAATGCAAATGGTAGTGAATTACCTCCTACTCTCAACATATATGGTGGTAATATTGATGTAAGTTTTGTTTTGAGGAGCCGAACCTTTGTGTGTAACTCATCTTCTAGTGTACTTAACAGAACATCTCCGTCTCTCCTGCACACATTTGTTGTGGATACTTTGCTCAACTTCTAGTGCCATTCAACATAATTCTTACTTACACCAACACCTCCCACTTAAAGGCCTTCAGGCGTCTTCTTGTTCATATAGGTATATGTGCCTGATTTTATCGCCATTTTTATCTGAACTGGCGGGTAAAGACATTGCCCATTTTAGTCTAGAATCGGGTAGGGTTTTCGAGGAAACTACGGGAGTGTATGAACGTATTTATTCTGGGGCACGTAACGTCAATATTCGGAAAATATCTGTTCGGAAGACGATTTGAGATCTAGAATTTTCGGAACATTTGTTGTAAAATTTCTTGTTTGCCTGCCTCTCCTAGGATTTTCGAACATCTATAAAATGTTATAATTGCCCATTTTTAACGGATTTTTACCCTAAAAAGCTCACCTAGAATTTTCGGGAGCTTTTTTCTGGCTGAAATTTTCGGAAAGGTAAGTTTTGATCCCTATCATTTTCGGATCCCTAGACTTTCAGCTAGGCAATCCGAACAGATGAAAAATTTTTAGAGGATACAAATATGCCTATATTCACCGTTTAAATGCTAAAATACGTTTAACAACGCTATGTTTAAATGGTTTTGAACTATATTCTCGTTGGGTGCCCCTGTTTATTGTTTCAATTCCAAACAGAACTTGCCTGCGCGCAGACGTCTCCTATTTCCTTTGTTGCAACAAAGGAAATAGGAGACGTCTGCACGCAGGCAAAAACGGAACAAGAAAGAAAGGGAAATGTGCGAATCAAGTGGATCTTCAGAAGTCTTTTTTTTGTTAGCGTCCTAATCTAAGTAATGATGACATGATTAGCTATGATTTCTTGGAGGCCAGGTCTGGAAAGGGTATGGATTTTAGGGGCCGGCTGAAAACGGGTGTAAACAATGGCTTTTTTCGGTCTGAAAGTAGGGTCAAGATTTGGATAACTAGGCGGCACACCCCCACCAAGAATTTACCGGGAGTACCTCCCCTGGGAGATATGAATGACTCCATCTCCACAATAGTTTTCCGGCCTTCACAGACAAAATATTCGCTTGACAAAAGCCTAAAGGAACGAACAGTAAATCATCAGATAAGCAAAAATTTCCTCAGGCTTTTCAGCGCCATCACTCTTTCACTTTTTAATTCATTTTTTCCTTTTTTCTCCTGTATTTTCTTTATCTCATAAGAATAAAATAACATGAAATACTAATAAAACAGAAGAAAATATTTGTGTACTCATTCTTCACAATTTTTTGCTCTTTCAGTGCCCATGCCAGAAGCCACGCTTCAAACAAAAATAGCATTCTTGTGATACATTACCTCGATGATTTCATTTTCTTAGTCTCGATTTTCTACGAAAGTCAGTACGAAGGGAGCCTTTACGCAGCATCAATATATTCTCGGAGTTTTTTTTAGTTAAAAATAACAACCGAAAAAAATCGGTTAAGTTGAAATTAAATTTTTATGAAATATAAATAAAATTCATCTGTTACGCACGAGTTTTCGCTAATTGGTTAATTTTCAAGTCTTTCAACATACTATTAAGGCTCGTTAATTAAAATAACCTTAAAATTTAATCAAGCCTTAAAAATATGATACAAGTAAAATAAATAAATAAAATAATGTTTGATTTTGGGACACCATTTGCATGAATGCATATTTATCATGATATTTTTGTTTTTAAAGGCAGGAAGTGTGAGCAGAAAAATATCCATAAATTCCATGATGACGGTAGCGATATAATTATTATTTCCGACATACTTTTATTAATCTCGCTTACGTCAACTCCCCGAAATTTGTAAAATTCCTTGCGAAACTGTTTGCGCTGGCGAGACGTTTTTTAAAAAAAAAAACAATAATTTTTCTCAAATATTACATCCTGTCATGGTTAAAGTAATATCGTGTTTATATTGTTTTCATGATATTTATGACAATCTTTCGCTTTGTTTGTAAATAAATTAGTGCAGAATGATCTAAAAAAACCAAATAGTTTCGTTTGTCATGCAAAACAGGGTTCGATTTCTACCGCGGCGAGATAAAATGAATCACGTGATCGCCTTAAGCCAATTAGACACTAAAATCTTATCTTGTCACTCAAAGGGAATTTTGTCCCCTGCCGACAGTGTTAACCGAAAGATCAAAGATATTCTTGTAGTGCTTTCCAAAGATGAGCGCTGGATCCAGAAAACAGCTTTGTTTATGGAAACTTTAAGTGGAAATTGTTGCATCGCTACACCACTTTGGCGGTATAATTTGCGATTTCGCCTTTGCTTTTGATGGACGCTCATAACGTGACAACAGACCGCGGCGCCCGTCACTAACAAATGGCTAGTTTCAACCGCATTTTGCTGTGGTTTGTTTTAGTTGTTCATCAACTAAGCTTTTATCTCTTACTGCAAGTGGATGGCACAGTTATTAATATTTATTCATGGACAACGCCGAACACAGTTCTGGCCAATTTAAGTAGACCTGGTTGGACGAATCATGTTTTACTCTCACCGGAGCACGATGAACCGAGCGCGCTTCAGACTTTCTCTGTTGATTCAAGCAGCGGTTTAGTGCGTATGATTCGCAAACCAGACTGCAACACTCTTCGGCATAATCCGTTTACAGTTTTTGTAGAATCAACATCTATATTTAATTCATCCGAACGGACTTTAAGACCCATGAGTGTCACTGTTTTTGGAGAAAAGTGTTTTCTAAACTTTCGTAGAACAGTGAAATCTACATCTCCTGTAGGAACACGCGTGTTTAGCCTTGGACGCATTTTTACTTACTGTGAAAGACTTTTTATTGATCCTGCTTCCTTGAAACTACGAAATAATCCCGAGAGGAGATTTTTCAGATTTGGCACCAAATCGGATTATTTAGTTCTTCGAAAATCTTTACTTGAAGTTAAAGAAAATGTTTTAAAGGTCGATATCGTATCTGAATTTCCGGCGAGCAAGTATGGAGGCAGAAACAAACAAACCATTATTGCGCGAATCGAATTCTTTGTTGATGATAGCAAGGCTAATTTTTTCAACAAAGTGCGGCGATTTCGCCGGGCGATCCAGTTCTCTCCTCCACGATTTTCCAACACGGATTTAACAGCTCCGGTTAGCGAGGATGCTCGCGTTGGAACAACTGTTACAACCATCCAGGCTCAAGATACGAACAATGGATATGCTGGGAAAATTACTTACAGAATGGAAGCTAATCAAAATCTTCTCAGTCAAACATTCTTCTCTATCAATTCTGATACCGGACTCATAAAGACCGTAAAGTCGTTGGACCGCGAGAGTATGTCTGAGCACTCTTTTGATGTTTATGCAGAATATGAAGAGCACAGGTCATTATATGCCAAAGCATATCTAAGAATTGTAGTGGGTGATATTAATGACAATGCCCCTAAATTTGAATCCCCATCTTACAGTGAGGTTATACCAGAGAATGTCAATGTTGGTTATGTTGTGACTGATGTAAGAGCTGAAGACAAAGATGAGGGAAAAAATGCTGACATCCGTTATGCTATCACTAACTGGGTTGGAGTTAATCGAGTGTTCAAAATTCATGAAAGTAGTGGGACTATCTTTGTTGATCATCCACTTGATCGTGAAACTGTCCCACAGTACTCACTAACAATCCAGGCCAGCGATCAAGGTTCCCCACCCAAAACTGACCAAACAACTGTGCGGATAACAGTCACTGATGTCAATGACTGTGCACCCCAGTTTTCAAAAAAAGAATACAGGAAAGAAATACGGGAAGATATCAAACCTGGTAATCTAGTTCTGACAATAAATGCAACTGACAAGGACACTGGTAGCAATGGAGAGGTGGAGTATAGCTTCACTAGTGGAAATGACCAAGGACTGTTTTCCATTAACCGTCTTAATGGACAGATCAAAGTAATCAAGTCTCTTGATTATGAGTACACTCCAGTTCATACACTTTTTGTGATGGCCCAGGATAAGGGAGAAACCCCACAATACAATGAAACATCGGTGGAGATAGAACTGATCGATGTCAACGACAATGCTCCACAATTCCCTAGTGCCGATTTTCAAGAAACTGTCTCTGAGCGTGAAAATGTGCAACACACTTTCACAAGACTACAGGCCTTTGATGATGATCAGGGCATCAATCAGCAGATAGTTTACAGTTTGGTTGGAATGAATTTACCATTTGGGATAAACAGCCAAACTGGAGATTTGTTTCTCACTAAGAAATTAGATCGAGAAACGCAAGATCGATATGAGTTTCGCATCAAAGCGCAAGACAGAGGGACGCCACCTAAGAGTAGCCTAGCAAGTGTGACAATTACTGTCGGTGATGTCAATGACAATCCCCCTAAGTTTTCACAACCAGTTTATGAAGGATCAGTGGAGGAGAATGCCAAATTGGGGAGGACCATTCTTCAAGTGACTGCAACTGACCCAGATCTTACTCAGCGGGATCCAACATACAGACTTGATCCCCATCAACCACGGTGTTTTCGAATTTCTAGTCGTGGAGTGATAACATTAATCTGTCGCCTGGACTACAGCAAGAAAAAATTCTTTCTTCTGACCGTAAAAGCCAGGGATAATCTTTTAGAAAGCTCTGCTATTGTGCGCATCAATATAACAGACTCAAATACACACCCACCAATTTTTAAGCAGCGCATTTACCAGAAACCGATAAGTGAAGCCACTGCCAAAGGTGTAAGGGTACTCTTTGTAAAAGCAACAGATGATGACCAAGGATTGAATGCTAAGATCACTTATGCTTTCGAACGACCTCAGCGAGATTTTAACATTAATCCTGACACTGGTGAAATAACTGTTGCAAACTCCTTGGATCGGGAATCAACTCCTCAGTACAGATTTGATGTAAGTGCAACTGATCACGGAAATCCACGATTAAAAGGAACTGCTAATGTGCATATTACAGTGACAGATGTGAATGATAACGAACCTCGATTCCTGCAGTCAAACTACGGAAAAGAAATTAAAGAGGATGTCAGACCAGGTACAAAGGTACTGGTGGTTTCTGCTGTGGATGATGACGATGGCTCCAATAAAGCTATCATATATTCATTTGCAAGAAATGGTAAGTGTAATGCTTAGTTTAACATCTGAGTTAGACTTGAAAGGTAGACATTACAGCATGAGTACGGTATGTGTAGAATTCAGTGTAATCAAGGAATGCATGTTCAAATGGGGTATTGTTAACCCTTTAAGTCCCAATATCCACACACAAATTCTCCAAACTGGTCTCCATACATTTCCTTCAAGAATTATTCGAGAGAATTTGTTAAAAGATCAAATATTTTTCTCTTTGTGATCATTTTGTTAATTCTCATAGACTTTGCTTATGACAGTCTATGGATATTGTTAGGAGAAAATTGATCTTGAGCACTATTGGGACTTAAAGGGTTAACTCTTTTGGTTTCAAGAGTGTTCAAAACCAATTTTTTCCTATTCAAGAGAAATGGTTATGTGAATAAACAAAACAACCACTGAAGGGAAAATACTTTAATCTGATTTGATTTGAACAAATTCTCTCACTTAATTATTTAAGGAAAAGTATAGAGGTCACTAGAGGAGAATGCAATTATATGATAAGAACTGGACACTAAGTTCTAAATGCCCAATAGGAGCCTGGTTCTAGTTTATCGGACCACGTTGTGCTTGTTTTATGTTCTCATCATAAATAGGAATTCATCCATTTCACAGACACGCATGTTTAATTCAAACGGCTATTCTTGCTAAAGAATGATGAGAGTTAACATAGAAAGAGAGCAACATGGTCCGATAAACTAGTACCAGGCTCCTATTGGGCATATAGAAATTAGTGTCCAGTCCTTATCGCATTACTGCATTGTTCTCTAGTCAGTGTAGAGAATTTGTATGTGGATATTGGGGCTAAAAGCAAGAGGGTTCTGTAGCAGCACCCAGTGGCCTCTGGCACCTAAGTTTAGCTTCCAGGAGGAAGAATTCGTATGCTGGGAACCCTGGATTTCACAGGTTCAGAGCACGGGGCTCCCCCCTCTTTTTCTCACAACACAACCTTGCTTAAAGTTTTGAAGGTAGGAGTGTGCCCATTACCTGTATGAATGCTTTTACCATATAAGAAGTGGGTTGCAGTTAATACTGTACAAGGAGATGAACTTTGAGCGCAATTTGTGGAGATTTAATTCACTTATACCTTCTTTAAACTGGCGTCTTATAAAAGTGCTCTTTCGGTCTCCTCTTTTAGGTGATGGTGGAGGTGCTTTTCAGATTGATAGCACTCAAGGAGTCATCAGAACTTTACTAAGGCTTGATCGGGAAACCATCCCCGTGTATCAACTGACTGTAGTTGCTGCTGATAAGGGACGCCCTTCGTTGAGCTCGTCAGTGAAAGTTAAAATCACATTGAAAGATGTGCGCGACAGCCCCCCAAAATTTACAAAAGACCCTTACATTGTGTTCAAAAGAGAGGACATCAAGGAACGTTCTGATGTGGTTAAAGTCGAAGCTGTGTCGCAAGATGATGTTTCTCAAACAGAAGGATATCCCATTGTGTACAGCATTATCTCTGGCAATGACCCTCTGACATTTATCATTCAAAGGAATGGAATGATTCAGACCAAAACTAAATTGGACTATGAAAAAAAATCTGAGTACATCCTTAAAGTTCGTGCCACATCATCGCCATACTTTGTGGAAACAATAGTGAATGTTACATTGGTTGACGTCAATGATAACCCTCCAGTACTTCAGAATTTCGTTATGGTTATTAACATTATCGGAGACAAGTTCCCGAAACAACCCTACTTCAAAATACCAGCCTACGATCCTGATGTCTCTGACCATCTCACTTACGAAAGTACACATATTGAACAAGGTGCCTGGGTGGCCCTCAACAGATCAACTGGAGAGCTACGTGTTAGTCCTACCTCACTGAACACTGGAAAAACCATCAATGTTGTTAAACTAAAAGTGAAGGTTTCTGATTCTGGATCCAACACTGCGACAGCAAGTGGGCAAGTCATTGTGACATCTGTTATACCAGAGATGTTAAAGAAAAGCTTGACGCTTGACATTTATGGCGAAACTATTCAGGAATTTTTTCATTCTTCTTATGTGCGACTGGTAAAAGCAATAGCTAATGTTATTTCCTGTGACCCTGACCAGCTTAAGTTTTTTCACATCACTTCCAAATTGTTAAAAGCGAAAAGACCAAGGGAAGATGATATTTCACAACTGAAGGTCTGGTTTGCTGTTTATAAACTTGACAGCATCCGCAACCGAGTTAGCTTTTACGACCCTGGGTATGTAAGGGATTTAATCTTTATCAACATGATGCAGATTTCAGAGGAAGCAAAGCTCAAGCTACTACCCTTTGAAGATAATCTTTGTGTGAAAGAGGTCTGTAATGGTGCATTGGTGACATCCAGGGTAGCTTGTATGGCATACACAAACTACACTGGTGAATCCAACACTTACAGTTCAACAACAGTGGTTTTTCGAACAGTTGGTGTGCAAGAAAAATACAGATGTGCCTGTGCTCCATACTACCGTAGTCGAGACTGTGATAAGGTTTTAAATCTTTGCTACTCAAATCCTTGTCAAGACCAGGGGAAATGTGTGAGTGTGGAAGGAAACTACTCATGTATTTGTAATCCTGGAAGAACTGGCAGAAACTGTGAAATTCAGATTTCAAAAAGTAAATGTCCCAGTGACTCAAAAACTTTTGAGAATAATCTTAAGTTAAACCCATGTAGGAATGGTGGCAATTGCAAGGATAGTTCATCTGGCGGTTTTTCATGTGTTTGTCGCAAGGAGTATCCACAAGATGGAAAATTTTGTGAGTTGACTACACGTAGTTTCAAGAAGGGAACTTATGTTGCATTTCCAGGCAAGTATCTTCATATTTTGGATAATATTAACCCTTTGTTGCGATTTGTTTCCCTCAAATAGAAAATCATTTTCATGTTACACTGTATGTGTTGTTACCAGGGAGAAGAGGGGGGGGGGCTCCCATATAATAGTGCAGTGCAGAGGTGCTGAGTTTTCAAAGAAAAATTATGAATTTGACCATAACAGAACACAAAAATCAGCAATACCATGAATGTGCTTTGGCATGTCAATACAGTGTAAGACAAATTTCTTTGGAAATAAATTCCGTCAGTGTTCCTGACATGGTTGATCAAATGTTTCTCCCCAGCTTTAAAACAAAGATGGCTTCTACACATCAAACTGGAGTTTACCACTACGGAACACAGTGGTTTACTTCTATATAATGGTCGCTATGATGGCAAACATGACTTCATTGCTGTGCTGGTGATCAAAGGACAAGTGCAATTGAGGTTTTCTGTCTTCTCTCAAACTATCGCCGTCACGTCAAATATCAATAGTGGGGTGGCAGATGGCAAGTGGCATAAGGTTGAAGTATCTTTTCTGAACAGGGTATGGAAGTTTTTATTGCTTTTAGTTTTAAAATAACATGGTTTTACACATTTTTGTATAGACAGCCCTCTACAACCCAAAGACACCAGAAATTCTGTTTTAAGGGGACACTTGGGAAAGCCACTTTGGTGCCAGTATTTAAGGAAATTTGATTGAATTAAGACTGAGTTCTACAAATGCAGCACATTTCGATCAAGTTGGCTGTTTCAAAACTTTTACTTAGTCACCGTATTATATCCCATTTTGTTCAGGTGACCAGTTATGTGATACTGTTATCTTTGTGGTGTTTAACCCAGCGAAGCCTTTCATTTTAGGTAGGGCAGAAAAATGTTACAGTCTCCCATATGTCTGATTCATTTATTTGTTGTTTTTCCAAAAACCAAATAAAATTAAATTAAATAATTGACATGGATTTTTAAAATAGGATATTATTGTAATGTGATCATACATTTTATTGCGCATGCATGTACATTGTACATATTGCAAGAGAATAGGTACTAGCGTTTCATATCTCACTGATAATTTTTGTACTCAAATTGTTTTCAGTAATTGTTGAACATGGCTTCTCTTAAGTGACAAATTATTCTTAGCATCAGTAGTAGTTAAGGACACTTTTTTCTTAAGTATTATTTGCATGTCTAGACCTTTCCATCTGATATTTTCCAAAAGTGCATGCCTACAATTATTTATGCATATTGTTTATTTTATTAATTGGTTGAAATAAAATATTTTAACTTGTGGTTGTTAGCCACTGTTGCTTAACTCAAGTACTGCGGAAATTCTTTACAAACATTAGCCAGTAGCAGTAAGGCTTATCTCCATTGGTTTTGTGATAAAATAATATTATCTATGCACATATGGCCAGTTCAGAGGTTATCATGCGTGAGGCAGTGTTTGTTTTCATTTGAACATGTTATGTTATTCTTGTTTTAAAGCATGGTTATTTTGCATGGCTGTGTGTACAGATTATCTCTTAACTGCCCCTGAATCTAAACAGTTTCTTGAGTCTATGCATTCTTTGGCTATTGACATGATTTCTTAAGGGGCCATTAGCTTAAAGCAAAATATTAGTAAAAGCAAACAGATGGTGGTAATAGCTATGTGGTCTCGTTTATAATATTATTAGAGTGGTTTGTTTAGGATTATTAAAAAGTGGGCTTAGATGTTGGCTTGATAAGATATCAATGCAATTTTGCAGAATTCCTTTTGAATGACCTGTAATCCTTTAAGCTCTATGACCCAACAGCATCTTATTTCTCTCTTAAACATCACTGCATGCATAATCAACCTTGAAAGTCATCAAAGTAAACGGAATAATTACTGCTCTGTATGCGATTCAATGGATGTTAGACGTTGAAATTATAATAAGGTTGGGGAGTTAATGGGGAAGATGTTTTCGCTGAGACAATGGCCGGATGGTGTTTGAACCCATCAGGGGCACCCATCGAGAATATACTTTCAAAACCACTTAAACATAGCATTGTTGAACGTATTTTAGTATTTAAAAGGTAGATATAAGCATATTTTTATCCCCTAAAAATTTTTCATCTGTTCGAATTTCCTAGCCGAACGTCCAGTGATCCGAAAAGTACAGGGATCAAAACTTACCTTTTGGAAAATTTCAGCTAGTATAAAGGCTCCCGAAAATTCTAGGTGACCCTTTTAGTGTAAAAATCTGTTTAAAATGGGCAATTATACCATTTTTTAGATGTTCGAAAATCCTAGGAGAGGCAAGGAAGCAAGAAATTTTACAACAAATGTTCCGAAAATTCTAGATCTTAAATCTTCTTCCGAACAGATATTTTCTGAAAATTGACATTGGTTGCCCCTGACCCGTGGGACCTACAATACCGGTGGGGTACCCTAACAACTAAATTACACAGGGAGTCATGGTGAGCTGCATTATATGATGGTCTTGTACGTGTGCTTCGAGCGCTGGCTGGTTTCCCTATGTTAGGGCTGGGTTGGTAAGGACACTACCATAATTATGTGGGCACTTATGCTGTATGTGTCATTGTGATCGTAAAAGGTGGGGTTTTTAATTAGTTTATTCTGGGATGGGGTGTTAAAACTAGTTCAATTTTGGAAGCAAGGACCAACTTACAAAAAAGGATCAGATCCTAATAAAGGATCTTATCAGCTATAAGTGGAAATATTGAACAAAAGAAGCTGTAAGAGCCTGAAGAAGGAAGGCCCTGCCTACCGAAATGTTGGTAACAAAAAACTATATATTCCCGACTGTAAAATCAACCTTACGTCTTTTGTAAAAACTAGAGATGTTTGGCTTGTACAAAATTGATCCATGGTATGAAGAAACGGGAGTTTCTGGTTCACAGTTAGTGGAATAGCGTAATAGGGCAGGAATTATTGATGCATAGTCTAGAATTGCAGGTGAATATGGACTTGAATTTCCAGCCCCCCCAGCTGTGCAAACAACTTCACCCTAACATTTCTAGAGTAGCGCTTCCCCCCCTCCTCCTCTCCCCTGGTGGTTGGTTCCTTGGACGGCATGAATCGTCATTATTCAAAGAATAAACATGGGCTATCCACAAAATTCAGAAAGATGCGGCCGGGACACCTGCTAGTTATATAGAAACTATTATTTATACAACTGAGAATTCTTTTAAAAAAGAAGTACAAAATTTCGCCGAAGAAAGGGTGGCGGCGGTCCTCTCGGCCGATCCGCCTAAATGCGCCCATTTTTTCATAAAACTAACTAAGATGATTTTGTTTTCTCCAGACTGGAATTATTATTGTGGATGACTGTAAACTTGCCGTAGCTGTGAAGTTTGGTACAAGAGTAGGATCGTTTTCTTGTGCGGCTGCGCAGAGAGTGGATCCCAAAGTTGAGGCAGATAACTACAAGTATGTAGAAACGATGGTATCCAAGGCAACCATTAACCAATCACAAATAATGTGTGTCCACACAAATGGTATAATTTTGAAGTTTCAACAAAGTTTTGGATAGTCTCGTTCTTTTGTCTAAATGGTGACAAGAAAACGGCTTAAATAAGCAGCTTATTACGGCGTTCTGTTGGCGAAACGTATGGGTCAGTTTTAAAAAACTTAAAATATCTCGTAAACTAAATACAATTTTACAAAGTACTGCAGTGCTAGATGTCGGTTACGGAATCATCTCTAGGTTGGCATTACTTCCGGGAAAAGATGACTAAGTAACCTCATTCCCAGGATTCTCTCCTACCCCCCCCCCCCTACGGAGCGAGTGGCGAGTGGGCGGGTAGGAGAGTACTCTGGGAACGAGGTTGATGACTAAGTAATCACTAACTTTTGATGTTCACGTACATAGTTTACAACTTTCATAGCCTTGGAGAATAATAATGGGGGATATATTACATTTAATTTGTTAACGCGTCGTTTCAAGGTTTTATAACTTGTGAGCCTTATTTTTGACGATCGTTGTTTGAAGGTCGTTGGATCTTACTGGCCCATTATTGCTCGGTGGTTCTCTTCCACTACCAACAAACTTTCCTGTCCCATACAAACATTTCACTGGCTGCATCGCAAATGTCGCCATTGATCACGTATTCCTCGACCTAAGTCGCCCAATGTATGTTAATGGAACCACAGCAGGATGCCCTGGGATGCAAAGAGATTACTGCACAAATAGACCGTGTCAGCGAGGAAACTGCTCCAGCATTTTGAAATCACATCGGTGTGATTGTCCGTCTGGCTATGGCGGTCGCTCTTGTCAAACAGGTATTTCTTTAGTTTTTTGGCTATTCACTCGTTTCACATAGACCATAATGTACCCTGTTTACCCCCCTCTCCCCCGCCCGAATTTTGCACAACCATTGTCTTCTATTTCTCTGTGATACCCAGAAGAATTGAAAGCAATGGTTATGCAATATTTTGGGGGGTAAACAAGGTGCATTATGGTCTATGTGATTATAGATCGCACGAGGGTAACACGAGGAGGGGAGAAGAGGCCTTCTCTCCTTCCTCCCCTCGTGCGCGCGTGCGTCCTCGAAATTTCTCCCTTCGCCCTAGAAAAGAACAAGCGCCCGCTACGCAGGCTAGTATTTGTTACGATGTAAGGTAAACCAAAATGCCGGGCAAAGGAAATGTATGGAGATAAGTCTAGAAAGGTTAAGAGTGAAGGGTGTGTTTTCAATTCTTTCCTCATCGTTCTCTGTCCTAAAAAGTATTTTTTATTTATACTCAACATAACCCTAGTAGTTCTCCTGTCATACGTGCATGTTTCTAATAAATTGGTTAATAATTTTATCTTTTTTCGTAGCTGTGAAGTATACCCAGCGTTTTCTAAGTCAGAGCTATATACGGATGATTTTCACTTCAAAGGTCAATCTACCGTGGAAATTCTCTCTCCGGTTTAGAACGGCAGTACCTTCTGGGACCTTGGTGGAAACTTCTTTTAAATCTTCTGTTTCATCCTTACTTGAGGTGAGTAGCGAATTAGGCCGAAAAAAGGAAGCAGGAAAAAAACTTGTCGGACATTTTGATTTAAATCATTAGCTTCGCCGAAATGTGCGGTATGCCGTAATTCTACAGCATTTGCGTCATATTACTGTGGGCTCGGATAGTGCGTTCGCTTTACATATGCGATGATATGTACCGGAACCGTGCCCGAATTCTAGAGTGGGTACTCGAAAAAAAGGTGTGTTTACATTAGTGCCCAGCGAGTATCGTACTCGGGCACTGACCCCGGGCACCAAGTGTGAACGCACCCTCAGGGTCTCAAATATCTGAGAAATGAGGGTATTCCGTTTACACTGCAAGCAGGTAGACCTTCAGCTGGCTCGGATGACCACGTCGTAAAATGGCGGCCCCCCGTTTCCAGCTGGAGACGTAAAAATAGTGTCCTCAATTAGCACCGGGATTTCTCTTACTTCGGGCTCGGGATTCGGGATTCTAAAGCAAAATCGGGGCGAGATTCGGGATTGGAAGTTTGCACGGGAGATGCGATGCCAAAACCAACCCTCGGGATTACAGGATTGAAAAACCCTACCTCGTGGCTCATTATGTCATTCTATTTTCTCTCTCTGATGTAGGTGGTGAATGGAAAACTGTCTTACAACTACAACGAGCTTTTAGTTCTTCAGGTTCCCCACGTAGCGGTCAACGATACCAAATGGCATCATGTAGAAATCCTATGGACGTACAATTCACTTCTCATTACCGTTGATTACATCTATCAAGTTTCGGCACAAACTTCGTATGGTGCAGACCTAGGGGAGGTTGAACAGTTTTTCATTGGAGCGAGGAAGAATTCTACCAAATCCGCAGTTTATGGTGGATTTAGAGGCTGTATGCAAGGTCTGTGTTTGGAGGATAGAAAGACAAAGAATTACGGTCGTTTCGCTGTATAATGAAGTCGTTTCGCTATATAATGGAGTCGTTTCGCTGTATAATGGAGTCGTTTCGCTATATAATGGAGTCGTTTCGCTGTATAATTGAGTCGTTTCGCTGCATAATGGAGTCGTTTCGCGGCATCATAAAGTCAATTCGCTAGAACCAACTTTTTTTATTAAACAGTTTACAACAATTTAGTATAGATTGAACTACAAGCGGGCAATACCGGGTTAAGTTAGCAAAACGGCACTGCAACTTTGCACCGAATCGACTTCTTTAGTTGGCCCAACCTTTCATGTTTCATCCATGTTCCTTCTTGCCATCCTTTGCAACAGGCGACGGGAAACAATTTCATTGCCAAAATATATCCTTAAATAACTGGACCACTAGTTTTGGAATTCAATTGATGCAAAAACGTCATTGCTTTTTTAAAAAGATAGCAAGTAGCATGACATGAGTGAGTCCTTTAACTCTAGTCCTAGGCTAACTGCTTGAATGGATTCTGACTACTGCTGTTCTTATCTCCTCAGGGGTTTCTGTAGGGACGACAGAGATCAACATCAATCAAGGCCAGGGCCACAATATAGCTTCTGGCTGTGAAAGCCAAATGCCAACCCACTGCTCTTCAAATCCGTGTCCTTCCTACAGCACGTGCAAGGATACATTCGATTCATACGAGTGTGTGTGTCCGTCAGGGTATGTTGGCAGGCACTGTGTGGATGTATGTTCTCTGACGCCATGTCGCCATGGGCAGTGCATAAGGATTGGTTCAGGAAGAGGATTTAAGTGTCTTTGCCCCAGACAGTACACAGGTGCGTAAGCCGTTACCGTGGTTTTTCCCGCCTGGGTTTTTGACGCGCGGTAACAAATCCTGCCAGACGTAGAGTAGACTACGACTTTCGTCAGGGATAGTAGAGCGAGCGAAACGCGAGCGCGCGTTAAATCACCCCACGCGAGAAAGGCGAGACGCGGCGGGGAGAGAGAAAAATGTCGTCGGATCGTAAGGTCCCTAATGTGCTGTTGTTGGAACACTGAAATGGCCTGTTACTCTGAAGTATTTAAACATCACTGTCACTAAATCAAAACTGCTCTGAATATTTTTTTTAGGTGAATATTGTGAGGTTCTAAAAGAGACTCCGTGTCAAGATGGATTGTTTGGGGACCCGAATATTGGAATCTGTGGACCATGTATGTGTGATGTTGGAATGAACCTTAGCCCAGTATGTAACAAGACAACTGGAGAATGTTACTGCAAGGTAAGTACCGTAAGCTCCGACGCTGTGTGACGCCGAAATAATAATTCCAACTTTCTCTTGCGCGCATTGTATGTACTTATATGCAGAAACCGCTAAAAATATATTATACAGCTGTTTCGAGAAAGGTTATCGGAAAAAGTGCACGCGACAATCCCGAAAGGTATTGTGGGTGGTTTAGAGTTCACTGTTCTTCAAAGAAATTTGGAAAAATGGCACGAGAGGCCATGGACTTATGTTTGAAAGTGCTAAAGGAAAGCAACAAAACTAAGTTCGACAGCTACAGTGTCAGGAACAGTGTATTGATCATATCCCATATTACCTTTCGGGATTGTCGCGTGCACATTTTTCTCCGACAACCTTTCTGGAAATAGCTGTATACAGTTGAACCACTTCTTCGGGAAAACCTTCGCAACACGGACACTTTTCTTTCACAAACAGTTCCACTGATCCTGAGGATGCAAAACTTCAGTCATACCTGAAAATAGCCAGTTGAGATCTTTGTCGAGGACGGAGAATAGCCACCCTATAAACCTCGGTTATTTTCATTTAAAGAGGTTAAGCTCTCCCCCGATCGCAAAATGTTAAAGCTTCTAACTTTTGTTAACTTGTTTGCGCTCAGTCACCACGACATTCTCCGTAAAACCGCGTAGTAGAATGACGACGGCTATTACTTTTTCCCGCCAAAATGTCGCTGGTTCACGCGCGCGCCCTACCTAGTATTAAGAAAATCTAATTCTCGTAGTCGTCCTCGGTTTAAAATCGAAGGGTCTCTAATAAAAGAAGAAATATCGTCCCAAAACAGCCCCACAATGCATTTCGACACAACACCAACCCAATGTCGCGCCGCGCGCAACCGTAGTCTGACAGTACAATTTTACAATGCTGTCTTCATTGAATACTGACTTCCACCAACGTGTTTTTTTTTTTAGCCAAAACACTATCGCAAGTTTTTAAGCTACATCTATTCATTGAGCGAGAAGAAGACGCCTGTTTACAGCGATGAATGTTATAAGTGTGACTGTGAAGATATTGGTAGCACAGGAGAGGTCTGTGCAGTAAAGAATGGACAGTGTCCTTGTCAAAAGGGTAAAGGTGGAGCTAAAGATGTGGTCGGACGGCGATGTGATACTTGTCAAGATAGACAAGGTGAAATCATCAGGGCAAGAGGATGTGTGGGTAAGTGCGCTTAGGGCTCTGAGAGAGGCTCTTTGAGCCTTTTAAAGCGAAAGTAAATTAAAAAAAACAAATTAAAAAAACGATAACGTGAGACAGTGTTTTGCAGCAAAACGAACAAGTGCCTCGAAATGCTTTTGATTCAATGGAACAACACCGAAATGGAAGGAGTTAAGATAACGAGGATCACCCCTCGAACTTGAAAATTGCAGATATCCTTTTTAAGACGCCGAAACCGTAACATCTCGTGGAATTACATTGTTATGAATCCCCCAAGTTCTGTCTTTTTAGTACGTATTGCAAATCCCCTGAAAGTAGACTGAATCCCCTGGAGTTAGAAGGCTCATTTCTTAAGACAGTCCATGTTATGTTTTAGTTATAAACACTTCCTGCCCAAGAGCGTTTGCTGAGGACATATGGTGGCGGAAAGCTGATTTTGGTAAATTATCTGAAGAAAACTGTCCGTTTGGATCTACAGGTAATTATGTTATTTTTTTTCGTTTAGAAAAGGTACTCAGAATATACTTAGAATTGAAACGCTATGCTGTGAAAATGTGCGGACTGCCTTCTTTGGATATTTAATCAATCAACAGGTGACACAAGTGGCCTGAACTGGCAAAATTGCCTCAGTTTGAACGAACTTGTCGCGTGGTTGTTGTGTAAAACCGTCTGATACAGCAGGGCGTATGGGGGAAGGGGGTGGGGGAATGGGGCGATCCCTTTGGTGTGGTCGGGAAAGGGACGTATACGGGGCAACGTGATTTTTGGCAGCTGTTAACAGAGCTGAGCTCTTAAAGTGCCACCTCTACTTTTAGTGAAGCTGTGAAGCTTGGAAAAGATTAAATTATTATGTTTTGTATAACTGATTTATTCTGCATGCTTCTGACTAAGATATGAATGTTTTTTTTAGGCAAAGCTTCTCGCTTTTGTGATAAGGATGACGGATGGCAGAAACCAAGCTTATTAGACTGTGTTTCCAACTCATTCTTGGCGTTACAGAAGCAGGTGAACGAAATGAATTACTGTGCTAAGACATTTTCTCATCGTTAAAATGCTGTAAATCGAGTCTCGAAAGTAACCTATAGCCCCTTTAGTGATTCTTCTTTTGAAATTTGCCACTTAAGTTAGAGAAGGAGAACTGGGGCCGAAATGCGGCCCGCCGTCGTTTCTGGGAACGCGCCCGTCAGCTATTGGCTAATTTTTTTCCCTGTCCCTAGTAACAATCCCAGTAATCTTAGCGAAAGTTAGCTCGCCCCAGTTTTTATCTCGTTATTTAAGTGGCAGATTGAACCGATTCGCTTTAATCCATAAGCAAATTGAACTCCTTTCCCCTCATGAATGTTTTAATTCCCCGAAGAAGCCCTGCGAGTAGAGGCTACTTTTTCACGATGCGTTTCTTTTCGCGCGTCAGTAAAACCTTTTCCTAGTCCTATTGTCTTCTAAATTAACCTTGCTCAATTGAGTTTACACAATGTTTTTCTCTTTCTCTTTAGTTGGCAAACTTGACATCTGGCCTTGTGAATTGGGATACAGATTTTGCCCTTGGCGTAGCCAACAGAATAGAACTCGCAATAACACTGTCACCGCGGTTATATGCCAAAGACGTTGAAATCGCCCTCAAGATTATAACAACCCTGTTTGATTATGAGAGTCAGCAGAATTCCAGCACGCTTGTATCCGCAAGGACAAATGAGTTTGCTAAGGTACACGGCAATCATTTTTATCAACCTGCTTATTCTCTTTACAGTTCTCTAGTCGTTTCTTATCATGCAGGTAGGGAGAATCTGACAATTTGAGGTGTAGGCGTTTTACCAAATCATTGTCATCAGTTGCTTCAACCATTAATTTCCGAGAGTGACGAAAATCAATTTTCTCCTAACGATATCAATTTATAATCAAGACAAATGTTGTGAGAATATATAAAGTAATCACTTCATGGAAAACGCTTTGATCTTCAAACAAATTCTCCCAACTAATTTATTAAGGAAATGTATGGAGATCAGTGTTGAGAATTTGTATTTGGATATTGGGGCTTAAAGACTTAGGCACCTCAGTATTGGTACTAGGCTGTTCCAAAGGGGGACCGCACCCTCTCTCCCCCTTTTAATCTGTCAATGATAACTCCGTATTTGATTTGTATTCACAGGTCCTGCTTCAGTCTACCAGTATGCTTTTCAGTTCTGATAACAAGGATGTGTGGGATTATGTGCAACAGGTAAATGGATTTCAGGAAAAACCATTCTTTTGTAGAACTGTTTTCCAGTAAGGCCAGGGAGGATTTGGTTTTCAAAAATAGGAAGGGTGAAGGAAAGTATGTTGCAGTTTATGTAAAGCACGTCGTTTATTACCTGTGAGAGGGGGGGGGGGGTGGTTGCGGCCATTTTGGGAAAGGTTAGAAGATTTTCAAACGGACCCCCCCCCAACTTCGTCCAAGCTTTTTTTTAGAATTGATCCTCCCGTAAATTTTACAGGTTGTGAAATTGCCCCCCACCCGATTGATGTGAAGACTACGAATTTTCCAGCTACAAATCGTGCCAAAGTTCACCATTTAATTCAATTCCAATTGACGTTCGTTACTGCTTTGTACTTCTTGCATTGACCTCCCCCCCGGTAATGATCCCTTATCTGAAAATGACCCCCAAAACCAATAAATATTTTGAAAGTGATCCCCCCGATAAATCCCCCCCTCCCCCCTCACAAGTAATAAACGACCAGACCCTAAATACGCATTATTATTTTCATGTCAGCAAATAACACTGTTAGCTAGAAAGATCTTTCAGTTGTTTTTAGTAGGCATTGCTCTTGTTTATTTAAGTGACCGCGGAATTGAACGAGCGTAGAGGTTTTGTTTTTTTAACTTAACAGTATGTTTCCAATTTTTTTTTCCCTCAGCATTCTGCAGGGACGGCTGCTCTTCTTCAGCAGATGGAAAACTTCAGTGGTAACCTCGCAAGTAGCCTTCCTTACCTCAAGAGAAAATCACATCGAGCCAGACGCGATACAGACAAAGTTATCCTTCCCTACACGATACTCACTCCAAACATTGGTAAAGAACATGTTGATAAATAAAGCGTTCTATTGAGTTGCTATTCAAACTTGTTCATGGAAAAGCAGAACAAAATGAAGAATTATTTATCTGAAGTAAATTCTGATTCAGGCTCAAGAAAACTCTGAGGAGAGCTGGGAAATGATTCTGAAACGATTCTGAGCATTTTGAAAAGTATTTTGTTAGATTTTTTTTAAATTCTGTGGACTTTCGTTGCTGATCGTTACATCCTCAAGCCCCAGTGTGAAACGTTTCACATTGCACGGAAGTGTAAGACTTAATTCTTATCCTTAGCCCATTTCTCGTTTGTATGGCCTGCTAGAAACGAGAAGAGGAAACGAAAGAGAGCAACTTTTCGCTCCCTTTTTTTCGGGCTCTCTCTCCCCTGTTGAGAAAATCAATTAAAAATAGCCTGTCCTGTTATTTGTTTTCTAGTTATGGAACTGCATCCAGTGTTTGTAAATGGTTTTGAAGGATTTTCATACCCATCAAAAACTGACCTTTATAGCGATGGACAGTACAAAATCTGGCGAAATATCTCCAGCAGGGTCGACATCCCCAAGACGTTCTTCAAAGGTATGAAAGGTGAGACAGAGTTATCGATCCTAAAGATCTCTTTAACCGTTAATCAAACTGAAACTCAGGAGATCTTGTTCATTGCATTGTTATATTCGAATCTAAATATCTCATTATTATCCTCAGGAGTAATCTTGAGAAACAATTCACAAAAAATGTAACAAGGGTAAGGGATTCTTTGAAGTAAGCGAAGAACAGATTATGAATCTTAGGGCTAGGCTTGGTATGCAGGGCTTCAAAGCAGTTAAGAGTGATAGAAGTAATATGTCTTCGTTCTCAACCAGGAGTTTAATATGGCTGGTATCAGGGAAGTTGTGAGGGGTAGAAGTAATATGATAACTTTCTTTTCACCCAGTCGTTTCGTATGGCGAGTTTCACAGATGTTTTTAGGGAAGAGGTAATATGATATATTTCTTTTTACCCAGGAATAGACAACGATTTAGGAATTGGTTTTATGATAATACGAAACATCGGAGACTTACTTCCCAAGTCATTCGACGCTAAAATAAGGTGAGTAACTGATATTTCCCCTTAATTTGTACTCAGGTACCCGCTTTTCCCCTGAACGTTTAGACAAAATGGCCTCGAAACTGTAGCGAACGAGTAGTTACTCAGCTTGTTGTAAAACGTAGCAAGTCAGCCTATGAGGAACCTCTTTATTTGGATTTTCAAGAGTGAGATTCAACATGGTGCGATTTGCGAGAGTGAAGAGAAGCAAGCCGCGAGTTTTTCCCCACTTCAGAAACTTTAGATAGAATGGGTACAAAATTTGTGTGCAGTGATTTCTGGGATAGTTTGGGTGGCCAAGCGTTAGCTATAACTTGTCAGTGGTATCCAAGGCAACCATTAACCAATCATAAGTAATGCTTGTCCACCCAAACGATCCCAGGAATCGTTGCGCCGAACGCTTGTACCCATTCCCCTCATAGTTTCTGAGGTGAGAAATTGGAGAGAGGCTGGAGTCCACCAGCCTTCCGCCCGGGCGTTTTTAGTGGAGTAGTTTGCGGGCGTGAGAGGCAAGGAGTCCACAAACAGACAGATAGAACAACAGACTGACTGTCAGCAGACATGCAGATGGTAGTTGAACTACCTTACTTATGTCTATAAGGGGCTAAACGATCCTGAAATTGTGAAAAGCCGTTTGCTAATCTATTGTCGCATTGGTATCTTCTCAGGGACACAAAGTACAATGTAGAAGTCACCTCTGATGTGATAACTGTTAATCTTCCGGAAATGGAGAGTATGTCTCTCAACGACCCAGTTCAAATCTTCTTCGCTAACCGTCTGGTACGTATTGTGGCTCTGCCGATTAAATTTTTGTTTTCAGTGCTAAAGAGATGTGTCTTTTGGACGGACACCATTGCAACTGGCACAGTGTACGGTTAAGTGAGGTGTGCAGTTGTTCGTCTAATAGGCAGTGAAGGAAAAAGAAGGACGATTGGGGGAGTTTAACTCTAGGTGTCCGTTGCGAGAGAGATGACTGTGTCGTGGAACTTAACCCCGTAAGCATCAATATCTACATACAAATTCTCCCGACTGATCTACATACATTTCCTTGTAGAATGTAGTTGAGAGAATTTGATAAAAACTCAAAGAACTTTGTTAGGAGAAAATTGATGTTGTTAGGGTAAATTGCCGTTGCATAAGGCAGTTGTTTAAGCAATTTCATAGCCGTAAGGAAGCTCTTATCTTTTAAATATCGCGAAGCTGATAGCTCTATATAATAGCACTTAGCCTGTTCCATGCGTACAGATAGTGGAGTCGGGGCTTTCTCTCCCCCCTATCCTCCCACCCTCCTAGCTTACGTGAACTCCCGGAGCAGGATAAATAGCACTGTCCAATGCAGTGTTTTCATAAACTATTAAGGTTGCGACATGACACACTGTTAGCGATAAACCAATCCTCCAAGCTTACCGACTCTTCTTCATTCTAGGTCAATCGTTCGTCGTATATTTGCGTTCATTGGAACTATTCAGTACCGTAAGTATAAATATACCAAACCAAACACAGTTACTATTTTACGAAAGTGAGATCGCCCCATATATTGTCAATAGACTTAAAAGTTAGAGCCCTATATCGTGTGGTGTTGCGCGGCATGTCTTGACGTTTGTAGTGAAACTGGGTGGTTTCACATTGACGAAGTAAATATATTTTTATGGGATCACGGGGGGCGATCCCGCACCTGTTTGAAAGATTGTTTGTGATTAGCGGGGAAAACAATAGGGATTGTCACATAACAATGCCCCTATCCCTGAGAACAATGGAAGTGCAGATTAAAGGGGGCCAATAAGAGATTTAGAACGGTACAGGTCTGCTGATCCTGGGTTCATGGGTGTTAGCTACGCTGAGATGATGAAGTCCAACAGGGTTGAAACAGCTGCCAACGCATGTCAACATTTTGACTCACTATGTTCTTGTAGAAGATGGGGCGCGCATGCGTAGTCCACTGACTTTGTCTTATATTGTTTGTTACAGGAATACGAGGGGAGGCGGATGGTCACGTGATGGCTGTGAGTTGAAGTCGTCCAACATCAGCCATACGGTGTGCGCATGTAAACACATGACAGCTTTTGCAGTGCTATCGGATTTGAACCTCCAGGTAAGACCGCAGTAGTTGGTAATGACTGATTAAAGCTTCTTTTTAACTCTCCGAAGTCAGATGTCTTACTATTCTGGGTTGAAAGACGCGCTGGTAACGTTATGCCCCTATCACTTTACGTTCTATCCACGTTCAATAGTAGACAACATTGTGCTTGTGGACTTTTGGCGCGAAACAGTTCTGCTGGTTGTCCTGTGACCATATACAAGTTACTAATAGCGCGGGATATGCTGGGAACAGTTCACTTAATAAAGAAACCTTCATGTCGTGCCTGTGATGTTAAAATGCTTCATTTTATTACAGTATCCCGAAGAGGCGGCCTTTGCCATGCAGTTGGTGACTTACGTTGGGATCTCTGTGTCACTGTTCCTGTTACTCGTCGCTTTTATTCTCTTCATTCTAATAAGGTAAGTTTCGTAGAGCCACCGCCCTGGACAACAGAAAGTTTGAGCTGTAGTTACGCAAGTTCAATAGTAGAGGGCTATGAAAAGCGCTTGTGCAACTTTAAATGTGCCTGTGCACTCTGAAGTCGTTTTGAATCCGCTGGTTTCGCTACAAAGTCGTTTCACTGCAAAATGAAGTCGATTCGCTGTATCATGTCCGGGTGGCGCTGAAATTGTCTTTTTGTACATGAAACCGTTTAAAAGACACTTAAATTAACTACAAACGGATAATACTAACGAGTTAATTACCATTTCACTGAGTTAATCATCGAAATTAAATGAACACCAGCAAACTTTGGAGCAGTTTTCAACTTCGTGATGCAGCGAAAACGAGTTTATAACTTCGCCGCGAATCGACTTCATTATGCAGCCAAACGACTTTGTAGCGAAACGACCGGACACCAGATAACTACGTGGAGTAAAAGACCTTATCAGGAAGCCGGCTTGTGTAAATTAAATTGATAATTGTAACTTCGGAGAACTAACATAGCTGACTCATCGCGATTGTTACTTTACAGGAAACTAAAGAGCAACTCCGTCACAATTCACAAGAACTTGATCGTCGCTGTTTTCATTGCTGAGCTAACCTTCCTCGTAGGAATTAACAGAACTGCAGATCAGGTATTTTTATTTATTTTATTGTTAGAAGCCAAAAACCTTAAAGGAAAACGAATATTTTCTCGATGCTCTCTCGTTGCGTGCCTAAACCATTTCACTGTTAAGCCTGGGTTTCACTAGCGCATAAGCGTAAGCATACGGACATACGCACACCCAGAATGGCATATTTGACTCAATTCTCGATACCAGCTCTCCTCAACCCGATGATAAACAAGATGGCGGACACTTCGTTCGTCATATTGCTTTTGATACGTTCGCATGTGGCCTGGGTCAAAGTGACCTATGATTGGTCCACGGCCTTGTCCTTATGCTTGTGCTTATGTCGACCCCGTTTTCACTAGTCAAAGTTACGACATAGGCATAAGCACAAGAAAAACGGACAAGTTCGTTCTTCTTGTGCTTATGCTTATGTCGACCCAGTTTTCACTTGCGTACACATGTTGTTGTGCTTAATATGCTTATGCTTATACGCTAGACCATATTACAGTGAAATTATTTGTCGCTGTAACTTTTAAATCTGTGGACAAACCCATGTGGTGTTACCATTCAGATGAATCTTCTTTGACAGGACTTTTGCACGCTGCAGTTCCTGATGTTGAAGGGTTAATGGCTGTGAATAAATGTATGTCAGATATCCCACGTCGGCCTGGACATTCTGGTCTGGCATCTGTCATTGAGTTCCTTTCACACCCAAATTTTGTTGTCAACGACATACTTGACACTCGAAATAGTTTGTGAATCAGCCACAAAAGAAAAAGGTACCACGAGATCTCGTCAGAATGAATTGTGGTCAAAACAATAAACTTTTTGTGCATTTTGTCTGTCGCAGAGAATCTGTAAGCTGGTCGCCATATGTCTTCACTATTTCTTCTGTGCCTCGTTTTCGTGGATGTTTGTGGAAGGACTGCACATGTATCGCAGACTCAGAGAGAAGCGGAATATAGACACTGGCAAAATGTCGTTCTATTACTTCATGGGGTGGGGTAAGTGACATCAGTTAAACTGTGTTGAGTAAGGTTATACCTGTTGACTTGGAGTATAGGAGGTAAGTCAGAATGAGAGTAATACTTTTGCAGGTGAGGTACGCCAGTTTCCTTATGCTTAATACGTGGCGGTGATGTGGTGGTGGTGGAAATGTTGTGGAAATGTTCAAACAGAACACGAATTCTAAACGCTGGTTATTTTTATGTTCCAGGATGTCCGGCAATCGTTATTGGAATTTCTGCCGGTCTAGCGAGCGAAGGATATGGCAATGAGAAATTGTAAGTTTAAACAAGGGTTATACCTTCTCGTTCTGTTATTTTGTTATTTTTTTGTGAATGTTATTTCACGCGCAAAACAGTCTTTACTTGATCCTGTGCTGGGGAGCTTGCATTGCTTATAAATTCCAAAATTATCGTTAGTTTTTTAATCATTAGCCTTTATCAGATATTTTGTCTCCTGCTTGATGTTGATGTTAAACAATTTTGAGAACAATTCGCGAAACGCAGTTCGGAGAGCGGGGGCCTATCGTTAATCCCACAAGATGTCTAAATTTAACCTGTGTGGTTATGTGTTTCAGCTGCTGGATGTCAACTGATGGAACACTTATCTGGACGTTCACAATTCCGATCATCATCGTCGTTGCAGTAAGTTGGCATCAAAATTGTTTCTCTTAACCTTTTAAACCCCATAAGTAATGGACATGTAAATTATCCTTATAATGTACAATAAATTAACAATAGGTAAATGTAAAAGCCAGAGGATCCTGCTTCGATACAACCGCAAATTCTCTTAACTAACGTACAATAAACTGTATAGCAACCAGAAAGGAGAATTTCTTATCAGATCTTGGGGGTCGCACGGTTTAACAGGCCATTTGACAGCCGTGTACTTTATTGTTGCAGCTTAACACGCTTGTGTTCATCATGGCTCTGTGTATCTCACTCCAAAAGCAGTCCAGGAAAAGACGCCGCCGTCACCACCATCACCACGACAACGAGCACCCCAACCTTAAGTAAGTAAACTCATTGATGGAAAGCGTTAAGTTTTCCACACGTTTCTGTTGACCATTTAATATTAATACTTGTTATTCCTTTAGCGCTGGTTTGCGTGCGACCGCCGGGCTTCTTCCGCTTATTGGTGTTTCTTTTGCGTTGGGGCTGTTGTTGGTTAACCAAGAACTGGCCATGTTCCATTACATCTTTGCAGGCTTCACCTTTTCCCAGGTAAGCGGGCTACCTGTTTACCTCTCTTCCCCTTTCACTTCCATGGGGGTGCAAGACAAATGCCAGAAAACTTCTAAATTTCTTCTTGTAAAATGCTGAAAAGAAATATAGCATCACTCTACCGTACTCAGCTTGAAAATTCCATTTCAAAGGTCACACTGTAAGTTTTTGATCACAGACTCAAAACTTAGAACTCCTTTTTACAGCATAATGAACTCTTCACTAGGAAAGAACTGCTCAGTAGCTTTCATTTGAATGGTCACACTTTAGGATTTCATCCACAGACTCAAAAGTTAGAACCACTGTTGAAAGCATAATAAACCTTTCCACAGGAAAATACTGCTAAGTAGCCTTTATTTGAATGGTACAAAGTCATTTACCTAACTATAGATTTACTGTGTTATTTTGTTTACTATGGAACGATCAATTCAGTGTTTTAAATGCGATGCTACAACTATCTTGTAAAATGTTTTTGTTTATCCTTTCGCAGGGATTGTTTATATTCTTATTTTATCTTTTGCTGGATAAGACGGTAAGTAATTTACCTCATTTCTATGGGCGATCACCGTTATTGAATTATTTTTATTGTTTTAAATTAACGAAATGTGTTGAGTTTTGTCCGTCTGGTATAATCATTTAGGTAAGAAAAGAATTCAAGAACGTGTACATGCGATGGAAGACTGGTGACAAGACATACGGATTGCAGAAACCGACGCAACACTTTGTAAGTCAAAAGCGTTTTGTGATAACTATTCCGTTTTCAACAGCCCCTGCTGGTCTTAGCCGCTTGGAAAGACTGGTTTTACTCGCGTGTCTTCTTGTTTCGTCAAATCAAAACCAAAGGAATCATTCTGACCAATCACATCAGGCCCTGACAATCCAGTTAACCAATCAGAGCTCGTCGCAAAGCATGTAACAGGCACGAAGGGTGACGAGACAGTGGAACTTTCGGTGTTGCTTTTCTTGTGCCGGATTTAGTTAAAAAGTGGCGCGAAATTCAGTTGTAGCCATTCCCAGAGACCGTGGCTATGTAAGCGTGCGTGCTCATGAAATTTTCTAAAATTTAAAATCTGCCCTAAGATGAACAGATCATCTTGTTTAAGTAAAGGAGGCTGGGTAGCTTTTAATGTCGTTCTTTATCTTAAAAGTTCACTGGTTCGTCTTTCTTTTGGTAGAAACGCTCGTACCATCCTGGAGAAATGGCGCCACTTCGGACGCCGTACGATTTTGACGACGAGGGCAACGCCACCAGCACATCTACCACGGAGCCGTCGAGTAGCGGATTCCGCAGTAGCATCACAAGTCGTTATACGACTGAAGACGGAACAGATACTTTGGGAGATGAAGATACCAGCGTCCCAGGTAGATTCGTCCGTCTCCGACTTTAGGGAGCTTAAGAAACCACCACGACTACAAGGACAACACGCTTTTTGGTACATTTCTTTGAAGTCCACTGGACTGCTACGACGTCGCACCTCCTAATGTTACGTTTTATGGCGGAGTTGAAAATACGACGAATAATTTTCTTTTGTCTTTTTGAACCTAGATGAAGTCCTTAAGAATTTAACTCCAGGAAAAATCGCGTACAATTGACAAGTTGAGCAGGCCCAAATAGACGCGAAGAAGTTTCAAACGATGCAAACCTCTTTCTTTTAGCGACGTTTTCAATGCTATCGTAATCGTCTTCGTTGTATAAGCTCCCTAATAACATTGAAATCACTCACCGAAATGTAAATTTTCTCGCAGCCGCCTCCTGTAGACTGATTCCTACAGTTAATTTTGCATTTCTCCTTAGATATCAACCTAATTTAGTTTTCCTCCCACTCCCTCAATACCCCATCATTTGTTTCGCCTTTGCACAAATTTCCCACTAAGGAATTTGAGCATTCCTTACTTCAGCAACTCTAGGGAGGACGGTTACAAGCTGTGGGAGAAGTGATCTCTGGGATCATTTCGGTGGACAAGCGTTTGTTATGATTGGTCGATGGTATCCAAGACAACCGTTAACCAATCAGAGGTAATGCTTGCCCACCCAAACGATTCCAGAAGTCTTTGCGCAGAAAGCTTGTACCCATTCCCCTTATAGTCCCCGTAGTTTCATAACGCTGGTATCACTGTTTTTATTTTTAGATGGTGAAGTTGTAAAAAAGAGTAAATACCCAGATAATCCAGAACTGGGTAAGAATTTTTTTCCTTTGTATGTGTAAGCTAGCGTTTATGTTTAATTTATTGACCGATGGAACCGTAATCTCCATCACTGCTTTAATTTGAATTTTGAGTCAACCCGTCCGTAATTGTATTTGATTGTTTTTTAGAATTGGCAAGAAAAATTTGGGAACAACCGGATAAGTCAGGTAATACAGCCACTGTTTTCGCCACTTTTGTAAAATCAACAGATCTTAAGAGCATTTTTCTGAAGACGATCATTACTGTAACAGATGCGTACAGATTAAGGCTACAAATATTCTTAAGTTACGAGAAAAGTTTTGAATTAACCTGAGAAAACAGCCGACGTTTGGCGACGCTACCACTGGTTTCCCGCGAAATGATGCCTGAGAAACGAGTGCAGAAATTCCATACTGATGACGTGTCACTTTCTAGATCTGGGTAGTGCTTCTGATTGGCTGAAGCAAATTTCCCTGGCGCCACTACCAATCAAAATTTCCACGCTCGTTCCTCAGAATTCATTTCGCGAGGAAATACATGTCGGCTGTTTTCTTAGGCTAGTTTTAAAAATAGTCGAGAATTGATGTTTCAAAATAGTTTTTGATTTTTGATTTTTTTGTTTGCTTGTTGTGTTACAGAGGCGAGCACGACTCAACCAGAATCTTCGTCAGAAGAGGAAGAGGAACGGCCGTCTTCACGTGGTATCGCGTCCGATTCATCTGATTCCGAGGATGAAAATGGTACGTTCTTAGCTCTATATATTCAACGTGGCATAAATGATGAGATCTTACACCCCACACGTTCCTAGCTTCACTACTTCAGCGTAATCGTACATGCAGACCACATTAGCAGCAGGCCTTTCACTCCGTTTTCAAGGAGTAATGGTTTCTAGTACTTTTTCAGCATTGTTTCTACCGCATACTGTTGATTCGTGTCCCTAGGAAGTTTCCTGATGCATCAGCCTTCAGTAAGATATTAACGTTCTGTTGTTGTTCGTATCTATAGTCCCAAGTAAAAATGGCTGGCCAAAAGACAAGACACCGAAAAAGAGGAAAAACAGAAAAGGTTAGGCTATTCACATTTTTCGCTACACTTCTTTAGTAGCAAACCCTTACGTAAATAATAATAACACTTTAATTTCAAAAGGGTGCGTAATTACAATTCAACTTTACTCTCCCTTATGGCCCTATAAATCTGACAATGATGACTGGCATCCTATTGAAGCAAAGTAGGGAGCACATGGACAAAGTTTTTGAACTTCGGCCTTTGTAAAGACGGTCAAAACTTAGAGATTACTTCAGCTGTGGTAATCGTTACTTCAGAGTTGTCTTGTTTTGACACTGCTGTGATTTGTGATTGGCTGCAAAATTTCGTGCCCTCTAAAGCGAATCAGAAGTTAAACTAGCCTGTTCCAAGCGTTCAGATAGTGGAGAGCGGTGCGAAGTAAAGATAGCGATGAAAAGTAGAGGGGGACTGGGGAGAGAGGTGCGGGAACTCACCTTCCCCCGCCTCCCTCGCTTTTATTTTTTCGCGCTCCTTTTTTCTTCGCACCGCTCCCCACTATCTGAACGCCTGGAACAGGCTAAAGTTAAACCGAAAACGTACGTGACTTGATCATAGAATTCTGATTGTTTCAGGGAGTTGTCTGCGTCAGCTACAAATAGCAAGAGTAAAAACTTCTTTAGACATGAGCTAAAATGGGAAGGGACTCTTTTTTTAGTCAGTAGGTTTTTATGCTAACATGAAGTAATGTTATTTGTATTTACAGCTCCGTTTTACGCTTCAGACGGACCTATGCACAGTACACCAATGGGTACGTTTTTTTTTTCCTTTTTTTCTGTTTGATAGCACTGGAACGGTTTACACTTAACAAATTTCGTTCACATACCTAAGTAACAACCGCCTTACGAAACACTACAAACATGACTCAAGATAGAGTCGGTGGAATTATCGATGTTCCTATTCTATTTCACAGAAACCACTCCAGAAGAAGAACCTTCGAAAGAGGCCGAGGGAGATTCGTCCTCCGATACCGGAGATGAAGATATTCCAACAGTGATAACTAAAAAGGAACGTGCCTCATTCAAAGCTGTACCGGAGATCATACAAGATAAGGGTGTGTCCGGTTCCGCCGCAACTTCAGACACCGCTCCGTCTGCGGAAAGCACCTTGAAGAAACCTTTGAAGTCAGCGCTGAAGAAACCCAAGAATCCCGTCCCTCCTCCTATCGTGCTAGACGATGAAGATGGTGAAAATACACCAGTTAGGTATGGTTTGTTTTCTTTGTTTTTGTTTTGGGAGATCGAGGTGTTTGCCGTAGAGTTTTTCCGTTGATTAAGGGAAACCATCGTCTGTTGCAGTGACGGATCCAGGTAAGGGGCTCGGGGGTTCTTGACCTCACGCAGTTAGACAATATTAAAGGCATATATTTTTACACGCATTTTACTTCTAACGACAGTCCAACAGTAAATAAAAATTGACTAAAGTAATATAATAGGGGCAATGACTTCAAACTGGAAAAAGACGGAAAATAGAGCAGTTGTTTTTGACAAAGAAGTGTTATGTGAAAGGCACAGATGACAACGCCTGTAAAAAGACATTAAAAAATGCAACCACTAAGAGGCGATTAAGGAAAAAAAAAATTTATCTTATATATTATAAACATACAAGGGTCAGTGAGCGACTCACCCCCTTATTTTTAGACTAAACTGAGACCCGTAGGGCCGATTTGTTTTTTTTATGAGACCCGGGGCCCGTTTCTCGAAAGTCCCGATAATTAACGGGCCCGGTAAGCTGTCTCTGTTTACATTTAAGATTGAGGTTTCAATAGTTTTGCATCTAACACGATAAAACTGTCAGTTAATGAAACAAAATGGAGTAGTTTGCTAGCCAGGACCCACGCTCTTATTCTTCATATTTCGATTTGAATATTTGATTTCGGGTCCGTAAAGTTACCGGGACTTTCGAGGAACGGACCCCCGTCCCCCACTCCCCCAATCTCAGGGTCTGATGACCGTTTTTGTGTTGTCTTTGTTGGTTAATTCTCAACAAACCCCAGCCCAACTTCTATTCAGGGTACGCCTCTATTCAAGGGACACTTTCCTCGGTCCCGAGAGTGTCCCCTGGGTAGAGGTTCCATTGTATCCTATCATTATTTTCCTATTGTAGCCCTTCCGATCACCATCACCGCCATCATAAAGACAAGCATCGGCATCGACACGAGAGACCCAGATCCCGTGCTAGCTCTGCTTCAAGCGACCCGAAAGATAAAAAACGACGGTTCCGAAGACGGGGCTCAAAGAAAAAAGAAACTTTGGTGCAGATTGGCGGAGAGGAGTACCGAGTAACTGTGGGACATCCAACCGAGTAAGTACCAATTGTGCCATGAGTGAGAAAGGGCGGGGCATTGGAGAGAGCACACTCCTCCTACCCGGGTTCGAATCTCGGGGGCAACGTGACGTGTGGTTCGAGTTTGCAGCTGATTTTCTTCCTTGATCTGAGGAGTTTTACTTCGGACACTCCGGTTTCCACTTCTCCGAAAAACCACATTATCCGTCAAATTCCAGTTTTACCCGGAGTGGTAGCCCTAGATCCTCATCTGTTAACCCTTTAAGTCCCAATAGTGCTCAAAATCAATTTTCTCCTAAAGATATTCATAGATTGTCATTAGCAAAGTCTATGAGAATTAACAAAATGATCACAAAGAGAAAAATATTTGATCTTTTACCAAATTCTCTCAACTAATTCTTCAAGGAAATGTATGGAGATCAGTTTGGAGAATTTGTATGTGGATATTGGGACTTAAAGGGTTAATTATTTGTTTTAGGGCGGGGCGTTTGCTAGAGCGCTCGTCTCCCAATCTGTGGCCTGGGTTCAAATCCCGGCGTCGACGCCACGTGTGGGTTGAGTTTGTTGTTGGTTCTCTCCTTTACTGTTTGGGTTTGTTCTTTGGGTACTTTTCCAACGCTTTTGCGCCTGTTGCGTTTAATTTCCCCTTCATTATTATCTTTCTGACGTAGTAACTAGCGGTTTATTATGACTGGTAAATTTTACTTTACTTAGAATTTTGATCATTCTCTTGGCGCGAATGTAGAGAGGTACAGAGGCTTCAAACTCGTCTTCAAATAGTTGCTATATGGAATGTTAACTGTTAAGGTTGCCCCAACCTACGTGCTTCTGTTAGCTGTCGAAACCCACGCGTGCCGTTGTTGTTTTGGAAGTATTGTGTTGTTCTTTGCTCGTGCGTGGAATATGGAATGAGGCGCTCAGGGACGGAATCTCCTGCTACGCAGAAGTGAGCATGCAAAACCGTTCAATATTACAAAACATGGTTGTTGTTGCGGTGTTGTACATGGAGTTCCAATTTTTCTGTCCTCTTTCACAACTCTCATTCTCTGTCTGTCACGAAAGCCTGGGAAAGTATTGCTGGTCATACTAAAAGACTTACTCCACAGGCACAAAAGCGTGAAACACATGTCTCCGCAGTTGACTTGTTCCTCTGAGATGTGTACTATTGTTTTCTGCTCGTGTTTGGAATACGAAATGAAGTTCTTAGGGACGGAACCTCCCGCTGTGTAGACAAGCTGATACGTGCTAATACGTGAACACTCTTCCTTGTATCTTGCTATAGAATTAAACCCATCTTAAGTGACCAAAGTCAATAGTCAAAAATTCCAAAAGTAGAATACTGACATACAAATAGCATTATGTGAAAGTACTGCTGAAGAGGTTTCAATTGAATGGTCACACCGTAGGTTTGCGTCCACAGACTTAAAAGTTGAACCACCGTACAAGACTATCATTAACTCTGGGAATAAAAGTGTTAAGAGTTTTAAGACACCTTTCTTATAGGCACCCTTGTGTAGATGTTCCCTACTACTGCAACCTATAAATGTTTCTTCCTCTAAGAAAGTCGCATCTTCCATTCCCTTCATTTATAGAGTTGGTATGTTAGCATTTTCACCTTTTTCACATTAACATAGAAAAAAACTGGGAAAAGTGTGGGGTAGTTTGCGTGACATGTTTCAATATCGACTTTGAAGTTTTCTTACCTTTAATTGATAAAACTTTACTCTGTTAAATTCAGAAATAATTTCTGTTAATGATAATTAAAATGACGGTAATGAAGTAGCACCTCCCCGCGGCGCTGTTTATTACCTAGTAATAAGTAGTGGTTGTGACGTTTTATCTGTGTCAAAAAATCGTAGTTTGGCTATTCAAATAAAGTGTGTCAGCAGCACTTCCCTGTGGTGCTGTTTTTTTACGCTGCGTGTGTTACCCTCGACTTTTCATCTCAATAAGAAACCATTGCCTTCCTGTGATTCTATTGTGCTTTTTTCATTTTCATTATTCTATAAAAGCGTGACCATTTTGTGAACGCCTGCCAATCTCAGTGTCCCGTTGTGCCGTTTATTGCTCTCCTCTCGTGATAAACAGAAAGCTGTTAACTGTTATGAGCGGCGGGTGATAGTTCACGGATATTTTTTCACCGTATACCTTCAGGCTACGGTAACAAAATAACAGCAGTGTGCTCTTCGTTGGTTTCTCATTCAGGCTCGAGTCAACAGTGAAGACATGCGAAGAAGTTCAAATAAAACCTACTGAGTATTACTTTCCTATTGTTCTTTTTATTATGCTGTTTAAGGTGTTGCTCACGTTCGAGTCTGTGGACGAAATCTATGGTGTGACCATTCAAATGAAACCTCTGAAGCAGTGCTCTCACGTGAATGCATTTGTTTTTCAGTAATTAACGAAGTGAAAATTGGGATTTGTTCATAAATTTTTGCTTAGAGCGAAGGAGTTAACATGAAGCTAGAAAACTTTCTTAGCGGGAGCCGGGCGCTGACGGGCAAAACAAGGTGTTTTGCTGCGTTTTCCTTAAGGGTGAAATGCCAAATAACAGCAGCATTTCTTGTAAACCAAGCTGGGGTCTAGCGATGCAGGAGTGCAATTTGTTATCACGTTCTGACGCCCTGCTGCGTTTTTAAAGTCCGACTGCAATATAATCGCGTTCCCTGTTTTTCTCTAACGAATCTGTTTTGCACACTTAAAATTTTGCTAGGGGCGCACTTAGTTAACTCAAATTAAAACACTTCTTTTGTTAATTAAGTTGGCTTGAGTTAATGGAACAATAAACCTGTTTGCGTTGTGGTTAGCGCTTCCTGTGGCGCAACCTAAGTTAAGAGTATTCGTTTTTCTATTTCTGTTAGGGGAGCTACAAATTGCAGGTCTCTAGTCGATTATGCAGTCGTGTTATGTATTGTAACTTTTGAGTCTGGCGTTGAAATCCTGTGATGTGGCCATTCAAATGAAACCTCTTCAGCGGTGCTCTCACAAAGCAATATTCATTTAATAATTACTTCTAACGTTTGAGTCTTAGGATGAAATGCTATTGTGTTACCATTCAAATGAAACCTCTTCAGTAGTACTTTCACATGATACTATTTATTTAGTAAGTTGCTCTGACGTTTGAGTCTGTGGATGAAATCCTATGGTGTTACCATTCAAATGAAATCTCTTCAGCTGTACTATCGAGTGGCAACATTTGTTTTTCAGAATTCTAATTGCTGGAATTTGCGATTCTGACTTTGCTATTACCGGGAATGAAGTGTCATCGTATTTGCTTCCCGCTGTGTTATCTAGGGGAGATTTAATTGTTTTTAAGAACGGCAATTACCGAGGGCGTCAAATGGTAAACACCGAGCCATTGTAACTTACTTGTTAATTAGTTTAGGTGGTTTTTATTTTCGCGTTTCCTTCCTTTTACATCTCGTTACCTGCCATTAGAACGCTCTTTTCCCAAAATTGAAAATTGTAGCCTCAAAATTACTGCAAACCAAGCGACTTGGGAAACTTACAGTGCATTTCATATTCATGGTCACGCTTCATGCATTTTACATGACAAGTTGATGGTAGAACGATTTGTACACTGTGACAAAACAGTTTTCATTTTACTCATTTTGCCATTCCGTTGATTTTTATCCTGAACCTTAGCAATTGAGAACTGGCTCATACAGCATCGTAGACCTGTAATTTGAAATTAAAAAAACTGGGGCTTGTTTTATCGACGCATATGTTACTGAGTTGTATTTGTTTTGGAGTCGAAGTATTTATGGCACCTTAAAGTACTGGAGTAATTTTTCTCAAGTTTATCTTACTTTCTTCTAGAGTTTTCTAGATTTCTTGATAAACGTTTTCCTTCCAGTATCGCTTGTTCCCACAGTGGCCTAATTACACTAACCACAAAGACTTTTTGTGAACTCATTATAAACAAGAAACTATTAATAACTTAATGGCTGGGCATGCATTGAGTGTACCCGCCACGTTGTCTAACGCTTGGATTAATGGCATCTTCCTTTTGTTTCTTTGGCAGCTTTCAAGATTCCCAAGTGTGAACTCATCACAAGAAGGTATGGTGTCATTTCTGAAAACTCCGTCCCTTTCTAAAGCAAATACTGTAGAAGACGGGTTGTGTTGTGTCGGACGATTAAGTGGTCACTAAAATCTTACACTAACTATTCAAGACAGCAAGGGATTATTTACTGTTTCGTATGCTATGTAAGATCATTCTTGGTGTTTGGATCCGTTGTTCATTCAAATTGAAAGAATACGAAACAGCATTGAGCTGTGGAGGTACTGTATTCATAAGGGCTCTGATATGGGGCACTATTTTTGATAACACTTGACGTTCTTCCTCTGTTGTTGAGTGTCGGCGGGAAGCGAGATAAAGCTTACATGATAATAGCCCGACATCAAGCGAGCGTTTACGGGTCAGTGGTGTCTTAAGAGCTAGGGCTTCAACAACAATGCTTGACAAACCTTGCATGAAATAACCAACCCTCTAAATTAGAAAAGCCAATATGAGTTAATGACTGCGGGTGTCTTTTGAAGTCTTCTTTGTGACTTTCAAACCAGCTTTGCGTTGGTTTGTTCATAGCTAAACAAAAGTAAATATTTTCCTTATCACACGATTAACTTTGTAACGATCTACGCCTTCCGATGATACTTCTTTCAGTCTTATAAGGGTGGGATTTAGCCTGCATTAGCCATAGCTATCCTATTTCTGTCCTCTAGCGGTTCATCGATAAGGAGCTTGTAATTAAATCACTAAATGGTAGTCGACTTGCGGTTGTGGCGTTTTCATATCACATGAAGCATCAAAGCACACGTTTATCGTGGAACGCGCGAGTATTGCGCTCACGAACGCGCCACGCGGGGAGACACGCGAGTTAACAGCTTCCCATACGAGTGCAATGTACTTGCACGTAAGTGTTTGAATTTTGCTTCCTTTTTGACAGTCTATTGACAATCCACAGAAGAAAAGTGGAATGGCTTAAAAAGCGGATAATATGACAACGGATCATGTCGTAAGGCAAACATTTGTAGATTAGGTTCTCTTACGATATGGAATCGATTACACGAGAGCTAGTTTATTGGTCCAAAAGTAACTAGTTTTGTGCTGAAAGTCGTCGAAACATCTAGCAGGGTGGTGGGCCTGTGATCTTTCAGATATCTTCCCTTGATTGTAAATCGGCTTACTTTTCTTAGGGTGTGCCCATAGGTTTTCTTGCTTTGTTTATTTTGTTTTTACCTCACATACGTACATAAGCAAGAATAGCTACTATTTAATATTTCCTCTTTGAGTATTTCTTGCGCCCAATTTACGCAACGTATTGAGAACTCAAGAAGCCTGATACGTCAGTGACTCTAAAGTAAGCTTTTTCGACCTCTAGTGAGCTTAAACTCAAACTTTAAAATAGATCGCATCGCTGATCATGTTGATATCAATGTTCTTTCCTAGGGCTGTACTTTCTCCTTTAAGGTCATTGCACGTGGAGTGCAAAATATCACACCCCTTTGAACGTTAAGTTTTTTATGATAAGGTTAGCTAAACAGTCATGATTGGTTCTCCTTCACTTCCTAATGACTCGTGCTTTGGTCTCGTACAAGACTCGTGTCTGATTTTTGGCGGCAGTTTTCATGGTAGTCTTTTCTACCTTCTACTTGTTCAAGCATTTTCTAGGTGTATTGCTCTGTCTCGTGAATTTAAAAGGAAACAAACGCCAAGAGTTTAAGATTGAAAGCAGATAGGTAGAAAATGATATTATCAGATGTATAAAGGAAAACAACTATAAGCTGTCACGTTCACCGCACGTTTTTTTAGCTCCTTATCGCATAATAGCTGTGCTTAAAATGACAAAATCACGCCAAGGGAGAAGACTATAAAGCTTTAAAATAGGTCAGCTTTAAAGCAGAGAAGGGTATATAATCTTTCCTCTCGCTAAAGTCTTTGCACGTAATACTTGATGTGGCACGAATTGTTGTAAAAAAGTCGTAGAAGTTTTAGAAAAATATTATTTGGAAGAATGTTAGGAGGTATTTAAGTTTAAAAACACCTCTTTATTATCAATGAAATATCTGCTTTTTCTTTTTTCACCTGGGTTCCTCGTGAATTGGAATAGCACACGCCAAGGTTAAGATGCTTGTTTTTATAGGCAGCTTAACGTGTAAGATTAGAATTACAACCACGCAAGAGCTAAATATTTCCCGCTCTTATAGTGTATCCAGTTTTCAAATTGTCAGGTGTTTTTTTCTGGCACGGACGAATTGTATTTTCAGTTCGTAAGAACATGCGTGTAGCAGGGTAGCTCAAGATTTGCATGGCTCTACATGGCTAAGGTGACGGCCCGGCACTAGAAGCTCGCGTACTTTCCCCTTGTACTATAGATAACCAGATAAGCCATCACGTTTGTATTAACAGGATATTATGAACGATGTGTTTATCGTTTGATAATCGTCTTATATTCTTACACTAATTTTAGCCATGGTGAAGAGCAGGCCCGGTCGCATTTGAGTAATACAATTTTTACTGATGCCGAAAGAAAAAAACATCGTTCGGTGATCGACCGAACACCCCCGCGGAATGTTCTAGTTACGTGTCATTTTAATATTGAGCGTCTAACTATGATACAAATAAAACGTTTTCTTAACTCTGTAATTAGCGCAATATCGCGGGATTATCTAAACAATGCCCATAAGCGAATGGGCTTCCGTAACTGTGTAACAACCGACGCATAACAATTTAGGAGTTGTTTCTTCCCGTCCTCTTCATGCATCCTTTCTATAAAGTCTTTGTAACCGCTTAAATCCAAAGTTATGACTTCTTGTAAATACTATACTACTTTTTAGAATACTATAAAACAAGTAAAGCAAGTTTTATTGAACAACACGTGGAACTTCGTCCACAGACTCAAAAGATAGATCCAAATTTTATAAATTTTAAGGAAAAAGTGACCTTCACCTTCTTTCGTATTATCTTGTGCGAATGTGGATACATTTTGAGCGACTTGAGAGAAATTGAAAGCGAGAGACAACTGTTTACTGCTCTGGTGCTTCTATAAGCTAAAACCACTAACTTAGGCAAATTAATGAGCTACACCTTACAAATCACTTTGTAGGGAGCTAAATGCATATCACTCCACCCTATTCATGACAGGAAGTGCTAAGGGTTATTTCATCACAGATTAAAAACAAAGCAAAATCGTACTTTATTGGTTTGCCTGCATCTTAACTGTATTTTTGGATCACAACAATTTTTTTTACTCATTTGGACCAAAGCTTAGCTCAGTAAGCCAATCTCTTAACGAGTCAATCCAATTGTTAAAAATATGTTTTATTGTAGGATAATTGACATTCCTTCTCGGTCATTACATGCTACTTGATCAAAACATTCCAGGAATTTGCGGCTTCCCTTGCTTCTATAGTATAATCGTTTCTCTTCGTTACGTTCTTAAGCATCGTGCCAAACAACTTTGAAAGTGTTTTACTGAAAGCATTTCCGTAAATTTCCTTGCCCTTGGCTTTTGTAAACCCTCAAGAACCTGTTAAAGCAGGAAGGCACAGACCATAGAGTCAATTTTTGGCATCCCATGTAAAAAGCCTTAAAAAAAATTGTGATCAAAGGAAATCTTAAACTGATGGTCCGATCTCGTTTAGAATGTCTGGCTTAACGTACTTAAACTATTATCAACAGTCTATGACTTGGAATATCCAGGGCAAAATGGATTTTGGCCTGTGAAATTTAGGCTAGACCACTTAAAAATTCCCCTAAGTAGTTTGCACTTAGCAGATGCGTTCATTCTGTCAGTAGACTTAAAAGTTAGAATGACATTATACAGCAAAAAATAGCTTTTATTTTAATGGTCACACTGCAGGCTTTCATCCAGACCAAAACGTTGGATCCAACTTGCACCGCGTTATAAATAGAACCATGTGAAAGTACTGCTGAAGAGGTTGCATTTGAATGGTAACACCATAGGATTTCACCCACAGACTCAAAAGTTAGAACTGCAAACTAAATAAGTAGTACCATGTGAAAGTGCTGATGAAGAGGTTTCATTTGAATGGTAACACCATGGGATTTCACCCACAGACTCAAAAGTTAGAGCTACATACTAAATAAATAGTACCATGTGAAAGAACTGCTGATAAAGGTTTCATTTAAGTGGTCTCACCATGGGATTTGATCCACAGACTAGAAAGTCAGAATCACTTTGTGCACCATAAAAATGCAGTGTCAAACAAACACACAGTAAGGGTCGTTATTTTTTATCCTTGGGGGATTGATCTTTAATACTTTATTGGATTAAACAGTGTTTGAAATGGGAAACAGTAAAGTTTTCTTAATTCAGATATCTGGCTTGAACACGTTCACTTTTTTTCTTTCCGGTAAGGACAGATTAAGATTAATCAAATTCCAGTTGTGGAGTGGGGGACGTGGTGTAGAAATGATTACCCTTTTCGACCTAAGCGTCTGGCAGTATAAAGATACAATGTACTAGTTATTTTTAGATTTTTTGACAAAAAACTGTATTCTTAAGTTATAGTTCAACTTGCATTTTTGCAACCTGAATCGGTTCTAATCTAAAATGAATCTAAAATGATTATTATCTTTACCCCTTAATGTTTTTTTTTTGTATAGAAAAAAGTTATTGTGATATAATATACAGTCGAACTTCCCTGTGCGACCACCTCTCGTAAGCGACCACCTCCAATAACCGACTATTTATCCAAAACACCAAAACTTTGTCAGTCAAAGCTCTATAGTTCGAACTTCTTGTAAACGACCACCTCTTTTCATCGTAAGCGACCGCGACCACTTTAGGGATGACAGTTTAAGAAGTTTCCATTATTCTTAACTTTTCTAACCGACCACCTAATATCATGGTCAGATCTTTGTGTTCACTGAGTGGACTACGCTACTCAGAGTTTGAAAAGAGCGTTTAGGAACAACATGGATTTACGTACATTGTAACCTGGAACTTGCATGCAATATAATCTCTTCAAAAAGTAGATGTGTTTGGACCTCTTCTCCGCGCGAGACCTCCTGCAGTTCGACTCTTATAAGCGACCACATCTGGTAAGCGATCACTACGTTTTCGCATTTTTGGGTGGTCGTTTACAGGAGGTTTGACTGTATTGGATTTTTTTAATTATTATTAAATGAAGAAAGAAAAAAACATTCTGTCTAACGAACGACTTTCCTATATGGCTATGGATATAAAATAGTTTGGATATAAAAACGTTCTTGCTTTTCCAGCATTAGCTTTATAGGTTTTAGCTTCAAACTAACAGCTTCTATTGTTATTTTGCAGATTCTGTTGATTGAACTGTCATTTGGAAACATCTGACAAAAGGAGTAGATATTTTGTATTTAAAACTAATTAATATACATGTTTTGAAGCAAACTTTGTAAATGTAAAGCTTAAAGTAACGTCTTCAAGTCGTAATGAAACAAGAAAGTTTTCGGCTTCTTTTTGCGGGTTTAAAATACTCAACAAGATTGTACAGGCTTGCTTAACGTATTTCATCTTTCATGTTGGCTTATACTGATCAGTTAGATGTAGCAACTCTCGCTGTTTCTTTTGTAAGGCGTAGTTATAGTTTTTAGATAAAGGATGGATATTTTTATCTTTAGTCCAAGATAATTGCACTATTTTCTTACCATGAAATTTTAATGCGAAATCTCCAACTTTTGAATGACACATAGAACTTCTAATGTAAGTTTTTAGCATATGAATAATAAAATATAAAATTGTAGGTTAGCGTATGGAAATTGTATTGCTAAGAACATCCTAGTTTGTAAATTATTTCTTTTAGTTAGTTGCTTTTATTGTTTGCTAGCGAACAAGTAAAAGAAAAAATCATGCGATTCTTCGATGAACATTCGCCTGCGGTGAATGCGAAAGCCATTAAGGTATAGACCATGTAGAAGACTTTTAGTTCATCTTTTTAAAAATGTCTTATTTATTCAGTAATGAGGCCTGTTCTGAAAGCAGTGAAGCCGACTTTTGTAATGTACAGTTTTGCTCATGCAGGAGTGTGAATAAAACAAAATTCTTATCAGCTGTGTTTTCTTGCGTTTTTTCCACGCACTTTATTTTTCCTTCGGCTTATTAAAATCACAATCGTGAAACAAAAGCGGTGTTTCTTAAATTAAAAATGTGTAATTACATTTAGAATGTTTGCCGAAATCATTAGTATGCTTACAGGTTCATTGCGGCAGAGAAAAAAAGAACACAAGTTTGATTTTAAAATGTATCGTTAAATCTGAGGAAGAGAAACTTTTTTCGCCCTTTCGTTAAAAACCGACGCAGGTGATTTTATTTTTTTGTTTTTGTTACTTACTTTTTTTGTTTCGTTTTTTTCTTTTAGAGGCGCTTTACTTCCCATTTGGTCGTTGGTTGTTATAGGAAGTTTGGAACAGTTCGAGAAAGTTGAAGCTTACATTAGCTTCTCCTTTTTCGTTGTCAATGACAAAGTACCTGGGGTTTCTTCAAATAATAAGCCCCTTATCCACTGAGCAGGTAGTCCTTTGGAAGAGTTTTATGTTTAATTTTCTTTCGCTCCGCTTTTGACGCAAATTGTACGTGTTTTTTTTCGTTTTTTAAAAGTGCTGAAGTACGCCTTTCGATTACGAAGCGTTCCTAGGCCTACGAGAAAAAAACCTTTATTTTCCTTATGCCGCGGCTTTCTTCAATATCATAAAGGCTTCGGCGAAATGACTTCGCCTTTTAACTAAAGACGTGTCAACTTGTTAATATCTTTCTAAAAGAGCCTATTAACACCAAATGCACGAATCTTGAATTGTTCCATATTGGGCGGTAGTCAAGTGAGATTAAGAAACAATGTTCCTATTGGAACAGAATTTGAAAGCCCTATTTGTCGGCTGTGCGCCTTCCAGGTAGTTCATATTGTCATAATGTCGGTTTATTTGCCTTTCATTTCCGTTTCATAAAGAACTGCTTCGAATCTTAAGCAAACAGTGTTTAGTTTGGCGTCGATTAACATGGTACTAAACTGCGCTAATCACTTCTCCCCTAATGTAAAAGATACATGCTGCACAAGCTGCTTAAACAAGCAGCAGGGAAATACATTTTTTGCCCGATCCAGAAGCTGTTTTGGTCGTTCGGTTTGACCACATTATTAGGCAGGAAATTAGACAGTGATGAATATACAGTGATTGAGAGATAAGTAATAAATCTTCTGATGTGTTTCCCGACCTCAGTGATCTTTAAAATTACTCAAGGTTTAGGCGCGGCCGTGTTTTACGAGGAGCGCGAAAGAAGCTGCCTCTAGATTTTGTTTCAATGTGAATTTTATTAATCCACATCTCTTGATATAACATATAAATAAACTGAAAATTCAAAATCGAAAAAAATATGAGTTATTCAACTTTAGACATTTTTCCAGAAACGCCAGTTTGGATTACAACAAAACAGAAATGAATAAATGAATGCGCAAGTTTGGATTACAGTAAAAGAGAAATGATCGATGAATAAAATAATGAATTGCCCTTTCACTCGATTCCGGAAATTTAGTTTTACAAAGGGTTTCATAAAGGGGGAAGGTTATTGGAACTAGTCCAATTTTCTTGTTTTTAATTTTAAACCGCAGAAATATCGGTCTTGATCCCAAGTTTAATTTAAAGGTTTTCCCTACAGGCACGTTACCATGGCTACTGTTCCCCCACATCATTTTCAACCTTAACTTTAGTAGAAATATTCAGTTAACAGCCTGAATCAATACAATACCGTATTGAATGCAGATTCGGCTAGCTTCTAAATACACAATTGTCTCGATCCGAAAACGTTGACTTCTGTCTAGCCTTTTTTGGCGTAAAATGTTTGATAAGGAATCAAAAAACTGCCTGTTCTATTTGAAAAGAAGCTAATTACCGTCCGAAACTTCATGGGGGTCTGAACGAAGAAAACAAAAATGTGGTTCGAGGCAATTTTTGATGATCTGATCTATAGTTTTTGTCTTCATTAGCCAGTATTTCTCTCATTTCTGTCTGAGGCTTTAATCCGGGTACAGATAAAAACAAATGATTGTTTTTGTACAATAGAGTTCCGTAAACACATAGGGTGTGAATATACAACAGCTAAAAAGCGACGTTTGTTTGTGTTTCTCGTTTTGCTTAATTCCCAACCTTAGCCTATGTTTACCAGTTCTGAATAGCAGCATAAGGGATTTGTTTCTAACAAGCTTAGTTTCAGTCGATTCAAACTTAACTCTTTTTGAAAATAAATTAAAATCTGCGTCTTTCAGCCTGTTGTGAGACCCCGGCGAAGGCGAAACTTGAATTTCTCCGCCGGGGACACGTCATAAATCCGCGCTTTTATGAGTTGAAATATCGATAAAATCCAGATTATATCCTTTCATCTAGCCGAGGAAAACATTTTAGTGCAATTGTCTGTTCCTCTTTAGCTCTCTTTAACTAAATGGTTCACTGTCATTCTATGTTCATAAATAAGCAAAGATCTGTTTTTCATCTCTTTCCAAGATAAACATCGGCCGTAATATTTAAAGCCATCATGTCATAGCCCAATCCAACTTAATACAGATCATAAAATCCAATTTCTGGGTCGAAAAATGATGTGTTGCTTAATTACACAGATGCACAATTAAGCAATATGAAATGCAACATATAATTAGTTTGTACAACAGCAATTTGCTTTGATATCCCCAGTTAGACAGGTACGACCGAAAAGTCTGCCAATGGTCATTAATGAATATAGTGGAATACGGCTTGCTTTAACCCGAAATTCGTGGGGCTAATTAATATTGTGAACCAAAATGTCTTAGTGTAAATTTTTCTCTCCTTCATGAATCCCCTGAAACAATTTGCTAACAAATAATCGGAAAAAAATTCCCACTTCTGTTTTAAAACAAACCAGTTTTGCTTATAAGTTTCAGTTTTTTGGTCTTTTTTATGCGGTGTCTATTTACGTCCATCGCATCACCCCAATACAGGGTGTTTGATCTTAAAAACTTTACATCTGTCATTTTGGTATCTTGTAACATGCCAATCGCGTGATGTTCCCACTTACAAGGTAATTCGGTGAGATACTTTTCTTTTTGTTTGTACAAGCATCAAAGTAATGCATTGCAAAACCCCAAAACACCCAAGTAAAAGCGCAAAAGAACTTCGCAGTCTCCTTTTTCTCTATTTTTCCGGTAACACCCAAAAATTGTTTCCTAACTGCCGCTATTATAAAGCGATGTTACAGGCGCCTTGGTTGGTCATTAGGAAGCAAACGGTTGAGGAATGACAGATAGGCGCCGTTAAATGGATTACTGTGTTTTCCCTTTAAAAACTTCCCAAATACGATATTTCCTTACTAGCGAAAAATAACGCCGTTATCACTGAAAAATCTAACGTATCACAGCTTTAAAGTCTGAATTTTTCCCAAAAAGAAGCTTTGATCATTAACTTAAGGCGTTTATTATTTTAAATCACGCTTAAAAATGCCAAAAATCGCGCAAATTCCTTTTAATTTTCATCAAAACAAACCTTAACTTAAAATTTCGAGACGAGCGTTTCCGGAGTTCAGACATGATTTAGGTCTAGCCCAAGCTATTGTAGGTTTATAGAAATCTCTCGGATTATCCCCGCCGCGAAAAAAACTAAACGAGAATACCTTAGAAAACTCTCGCCAAATTAGCGCCTACCACTAGCTAAGCATGGCTAATTACAACAAAGTGGCATAAATTTAACAGAGGAAGACGGTGCTAAACTTTCAGTAAACATTTATTTTTGCTTCCAAAATTAGTTTTGGTCAACATAGAAAGATAATGGGCTGTATTTTGAATCTTTTTTCGTCTTAATTACTACCTGTGATGAACTTAGCCATTTTTTGCTTTTTTTGTTTTCAATAGAGAGCGATAAATTTTGATGTTTTGTCGCCTTCACTCGGCTGATTTTTCCGTTCGGGCATAAATTATCGCATGCTCGGTCAATACGCCTCTTGTTTATTTACCGAAAGAACCAATACTGGCTTGCGCCCGAAGCGAAAAAGGTTTGCGACTTCTTTCAGTAGCTTAAGAGGTAATTGGGGCTATTCAAATGGAGCGTTTGGCCCAAACAAATGCTGAGATTAAGCAATCGTCCCCCTTTGTCCCAGGGAAAAAGAAATCATTGTCCTTCTCTAAACATCAAACGAAATCGCCTGTATGCCGCGTTCAAGCACGAAACCCAATTGAAAAGCAGTTACGTGAAGACGACGTGGCCTTAGGTGATTTCTAGCGCATCCAAAGCTAGTGCTGGCCATTCAATGCTCACTTTTCCGTCGTTAAGGGGCTTCGTTCAGCTGTTTTAGCCAGGGAAAATAAATTGGAACACTGAAGAGCCACTAAACGATGTTTGAAAAGATCGGTCACTTGTCTAATTGAGGCGGCAAGTTCTTTATGAATGCAAAAGTAGTAAGAGAAGCGATTATTAGCTAGAATTAACCAAACACGGCCTAAATTAATCCATTGAGAGATGTTTCATGTTAAATAGAACTTTTGCATCTCAAATAGAGTTTTCCAATGCACGGCTTGTTTTAATCCCATTCTTCTGCCGTGTGTTTTTTGCGAGAACACAAAAAGAGAATTACCTTAAACAAGATTAGAAGGTGAATTTTCAAGCTCATTATATAGCGTATGTGTTGGGTAGTTCAGCGGCTCGTAGTGTGATTGTTTTCAATTATCACTCTCACAAAGTTACGATCTGACCATTAAAAACCAAAACGTGAGGCGCGCTAATATAATCATATGCCCGTCAACTACCAAATTTAGTACTCAATATTTTTGAAAGGCAAAACCTCGCCACTTGATAGGTCAATTCATTGCAGCTGGATTGAAATTAGGTATTTTTTGAAAAGCCCAAAATCACAACAAGCCTCTCACATAACAATGCTTTCGGACCATTATTCGCCTTTTCAAGCCCTTAACATTTGTTTTCTTCGGCGAACCTTTTAGTAACAGAAGTACTTAATTTCTAGAAAAGTGCCGTGGATCATCCACGGTCTATAAAAAAATATATATGCTCTCTGACTAATCAGCATAACAAAGGTAGACTAGTGTTTAAGGCATAGAACTCTCATGGGAACACGTGGGTTGAAAGACGTGCTTTACAGTTGCTATATATATTGAAATATCAGCTTGTGGGTTACGTAGTCACCAGTGATCCCATTGAACCTGTGACACTCTGGGTATTATGATTTAGCGCGAAGATGCGGGAAAAGCGGTGAAGTGCTACGCCGGAAAAGAACATGTGGATAAGTCATAAGCCAATCAGCTTGTGGGAGCTTTTTGACAGCTTTTGTCAGTTGCGTTCAAAACTCCGCCCATCATTTTTGTCGCAAAGTTCAAAAGCCCAAGCGTATCGTTTATCTGGCAGTTCAGTGTTTCTTTTTATACGCTCAATGGGACGGCTATGGGTTTTGACGTGGAAAGGTTACTAGACCCTGTGGACGACGATTTGAAATGTGGAATATGTTTTGGCGTTCTAGAAGAACCCTTAGCTACCCCATGTGGACATGTGTTCTGTGCCCAGTGTTTGGTTCGATGGACAGCGGAGAGCGGCTACTGTCCTCATACATGTGAGCAGATTTCTGTTGACGATCTCAAGAAAATTCTGCCACTAAGTTGCCTTATCGCAAAGCAAAATATTCGATGTGAAAATTTTCGCCGAGGTTGCCCGGCCATTTTAAAAGTAGAGGATATTCACTCGCATCTTTTAAAATGCCAATTCGTGAAGGAAAATTCTTCCGGAGGCAGAATTATGGAACGCAACAGAGCGAACTCCCCGGAAGCTCGCGAATTTACGCGAGTAGTAGTATGTGAAAATGGCTGCGGCTTGCCGCTGCTCTATCAGGATTCCAACGCACATGACTGCATAAAAGCCCTTCAAGCGCAAGTCGCTTCGCTCCAAATGAAATTGACAAGGGCGGAGCAGGAGAAGGAATTGGCCTGTGAAAGAATAGCCAAGAGGGAAGAGGTTTTTCAGGACCGAATTTTAAATCTGGAGAATGAGTTACACAGCTACCAGATTCAAGTGCTAAATTTCGAAAGGCAATTAAAGGAATACCGCTCTCAAGTAGGATTTTTAAAGAAGCATACAGACGATGAAGCCGATCAGGTAGGTGATTTATGAATGAGCTGTGTAGCTTAGTGTTTAGTTGATTATGTTTTGTTCCAATTGAGCGCGCATGCAGACGCAGTGATATGTTTGATTTGGGGACCAAACCGCAGAATAGCTTGTATGTTTTGAACGTGCAGTGAGCTAGCTAGATCAATACCCGGATCGTTTTGATCAATTAGTAGGCTCTGTGGGGTCCACAGAGGTAGTGATTCCTCTAGAGGCCTAAGGCACCTTACAAAAAAACGCCTCTCTCTGTCTCTCCCGAAGCGCGCATTTTTTAGAGAGTTGTTTTAGCTCGAGTTTGCTTCCAACTATAACCTACTGAGTACTCAGTCTTATACACTCTTAGCGCACGTCGCTTATTAAGCTAAACAATAGCTTGCGCCATGGACTGTGAAAGTAGTTTCGCTCGAATTTATCCATTATAACCGACACCCGACTGTTTTTCTAGCCAAGGTGAGCGACACTTTATTAAGTTGTAAGTAAACAGACACGAGCGAATTTATACGTTTTCTATGTGTTTTTGATTACCGCTGCCAATCGGTTGACTTTCATATATCCTTTGACTTGCAGGCCGCCGAAGAAATAGAAGTCGAAGTGTCTTTATCCAGAGTGGACGGATCTCTCGGTTTCAATATTATGGGGGGCGCAGAGGTATTATATTTTGTAAAGGTCTCTTGGTTATTCTAGACAGCCCCGATGCTCTGAATCGTCACTTGTTTGAGAATTTCGTTCGCGTCGCGCAAGTAATCTCTTTGTTCGCGCAGTACGTGACACGATCGGTCTTAAGAATCCTGTTCTCATTCTTTCGTCTGCTTCTTTGTTTTCTTTACAACTCGCCCGAAATTTATTCTGGCGGAGAACGCGACTTGCACAGGCATGTGGTGCGAGATTTGTTAGAAGATTATCACATAACTAAAACCTTATCAAACTCTAATAATTTTGTTATCACGTCTAGTGAAACTCTGGGCGATCTGACTGGTATTGTGGCGATTGATAAGTAGGGTCCTTTAAGAAAGTTCCTTTGAAAGTGAACTCGTCTTTGTTTTGTTTTTGAAAGAATGTACTCATAAACACGGTTGGATACCGATGTAGTGAAATAAATGAGTGCACTTTTGTCTGTTTTCAAATATACTACGTTGTAAACCGCCGCGCGCGTTCTGTCGCGTTTCGCTTTCATCGCGCGGAAACTTTGGATTTCGATACCCACGCATTCCTTCTCGACAGCTACAGAATTCTGCGTGTCTTTGTTTAGTAACAAACACTTCACTTTTCGCCGTTTTTATTATCAGGTCGGAAACAATTCAGTTGGTGGTGGTATTGTGGTTTCCAAAGTAGCAGACGGCGGACCGGCCTCGAAAGAAGAAGGACTTAAAGTTCATGACAGAATATTGAAGGTAAGACCTGCTGCCGTATTTGTCTTAACGCCCAAACAAAGCCATTCTCGCGCGCGTGTATTACAGTAAAATGTACAAGATCTCTTTCATCATTTGCATGACACCGTCGGTGACACGCATATCTTTAGAGAGCCGCTCGTGATATTAAATTCATCTTTTGTCTCGCTAACCGACCTTATATACGCGCTTCAGCGGTGGGTTGTTCATTTTATGAAGCCTTCATTGCTAAAGAGCTGCTCCTAAAAGGATTTATTTACAGAGAATTGGTCGTAATTTAGCTCAGCGTATTAAATATTTTGTACGTTTCCGACTGTCAGCTTCGGATTAATGAACTAACTAACAAACCATATGCTTCCGTTGCTAAAGGAGAGACACTTTACAAGCTTGATTACCACTTGTAAACAAATTTGGCTTGCCTTTACTTATACCACGTTATCTTAAGGGGAATTGGATTTTACCACTCAGAGCTTTGCGCTAACGCGAAAACAGATAACTCACGACATTTTAATTTCTCAAACAAAGACAGCTTCCCATGGCGAACTGAATTGAAAACCTCAAAGCCTTTTCTCTGACACTGTCGTGTTTATTTTTCGCTTCAAGGACTCGTTTGATGTTTGAATATGTCCCACCACGTGGCCTATGTATAATTCAGGCGCTCTCGCGGCGATTTTTAGTCTCCTGTTTGTTTACCATGCTGTACGTTCAACAGTTCAAAATAGATCAAGTATTTGGCCTCGCTTGCTCCTCAGACCTCATGTGAAATGTCAATCTTTTCTCCGCAGTTGGAAACCACTGCCCTGTCACGCGAGATTCCTGAGTTCTCGCTGCGATAAGAAAAGAAAGAGACCAATTTGCTTTTGTGAGTTTCTTTGCCCACCTGCGCGAGCAAAAATAAATTATACAAACCAGGATGTATTGTGTAGGCATAGTCCAGGCTCTCGCTGTGTTTTACAAAAGGCGTTTATCGGAAATTGATCTGTTAGTTGAACAATATACAGACTGAAGTTTAGGTTTTTCAGAATATTAGCAAGCAACCAAGAATTGACAACAATGCACCAATAAACTTCCCGTAGCCAAAGGCGAGACAAAAGTTTGTAGATTTGTGGAACGAAGAGACAGTAGTCTAAATGAATTATTTATTTTTGTCTTCTCGCACAGCCCGTTGTCTTGTTGTGTTGCCTTCCAGACAAACAAAAATTTGCGAATCTAGTTCAAGGAAATATGAAAGAAAATCCTTTTGAAAGATATTTGAACTTTTCAGCTTCTAGGGTCAAAAACGGCTTACATAATACGCGCGTAACCGCGATGGTAAAATCTCTTTAATATTTCCCCCATACCTTTCAACTGCAAAAGGGCACGTCTGTAATCCTTCATCAGCAATTCAAGTATGGTTTCTAAGGTTTCATAAAATCTCGTAAGATATCAGTATGCTTGTCCGCAAAAGAATCTTAAACATGTAGCTTCTCATGAGCTTGAAATTTGTCTAACTTCTGGCTACGCGCTTATGTAACCCCTCAATGAACAAGTTATTTCTTCGAGTAAAGTATGAAACTTTGACGGTAAATATTAGCTTGCTACTTTTCTGCTGAAAAATGATGATATTTCGCCGGGGAAAAATAGTGCAGAGCCAACATGTAGATTTTTATTGGTAGCCGTATCATATCGCTTGGTGAAAAACCGGGGTGGAGGAATCTTTCATCGCTAGTCTCTTGTATCAAATGCCGATTTCCTGTTCTGTGTCCAATGTTATGATAGACATTGGAGAAACACACATCGTAAGTATTTTGATATAGCGTTACAACATTAGGAAAATGAACGACAGAATTAACATCAAACAATAAATCTCCTTCTCTTTGACCTTCAAAGGTCGCCTTGTAATTTCACGGCTTTTACATAGATCACTATCGCTCCTTTTACGTGCTGACTATAGTATAAAAGCTATATCTCAACATATGACCTCGATCAAAGAACCCATTTAAAGTCGTAAAGTGACTTGTTTGTAACATTTCAGATATATTGATTCGGCGTTAAAATTTCCTTTCGGGTGCCGAAGTTTTGGCTTCGCAAAGTCTAAGAGCCTAGGTTAGCTTATTATTTTCTTTAATTCATGATATTTCGGTCGATTTACGTTTTTAAGAGGTATTGTGTCAGCGTGGGTTCTAGAAAAACCATTTCCTCAATTCCTCGGGTCTCAGTTCCAAAACAATTATCAAAAACCCATCAAAAGCTCTTCCGTTCGAAGAAGATTAATCGTCAGTCACTGACAAGTGGCTGAAAGTGTGTTCAGCCAAATTTAAATATTGTTCTCTGTCCGTAACATTTTTAATTGACCTTTGAATTTTCGATACAACCATACGCTGTTTTGTAACTACAGGATCTGTTAATCCTTAAAAGCTTAGCTTTTGTTATATGCTTTGCATGAGAAAATAATCGCGGCAGTATTTGTTGATAGTTTTGTGAGGTGTAATCTAGATTAAAGCCGGTAGAAAAACTATGAGTGGTACATTCATTAGAATATGTACAAAAAATAGAATTGAGGGAAAACTAGAATAATTTTTTGTGAACAACGAAAATAAAATTTTCCGCATATTCTAAAGAATATTTCCCATTATTAGCGATTTGCTCTGCATGACAACGTTGTCAAATAAATAAAATATTTGTCTTAGTAATATTTGAAGAAACAAGGTGTTTCGTATACTAAGAGTGATTAAGAATTCCCTGCTGTTCGTTAAAAAGGTGTTTTATCGAAATATTGTGTGGTTTTTCCGTAATACAAAAGAAAGGACGCAAAGTTTGAACTTTGACGTGATTTCAGGAACAAAAAGGAATTTGATAAAATCGCGTCTATGTGTTATAAACAGTACAAGTATACCGGACAGCAGCAGATTAAAAAAGATAAATATACGCCTGAACATCGTAAAGCTTGGAAATAACAAGCGTATTTCATGTATTAGTAATGTAGAACTCTATTAACTGAACGAAAATTCCTTGAAGTTTAGTCGAGTCATCAAAGGATTTACCAAGTTCCCTGGTATAATTTATTCAGTATTTTAGTGAATACTTTTTAGTGACAATTCGAAAAGGGAGAATGGTCTTTTTAGAATTTAACCGAAAAGACTTGAAGCCGTTTAATTTACAATAGCTAAAATGCAGCTTAATGTTGGTGCGATGAAAGGCTGTTCGACTCATTAAGTGACGGTAAGTGAAAATCACTTTTCTAAAATGCTAAACAAGACAGCGACATTAAGATATAGAAATACGTAGCCGACTGGCTCCTTCTCGCGCAGTTGATTACTTATAGCATAAGCCGGCTGACAAGTGATTATCTCTTGTCTGAAAAAGAAAAAAAAACTGTTAATTTTTCCCGAATTAACGAATGAACCATTTTCTAATGCCGCCTAACGAACTAGTAGCAATTCATAAATATTTTTCCTATTTAAAATTCATTTGGCCGGTCATGCTTTAAAAAGGCAGAAGTTATCAAATTTTCAACTAAGTGTACTAAATTGGATTTAAAGAAACACAAAGCAAGAAACCGTTTTACATTATTTATTGTTTTTGTATACCCACGGCAGGTGTTTGTCTGCAAACGGTAATGAATTTAGACAAACCGAAACATTCTTAATTTATGCTATTTCCCTAGGAGCTACTTTTTTCGATTATTTTATACCAAAGATATAAATATCCAGAACTAAAGCCGATAAAATATACAAGTCGAAAATTATAATTAACGCGCAAAATGCGGCGTTTTATCGCATATTTTTGACTGCCCGTTGAGTAGATAAATCTGGTACAGTGAGTGATACAGGGTCCGATTTTCACGGCGGCTCCAAAAAATAAAATGTATTTGTTGTCACCATATTTACGGCAAATTTTCTACTGAACAGGATATTTAACTCTTTTGAACTGTTTTCTGAAAAAAAAACCTATGAAAATAAATTTGATTCATTTGTCATGCCGTGCAAAAATACATTCATTAGCATTGTTGAATTGCGGAAAGTCATTCAGCATCCTTTATGATAAATATTATTTTTGATTTTGTGTCCAAGAAACTAACTCTCTTAAATTTAATGCTAAAAAATTTATTAAAAAACCCTGACGTCTCTCTTGTATATTACTATACTTCTTGTTTTCCGAAAAATGAAAAATTTTTGTTGGATACATTTTAAAGGAAGATCGCATGCTAACATGTTAATTAACAAAGAACCATCCATTAGGTCGTGATACCAACCTCGTAATAGGGAGAAAAATATTGACATAAGTTTCAAATTATCCACTTGTTTCTCTGTCGTTAGTGGTAAATATTATCAATGTTTTTCAAAGTAGGACTTTCAAAGTCACGGAAGGTGTGTGAGATATATATTTTAAGATATCGCGGTAAAGTGTCCTCGAAAGTATCGTCTAGGCTGATTATTACGAAAGGTGAGTGAATTCAAACTTGAGCAAAACTTTAAGAATTGAAATTCATCGTGGTTTGTTTGCAGCAAAAATGTACAGATTTTAATGTATTTTACGCGGAAGATCTAATGGTCACCAATATGTAATGAAACTATTTTTGTAGCAAACGTATCCAATATCTTCTAAGTTCAAGGTAAAAAAAAATAAAAAATAAAATACGCTAAATATAGAAGTTCAGGAACAAAACATATCACTAACTGTTTGGGATTTGCAAAAGTAATTTAATTATTTTAAACCGATTTTTTTTTTTTCAATATCTATAAGGCGCACTTTTCCTTGTAGGATTTCATGGACTAATTTGGTCAAATTGAGAAAATCCTTTCAAAGGTATCTGACTGATTCCCACGCAATATTGCAAAAGGGGATATTTTAATGTTATCAGTGAATAGATTGGCTTGACCGCGGTTGGTCGGAGTGAAAAGCGAAAGATAACTTTTTTAAGATAGTACATTTGGAAAGGTAAACCTTGTCTAGATAAATTTGTTTATATGAACTAGCTGGAATGCCAGAGACCTACAGAAGTTGACCTTTTAAATCGGTATATTTTTAATAATATGGGGGGCAGCTGTATGATTTCACAGCGAAAAATTTCTACCGTTTTACGTTGGTCACAATTAGTTGCTTGTATTTGCCCCAAAGCGTTTTGTCAGTTCGTCAAATGCAAAGCACTCTATTGGTTCCCGTTTCTGGACGTTTGAAGGATCGTCAAAAAAACAAAAAGAGACATCGATGTTAATGATTTCACACGAGGGTTATTCGTGCCCGTAATGTTCATACAAACACCTTTGAATTGTACATTGTAATAATATTTAGTTACAGCACAGATTTATAATCAGTTTTGCGTTTTTCTTAGTGGTATTAAGCGAACATAAAAGCTCTCAGGCGATTCTTACGAAAAAGATTCGAATTCTCTGTTAAATTGACTCTAATGTGCTTTTGCATTCTTTCGATGTCGAAAATTTTGTGCCAATCTATTTCGCTGATACAAATAACACATGGCCTGAAGATTTGCTTTTGTATCTATCACTGAATCATTCTACGACTCTGAATTGCCTTTCTAAATAGCCAAAAATGGCAATGTTTTTAGCATTGAAAGGATAACTCTAATAAAAACAGACGTAAACTGCATCTGGCAAATCGATCCTTCAACCAAGACTAATGATGAACGGAGCAGATTTTCGCTTCATTATCATCAGAAAGATATCGACGAAGGAAATGCTATCAGATAGAATTTGAATTGTCCCTGGGATTGTCTCGTTCATACAGGATGTGGTTTCAAATAGTGATTGAAGTTCCTGTGCAAAAAGCGATGAACCTTGATGATATTTTCTTTTCGTACATAATTTGTTGTGGAATCGAACCCACAGTAAATTTAACTCGTTATCGCTTTTCAAATCATTGACCCTCACATTCCTTAGAGTGCCAAAAATTCCGAATTTCATTAAAGAAATAGAAAAAGACACAAACTCAAAGAAGACCATGTCAAAGTACTGCTGAAGAGGTTTCATTTGACACACTGTTGCACTACATGGGCCCGGCCTGCGTTCTTTCCAAGTGTAATCACCTACTGAAACGTGTTTAGCCCAATATTTAACTGCGACTTGACTTTTCTGTCTCTCGTTTGTAATTTGGAAGAATATTTCTTTACGTCTGTTTTAGGTCATCATCGTACGATCTTGCCAATCTTACCACACCCCCCATTATACTAATGTATGCATTAAGCTATTGTCTATCTTTTTTCTGGCACAAAATTCGACAAAACCTCAACGCGTCAATACAAATGTTATCAGTATGTGCAGCTAATTTTAAAAGGACGCCTATATTTTTGACAGATGTACTCGTTGATGGCTCCATTTTACCTTCCTGGGCGGTAGTCAGTTTACAGTCGTGATAACCTCGTAGAAATGATGTCTTAAACTGTAGCTCGATTTGAGATAAAACCCCATTTTCTGCGCACAGCATCTACACTCCTGACACCAAATGAAGGTGACAAATCTTTCGTTGGTGAAGGAGATTCCATCCTACTGCTGTTATTACCTGGCAACTGAGAAACACTTTAATATGTCTAGGATGCAGAGAGTAACCCAAATTGTCAAGAGATGTCGTGGTATCGATTTCATGAAAATTGTTACCATGCTGTCCCACACAGGCTGCAGAAAGTTAAAGCAAGTGTCACAAAATGCAATCAGAACGACTTTTCAATATGCTTTAAAAAGAAGTATATTAAGACGTGTCAGAAAACGCAAATCGTATATCCGTTTCTTAAGTTATTTCAGTAGTGTAAGAAAACAGAACAGATCCATTTGTAAGAAGACGCTACGCAAGCGTTGTAGACGAAATAAAGATAACAAATGAACCATTTAATGTGATTCAATTTACGGGTTTGAAGGACCGAGGAGGATGGAATTTGCCTGGGGCTTTCTGATTTGACATGTGATAAAAAGGTGCGGGATAAGCAAGTTTTGATAGGGTGAACAGTGTTCATTGATATTTTTGAAATTTAAATCTTCTGATGTTTGGAAGAGCGAACAAGAAGCTTGTAAGTTAAATATTGAAATTTTTGAAACATAAACAGACAAACGAATATAAACGAAACAAAGCAAAACAAAAGTTGGATAACAAGAGGAAATAGCAAAAAAACTATTTTGTGTCAACATAATTTAATAATAGTTTTATTCCTTAGGTGTTAGCCTGTAGACAATACAAAATTTTATCAGCTAGTAGTGTTTTGAATCGTGCTTTCCTTTGCAAAAGCCAAAGCGAACAGCTCAACAAATTCTGGGAACCAATGTTGATTTGTGAAGTTTGGGTTTCGGTCAGTGCGGAAAGAAATCATGTTACCAGCTGCAGAAGATTGATTTGTTAACCTACTGCTTTGATTTTGCGCCTGGCTGATGGGGAAACAGAAAGACTTACCCTGGCCATAACAATTTCTTCTTATATTCACTTAAGGAAATGCGGTTCTTATCAAGACGTGTAAATTGATAAGAACTGATTTTGTTTTCTGGCGTCAGACTGCTGGGCATGCTCTACTGACGACAGAATTTTTATGAACTGCTACACAAAACGTTGAAATCTTTGAAAATCGTAAATCACTTGTTCTTATTGTTCTTTTCGATGTTTCACGTTGCAGGTCAACGGAACAGATCTCTTAGAAGCGAGTCACGCTACAGCTGTGGAAGCTATCAAGAGTGCCTCTGAACCGCTGCATATTCTGGTGAAACGTAAGCGAACCGACGTGATACCCTTTGTCCAGTACGTCCCTGAAGTGATCTCATCTGGAACACAGACAGATCTCTGCCTTTCTCAAGAAATAGAGAGTATGGACACGGATAGCGGAATACACGACAGATACAGCCCTCGACAGGATTTGTTGAATCCCTTCGAGAAATCACTTGACGACGGAACAAGTAGTTCCGAATGCTCACGCCGTCGTTTGGAGTCATTCTGCAGAGACGATGTAGAAAATCTGCGGTCGACAAGCGAGAGCTTGCCGAGCTCTGAGAACATTGTCAGTAGTGAGCAGGGGACATTGCCTCGAGTCACTTTCGCTGTAAAAGATGTTAATTACGTGAACAATGTAGATGAGAACTCAAACTGTAGGTTGGAAGGACAATCGTACGTGACTGCAGTTTCTGACGAAATATATTTTGACCCTGAGTTCGACTATGAATATGAGGTGAGTATTGGTTGATTACGTCACACTTGGACGCCTAAGAGTGCGAGAAAATATACTTGCCATAACAGTATTCTCGAAAACAAGGCGTAAGGCGCATATCAAAGCCTTCGTACATCCGGTGCCCCGTTTTAAGTGGTGTAATTATTTGAATGATGTGTGATAATGGACTCAGAGAAAACTCCACGCCTTTATAACCTTGACCAAGAAGTACTGTCCGTTGGCTTTCAACAGAAACATTTCATTGAGGGTCCCTTAACAGACAGTGGTAAATGCCTTCTTTTCCTGCGGATTTTACCTGGAATTCCCGAAGGAGAGTCAAAAAGCGGTGTTGTGAATGTACTGGTTGATAACCAATATTTTGAAAAGAATTTCGAGACTTGATCTTGGCCTTCTGAAGAAGGTCGCGCGTACACGTAAAAGTTGAATCTCTCTTAACTTGCTTTTACGCGCGACCTTTTATACATTGTTTCTATTTTGTCTCTTTATTTTTGGCGCGTAAATTTACATGCGCACGCATTCGTGCGTAAACGAAAAAGTTGAACCTCGCTCAACTTTTAAGTTTACCCGCGTCCTTTCATACATTGCCTTTATTTTATTTCTTGCTTAACCCTAACCTTAATTAACCCGTAAAAATTACGCTGCAGTGGAAATCCACCCTTAGCATGGTTGCCACAGATCAGGAAATGGTCAAGGCAAAAATTTTTCTTTAATGTCAGAGAAAAGTCAGGGAATTTCACTTCGAGTCAGGGAAAATTTAAGTCTTGGAAAGAAGTTAGGGAAAAGAGAAATTTTAAGAGTACATATTTATTTTCTACTGTATTTTAAATTCTTTTGCACGTTTTACGGACACGAATCATATTGTATTGGTATAATGTCCATGAAATTGAACGCAAGCTGATGTTGGGTTTCCGAGAAAGTCAATCCTTTTTGCACATATTGTCAAGGAAGTATCAATTCATGTACACTGAAGGTGACTTTCTGAAAGCATAAAAAAATGGCTGTGAGGGGAGAATTTAGTCCATTTTCTGGACCAAATTGTAAAATTGTTAATTCAGTTGGTCAGGGAAATTTTAAATTTGTCAGGGGAAAGTCAAAGAATTTCAGAACCCTCTGGCTGTGGCAACCATGTTAGGTTTGTTCAAAAGGGATTGGGAAACATCTTACATATACAATACTAACGCCAAAGAGGTTTCACTTGTATGCAACACCAAAGGATTTCATCCAGATTCGAAAGTTAGAATGACAAACCATCTCACGACAACACATGATTTAAGTCCTCGTGGCCCGATTTGTCTTACGACCTGTCGATCCACGTTTACTATCCTGGCCTTTTGAACCGAAAGTCCAGTCCGCTAATCTTTATGTGTTTTTGTTTTGACTGAATCCGTTCCAGGAAATAACTCTCTGGATAGCAAACAGTGATCTAGGATTAACATTCTGTTGCGGGGAAGAAGATGAATCTACGGTACATGTGTGCGAGGTAAGCTAATTGATTAACCGGAAAATGAGAAAGAAAAGCTTAGATCTGGTTACGCGACTGTTTTGTACTTTAATTACACAAAAGTACGAAGCATTACTCTAGACGCCATCGTTACGTAATTGAAAGCGCTGTACTGGCAACTGTCAACATTTTTTCTCTTTCCTCCCAAATGTTTTGTGACTGATTCATTGAGCAGAAACGTTGGCTGCTTGCCTTAACCAGCTGGAGATTGCACGCCTTGTATTATGAAGAACCGTTTTAAATAGGTTTGGTTCTGTCAAGCAGAGGCAGAGGCAATTAATGGCGACCCAATAGAAGACCTCGGTATGTGTGCCTGTCGACTGTAATCTGCGGACTATTATCTTGTTACTTCCCTCATCGGAGATCTTTTCTGATCACCATAATCTTGTTACTGAGTTAATGTGCCTTGATCTTGTTAGAGTCGTTCAATTTGAAAAAACCACATCGCGATCTTGTTTGCATACCACCCACTGTTCTCCTTAGTCCTTTCCCTGGCAATACAACTGAAGTCAAGACTGTTAAGACAAGACTAAAACTGCCAGATCTATAAACCAATATTATTATTCGTCTTGACCAGGGGAAAGCGGTTACTTACATCCCATAACCTCGTGCAATTTTCTATGCCGAACATTCCTTCATTTTTGGCTAATTTGGGAGGGCCTATTCAGTTTACGTTTAAACTTTTTATTTAAGTAAGTGCTTCCGGAATGAAAAAGGCTTAGCCTTGCCGAAATCGCAATCAATCAATAAATCTTTCCCGCATTCCTGTAAACAAAGGAGCGGAATGGAGCGGAATGCGGGAAAGGCCTAATGAGCGTAAATTACCGCCAATACATTTTTGAAGACTCTATTTTCTATTGTTACTTGTTATACACTTGCTTTCTCAGTAGGTAATGGCTGGCTTGTTTGAAACGTCCGCTGACATATAGCAAGTAGACACCCATGAGCCAACAAAAACAAAATGTCCCTGACTTATTAAAGTAAATCAAGGTTATTGTGGTCTTTTAATGCAAAAAAAAAAGTTGTCGAAGACGTCTTTGTTCTTGACCGTTAATCTTCCCCGACACCCTTTCGTACCTGCGGAATCACCCTCTTTCTAGAGGAGTTCAAAAGAAGACCAAATTTGTTATTTCTTTTGACAGATTGATCCCGGTTCCGTGGCATACCTTGATGGAAGATTGACCCTGTGGGATGAAGTTTTGAAGGTATGAGATATTCAGTGAAGGCGTCAACTAGTTGTAAACTGTTACACAGGGAAACCCTCTTTATTCGAACATCACAGGGACAGAGCCATGTGTCCGCATTACAAAGGCATCCGTATTATAAGGGTAGGAATTTGGTAACCTTGGTATCTTGGCCAAAAAAGTCAAGAAACTGTTCGCTATTGAGGCGTCCGTAGGTTTTGCTTAACTTCTACGCTGACTCGCAGCCAAACCTTTAAAATCTAAATGTGTCTGCGAAGAGCTTGACGCGGTAAATCTATTTAAAATCTATAGTGGCAAAGCGAGTTCCCTTCATACACTAAACACGAGTTGGGCGTCTTTTAACGTAGAAATACAATTGAAGGCGCAGTTTCACAAACTTCAGACGCGCGAAGTAAGAAAAGTCGGAACTGCTGAACTACGCGATACCACTGTTCATAAAAGGAAATCGCGATCGATCCGCACTTGTTGGAGTAATTAACGTGACTGCAACTGTTCATTTCTTTCCGCAGATCAATAATGTGCCTGTTACGCACATAGGTGATATAGAGCCATTGGTTTATGAATCATCCGAGACTATCAAGTTTCTTGTAGCACGGCCGGCTCAAGAGGTTTGTACATCATCGAAACATTATTTCAACCCTTTAGCCTTAAGAGTGATCAGCATCAAATTTCTCCTTGTAACCTCAATGCCTTGTAAAACAGAGTGGTTATGAGAATTATGGATATGATCACACAAGATGAATTTGCTTGATATTTTAGCAACTTCTCCCTAATACTTCTGTAGCAAATCAATAAGGCAACAAATGAGAATTCAAATTTTGATCTTAAGGTTTAAAGGGTTAATTATTACTGTTACTGTGTCACCTGTGAAAATAGATTTTCCGTAGCAATATGAGGTAGTCGGGGGTGTTCCTACTAAACGTGAGTCTAAAGGAATAAAAAGCTTTCGTGGGATAAGATAAGACAGGATATGCAATTTAACTTAAGTGCACAGGTAAACCAATCAATATAGCATGGTATCCTGTGGCTTTCGCCTATATGCTTTGGCTTGCGTTGATGCCTCATTCCTGCCACTCACGTCATGTGATACATGGTAACAGATGAATTTAGCTAAGTGGACTATGTTAAGTAGGAACATTTTTATTTGAATTCCTTTGGCAAACTTTAAGTGAGATTAAGGATTCCTGGTGCGCCTACTTGCAAGATTTAGTTTGCATTGAAAGAGTTTGAAACTGTCGATAAGAGGAACAGACAAGTTATGAGGGTTTTTCTTTTTTCAATTTTAGTCTGATGAATGATTGTGACATTCAGTGGAAATATTATAAAATCACGGAGAAAACGCGCAAAATGTTCCGCAATTTGTTTGTCCGCACTTAGATAACGGAAGCAATGCTTTTTTCTCTCCTCGTAATAGTATCGTGGCCAGTAGTTACATTTACTTTGTAAACTCCGTCTTATAACAGAGGGGAATGTTCATAATCTGTATAAAAGAAATTTCTGCACGCAATATTCTTGAGGATTGCGTGTTTGTATGTATTTTCAAAACACAAATCTGTTCCTTTATCAATAAAACCTATTTTAATACGGCAAGGTGTAGAGCTCAAGTTGCTTTTTAATAGCGATCATTTTGTCGACTTAACTTGTTTTTCTTAAGCAGCGTCACGGAATGGTTGTTTGTCAGCCCTGTAAAAGGACGTGATTAATTTTTTTTATTTGCAAGAGGTTTCCAACCTTGCCCTCAAAAGTGGAATTTTATATCGCAGAATTATAGAACTGGTTAATAGCTGTTCATAGACCTTTATGTCGTGCACTTGACATAATTGGATTCTATGTTCTTTCGGTTTTCTCTTTATACGTAAAAAGCATTTCACAATGGATATCGTCTTAATGTTAATCCACTGTTAAACATCTATTTTTAATCCTTAGCAAAACTACTGAATGCTACTATACGATAAAACATAACGTTTCAAACAATATACCGTGTAAACTTCTGAAACTTGCGTTTCTTGCGAAAGTCTAGTTTCAAATGCCTGGTGCTGGTTTATATCGCAACACAAGGTCGATAGTGTCTTATTTGATAAAGAAAAATCGTATGTTGATTGAAAAGATCAAAAGCGTTGATTTAAACAGTTTCGGAAGTACGTTTATTATGCGTCTGGTTTGTAAAAGTAAAAACGTGAAGCATGAAGGAAGCTGGAAAAATGGGTCGCGTCTGCGAGAACAAGCAAAGGCAAGCTTAATTGCGCTTTTGGAGGTCTTTCTGTTACAAGTTTACTTTAAAAAGTCTTTCTTTGTTTTAGGGGGTGTTTTGGCGTCTAGACAATACTTTCATTAGATACTATGAATAGACTTTAAAGTAGATCTTTGTACACTACTTATGCTCAAATTTATCACAAGGCTGTGCCATAGGGCAACCGTTTATAGACTTAAATGCAGAGATCTCGATAACTTTAACTTTGAGAGCATCCGCATTTCTTTCGTGTAGTGCTGTATTTCTATAGAGCCAGACATGGTGGCTCTTGCTAACTCAGTATGCGTTCTTAATTTAAGTTCAGATAGCTGTTTACTATACTCTAAAACTACCCTTAAGCGAAGCTGTGGACTTTAAGTCTGTTAGTCTTGGTGTTTAACAGTATCAAGTAGCTTGATCTTGTTCAACGTATTTCCTTTTGGGTGAAAAAGTCCAATAACTGTCTCATCCATAAAAAGCTTTGCGGACAAAAAATTATCTTCTTACTGAAAGCAAATTAGATTATATTTCACAGAGCCGACAACCTGCCTGCCGAACTCAGACAAAGTTAATCTCGTTGTAATTCGCCTTGGTATTTAATGCGAAAATGGTATAAAAAATAATTAGCCGCAATTTTTTAATGGTGATTAACAGTGTTAAATCCAATTAAAATACCAAAGGTGAAATCGTTCGTTTAACAACCATGATATCGATCTTCGTAGTGAATGGAGGCCTGTAAGGAGAGAACCGATAGGTCACATTGTTATTTGCTCCTTGTGTTTCCAATATAATTGAAGCTACTTATCTGTTCATAGGTGTTACCCCTGGGGGAAAATGGGATTCCTTGATGTAACCCGCGGGGGATGATTTACATTGGTCGCATTAATATTATAGATCGTTAATTAAGCCAATTTATTCTTGTGTCCTCTAGGTGCAAGCCACTCTCATAGGTAGCGAGGGAAGCCAGGACTGGAATTTTATTGACCCCATAGACGAAGATTTAGGAAACTTTAGAATTGGCGTAATCAAGGAAGAAGAAGAAGACGGAAAAGATGAGTTAAGTAGAAACTTGACGAACGGGTATAAATGTGAGAAAGACAGTGGAGTCGGGAAAACCGACGAGAGTACGAAGAATGACGAAAGCTCCGAGCAGGACTTCGGAGAGGACGCTCTTATGCCACAGAACTCTTGTAAAACTCCAGATGCCGATGTTACTAATAGCTTTGCTATTGGTGATACAAATTCACCGGAACGGAAGAGCAGTTCAGATTCTTCACCAAGTAGAGAGGAACGAGCGTTTTCTCCCATACGGTCGGGGGAGAACAAGTCACCTAACAAATCGACCCAAGTCGAGAAAGACTCTTGTCGGGATAACAAAGAACGTTCTGAAAGCAGCTCAAAACGCCGTAGTAGTGAATCTTCAAGTAAAAACTGTCTTTCTCCTACGCGAAATGGTGGCTCGCCACCAAGAAAGGATAAAGAGAGAGGAAAAGAACGAAAGAAGACGCGGGATTCGCGTAAGGATAGATACGGCGATGAATCCCGCGGGGAACGCGATCGTGATCGTGAACGAGAGCGTGACCGTGATCGAGATCGTAGCCGGCACGCAGATCACAGGCGAAGTAATAAGCTCGGCAATGTAAGCAGGACAATTCGCGCGTCTTACATAAGAGCTGTAAATAAAGACTCTACTCAACACATAAACTGGATCGGTGAGTCGGACTGTTTTGGTGGGAGATCCGATCATCAAGACCATCGCAGCAAAAAGAAGACTAATTTAAATGACAATCAGTCCCTGAACGGGTCTCAACAGAACATTGAGTGGAAAGTGCGCATGTCCAAGGATGGCAGTCAAATTTTTGTTCGCAAGCGGCCTGCCACACCCGCTAGACAAGCGAGAAACAAACTTCTCCGCGAACGTGCGCAAAAAATCACGGACGAACGCAAAGGCTTGACTACGGATGATGACACGCACACAGTCTACCAAGGCCGCTACTGGCCGCGCGAGGAACGGAGACGACATCTAGAACGGGTGCGGGAAGCGCGCAAAAAGAAATTTCAAAAACTGCAACAAATAAAGGAGGCTGAAAGCCCGCACACGGGCAGCGGTTCTGAGAGTGGCAAAGGACGTAGGGATTTAATAGTGGAAATGAGCCACAGAAGAATGAACAGGAATAAGCAACAACATTTTGATGACTTTACGACTGTTCGGGAGTATCTAACCCAGCGAAACCCGGACGGGTCTCCGGTTGGTCCGATACACGTAACTACCGTTTAATACTGACCTTAATATAAGGCATTTTGATGGTTAAACGAGCGAAAATAATATTGTTATAGTTAATTTGCTCTTCACAAGGGCTGGAGTTGTCGTTATTGTTAGTAGATTTACTTTATTTTTTGCGCGTTGTATTTACTAAAGTTAAAGTTATGGAATACCTTGTGGTAATTGTTTTTTAACAATACCATCTACGACTTATGTTAAAAAAAAAAAATTCTCGCGCAAACAAAAGTTTTTACAAACCTTCTTACAATTGTCATTGGTGTTCCAGTTAGCCCTAGATAAATCGATAAAATATATTTATCCGTCCAGGCAGATATTTGGATAGAAACGTCACGCAATCCTTTTCGCGGCGTTGCGTGACACGAGGTTAGAGACTGAAGATGCAACGTTATTTGTTGCCACACGATTTCTTGTTCATTGTCGGAAGCTTGTAATTTATTGCCACCCAGTTGTATCTATGTAAAAAATAGTAAAAGATGTAGTATTATGTGAAACAAACAAATTTAACTATTGTCAAATTTAATAGAATTGAGGCTATTTCCATTTCTCCAAGTGAGAAGCGAAAAGGATGTCAAAATGGGTGTTCTCAAAGCTTTCTGGTTTCAGTTCTCCTTTGAGCAAGTGGATCTGTAAAGGAGAATTTAACACAGTTCCATTTCATTAAAAGATCGAATACACTCGGCGTGAATACTATTTTTCTCTTTTTTAACCGAAATATGCAGTAGCACTCGATGGGAAAAGTTGACCCTTACTCCGAAAAGTGCAAAAAATCAATTTAAGGAAAAAAACCCAGATTTCATATCACAGCTGAATTAATGAGAAAATGGCACCATGTGAAGTTACGAAGAGTCTTCATTCAAATGGTCGCATCAAGAGACATCGTCCTACAAATTCAAAAGTTTTATTCGGCTTCTTCAGTATATATACCCTATTTAGTCTTTTTGATGTACAAAGACTATAGTGTTATTGGTTAATGGGTAGCGCCAGTTGTGTTCTTTGCGACAAAACCCGGGACTAGGTGGGGCTATAGACTTTGTATTTAGTGCCCTAACCCAAACGTTAACTTCGCGTTACAACCACATTTTGTCCTTTTCACGACAATTTTTAGTATTTTAGTGTATGAAATTTGGGATTCTTTTTGTCTTTTGCCCTTTACTGGGAATTATTTAAAAACGCGTTATTACGCATTCTTTCTTTCTTTGTTGCTTCTGAAAGTTTCATTGAATTTAAACATCGCCAGATCAAGTTTTTATGATACAAATGAACAGAGTTGTTGTTACTTTCACTTCAGCTAGTTCCTTGTAAAAAGTGTAGCTTATTGGTGAAAGTGCGCTGTGGTAGCACAGAAACTCGATTTCTTGGTGTTCTTTGTCGAGCAAAGATTTAAATAATTTATGTTATTGCGAATTTGTAAATAAAATTTATTGAACAAGAGCATTGAATGCGTCAATTCTTGGTCAGTATCTAGTACTGTTTGCCTTCAGTTAAGTAACTTTTTCCCTTGGGCGCCAAATGGGACTGTCCTTTGTTAATGGATACTGCATCAAGAGACAAACGATAAGTCTGTTATTGCTTATTATTCATTGACAATATTTCGCCGTTTCTGACTGGCTCCATTTCCCACGCTAATTCTTCATAACCAACGGGCGCTTAGCATGCTTTGGAAGATGCGAGCAATATCCCATCGATTCGATGGTATATTTGATTGGAAACGAGGTCGATCGATGGTATATTTGATTGGAAAAGAGGCTTCATGGGCAATAGATCATCCATCAAAGTGGCATTCACGGCCATCAGAAGACGAAATAGCTTAATTTCTAACTAAAACTGGACGGAAGAAATGCAAAAATACACAAAACATATTGCTCAATTAATGTTATCTACTTTTTGAGGAGTATTTTCAAGAAAACGCCATCTGTTTATATCCTGAAACGGCGCCGAGAAACTGGCCAAAGTTTAGAAGAGGGTCTACGAGGAGGTAAGCTTGTTAAGAACTCTTTGAATGAATATAAAAGCTAAAATAGTTACTGAATTCGGCTTTCGTACGATGTGAAGAATAGTGCAAATCTCGGGGGATGTTATCCACCTTGACCTTCATCCTCGGTGGATAACACCCTCGTCGATCTGCATAATTCTTGACATCCTACTCAGCCTCATTCAATAATTACTAATACCACGATTAATAACGAAAACCTTTTTCCTGGCCCTGGGATGCTACAAGCTATGACGTAACGACAACAGGGGCGTTTTCACACTTAATCATGCTTGCAAAAACTTCCATTTTCTTCCAAAAGCTTCCAAAAGCAGCAAACTTATTTCTTCCAAGTCTTCTTCAAGGATACCATTTTAAGCTTCGCGCTTATTTTTAAGTTAAATCCAACATGGCGGCGGGCTTGTCGTCACTATCCACAACACCAGGATCCTCTTTTATTCTTTAATCTTGGTAGGTATACTCCTAAAACAGTTTTAATTGACTATACTAGGAGTTTTAAAAGCAAAATTTAAATAAATAAGTAAATAAAAAAACATACACACCGTTTACACAACCCAGTGTAAACGGAATGTGAATAACACCAATATCAAGGAGGAGGATGGTGTATGCGACGAGTCCTCCTCCCTAACCCCCCGCCCCCCCCGTCGAAAAAAAAAACATTGTCCCAAGTCAATAGGTACGTACAGTCGAACCCCGCTATTTCGAACTCGGTTAATTCGAAGTCCCCGCTATTTCGAAGGAAGATCGAATTCCCTTGGATTTACCCTTCCCCTTTACGCTTCCCCGGTTATTTCGAAACCCCGCTATTTCGAACTTTTTTCCATTTCCCTTGGGACTTCGAAATAGCGGGGTTCGACTGTATTTCAAACATGACTGAAGAAGACTCTTCAGACTGACTTTTCTCATTTATTTATTCGTAAAAGTTCACATTGAGAGATCTATGGCTCCTTGGATCACTCCTCTTAATCAAAGAAGTGCGTCACCCAGTCCCTTTCTTGACAGATTGCCGAGAAGGAATGGGTACAATCAGTTCAAAATGGCGGACAAACACGACAAAAATGGTTTAGATGGAGTGATACGGGATTTTTATGGGTAGACTTAGTTTCTGCTGGTTAAGAATGATTATTTTGACAATTTAAAGCTGAGAAGGAAGTTTCCCATAGAAAATGTGCCCTGAGATTCGCGTACCAATTATTTTAAGCGAGAAAATGAGGCAAAGTTGATTGAAGATGGCCCTTTTGGCCAAACATTCATGTATACGACTACAGTACTTACCCGCTTATAAGAACCTATTTTTTCAGATTTAGCCTAAACGGGTTCTTATGTAAATGGTGTTTAGTGGAATTTTAGGCTACAGAGGGTCTTAAATAGGTTCTTATATAATGAGAAATATATTATACATCTGTAAATGGTAGAAAGGTGGAATATATATTAATTTAATGACACAGGCATGACCAATTTTAGTAGATACATTCAGTATCAAGCTAAAACTAAAAGTTCATGTATTAATATATTCCAATGAAATAGATATGTATATATATACTTCTGTCCATGTGCCTGAATAAAATGTTTTTTTTTGACAGAAGAAGTTATAACTGAAACATTTTCCATGAAATAAGAACCTGTTTCAAATTTTAGGCTAAACAGGTTCTTATGTAAATGGGGTCTAAATTGAGAATTTTAGGCTAACAGGTTCTTAAATACAGGTTCTTATAAGCGGGTAAGTACTGTATTACAAGTGGAGAAATTCATGTCAGCACCGTTAAAATTCACCTCAGTCTTTTACAGGACATCTCCATCGATAACTGAATCAACGGGCTCTTACATTTCCCTGAAAACTGTTGCAAGCATTCAAAATCGTACGCGCTCCCTGGTGCAGGCCTTGCGAGCTGCCAAAAACGAACAGTCGAGATTGATTCGCCTGGAAGAATTCAACGACCATATTCTTCGCTATCAGGGTGTCAGTAGAAGTCAGGCCATTCGAGAGAAGGCGATAAGTACTCTGTTGGATATCAGAAAGAAGGGCAACAAGGAGGTGTGCAAAGAAGCTCAAAAGGCGTTGGTCTTGCTGGGCTGGGTGGATCCTGTTAAAGGAACAGGAATCAAGGTTTTGTCGATTGATGGCGGAGGATCCAGGTAAGTTTGAAGATAAAGAAAGCTGTGATTGGGTGGTGGGTGTTGCAGAGGAGAGACATCAATAGGTAATTTCCGATTTGCCTCAATACTCTGTTTCAAAACATGGCTAAGAGCAAAGTCATTGATATGATAATGGTTTTTTATTCTTATGCAAATAAAACTCATTTCCACTAGGCCCCGGTTGTTCAAACATTGAATAGTGCTCTCCACTGGATAAATCTCTATCCAGCTGATAAGTATTAGGGAAACCAATTGCACTATCCACTGGATAGAGATTTATCCATGGGATAGTTCTATCCACCTTTTGAACAAGGCCAGGAAAGGGCCAGGAAGGTTATGCACTAAGCATCATTTTGAATGTGAAAGGCTTTGGAACTCGGAAATGGCCTATTGGCTATTTTACGATGGGAGGCTCACTCAACCTGGTAAAGCGGGGGCAGAGGATGACTCTGCTGAAACCTCGTTATAGCAAACAAATTTTGCCAGTTCCTTGGCACCTTGTTATATCAAGGTTCTGCTGTACGCTGCTAGATATTTCTTTACACGCAATCCAAAGTAATACCATTATGGGTAAAAATAGATGTTAATAAGATCATTGCAGTTGAAGACTCAACTCATGCAGGTGTGAAAAGAAAACCTGAAAACTTCAGGCTTGCTGAGATTCAAACCCTGACGTCTGTGATACTATTGCAGTTCCCCAACCAGTTAAGCTAAGTAGCCAACTGGTAGGCGGTCATTCTTAAGTCTTTCATAAATTATTGTAAACAGGGTACAGCATGCACGAGTAGAGATGTTTGCAGATATCTAGTTTGTCATTGCTCAGGTCATTCTCTTTTCTCCGCTGTTGAGGGGCTTTCTCTTTTTTCTTTTCTGGGTAGAGTAGTTTAAATGATAGTGGGTAAAACTCCAGCCTAGTTTGTTACCTAACTCACAGTTTACTAGCAGGATTAGAGCTTTAACGACTCTTCAAACATTTCTGCCCTTGTTTCCACGACACTGTTCTCTTTTAGTTTCCTGTCCCCCCTGTTTCCCACTCTTTTCTTGCTAGTACCTTTGACTCTATCCAAGTCCTGCATGCAAGGCTTTTCAGTGATTGTTTTATTTTACCACAGTTCACAGTTCTGCCGCTATTTGGTAATGAAAGTATTATATCAATCTAATTTCTCTTCTACTTTTTCTTTAACAGAGGCTTGATGGCCATTGAAATTCTTAAAAGAATCGAAGATTTGTGTAACAAAGAGATTTATGAACTGTTTGACCTGATCTGCGGAGCTTCCACAGGTGCTATTCTTGCATTCATGCTCGGAATCAAGAAGATTCCACTGGAGGAATGTGAGCGTATCTACAGAAAACTTAGCATGGATATATTTGAACAGAATACGCTGATTGGAACAGGGAAGTTGTTCTGGAATCATGCTTATTATGACACTACCAAGTTAGAACAGATCCTTAAGTAAGTTCACTTGTTATCTAGGAGACTTTAATCATGAACAAGCACGGGAAATGAAAAAATGAAAAATGGGAACAAAACCTAACTTGAACCCCAGCCCTTTCAGTAACTTCATTCCCCCCCCCCCCCCGGCGGTGTGGGGGGTACTGCCATATATGGGCTATATAGGTATGTGCCGCTGTGAAGGGTATGGTTTTCAAGCAGTTTACTCTAGGATAGGGTATATAAATCAGAGCGTTTGGGTCTAGAGTAGGATATCATTTTTCAGGAAACTGTTCAGTTGGTTGAAGATTTTATCTAGACTAGGGATTGTGGTATAAGGTTTTGTTTTGGCTAGACTACTGTGCTAGTGACCTCAGTAGGTTCTGGAAAACAGCTACTCTAGGATAGGGGGGATTTGGGGAGTTTACTCTAGGGTAGCAAAATTCAGTTGAACTAGCTCTGGTATAGGTTAAGGGTTCCAGGGTCCCAGTGGCACATCCCCACCCAGAAATTCCTAAAGTACCCCCCCCCCCCTCGGATTCACCCATTCTATCTTTTGTTCCCATTTCGTATTTTCCCATTTGCCGGGGTTCTTCCCCAATTCAGCATTCCACTTTTTACTAACATCCAGTCTTATGCCCACATTGTGTTGTGTCTAACAGAAATGAAAGTGGAGAGGCAAGGCTGATAGATTCTGCGAAGGACAAAACTGTGCCAAAGGTACTTTATTTTCTAGTTCAGCACCCAGTATGGTTTCCATTATGGTAAATGAAGATAAGTTAACTGTTATTATTTTAGCTTTCACTCAAAACATCTACAATAATAGATTTGTTATTGTGGCTTCCCCTGCCACAAATTAACTCCATGGTTGAAGTTATTTGAGTCTAAATCTTGACCATGTTATGATGCTGCCACTTGGAAGAGTTTAGACAAGTTCCATAATCACTTATGAATGTTTTCTAACATATGAACGTTCTTCACAAGGAAGCAGTCATTTGAATGCTTCTCAGTATTTAAATCAAGAAGCTTTAATTTTTGTTATGGGAGGGGAATAATATTATTAGTAGGTCAACAAATCAAAAGACCCGTGGAATAACTCCTGAAATAGGACCATGTGTGGACGAAACTCCTCTCCAGACCCATCATGAATAAACTGGATCTCATTACTTTGCCTGCCTTATGATTTTGAAATAGAAACAAAGAGGTTACACCTGAGCAATGTTTTTTAAAAATAATAGTGAAAAGGTATTTTTGCTTTTTTTTTTTCCAGTCCACCTTTGTAACAGTTCATTTGTAAATTTGTCAGTATAGGTTGCTGCAGTATCCACAGTAGTAAATCACTCACTCCTGATGCCCTTTGTGTTCAGTAACTATACACGCCCATATGGCTCCAACTCTAAGTTCCCTCAGAGCTGTAAGTACAGATTGTGGGAGGCGCTGAGAGCCTCGACTGCAGCACCTGGTTTCTTTGAGGAATATAAACTTGGAAATGATATTCATCAGGTACTAGAAGAATCTAAAACCTTTCTAAATTAAGGTTACCTGGATTCCTAAAGAAACAAAAATTCCACTAAAGAGATAAAAATTTCTGTAGTGTCTCCTTTTGTTCAATACACTCAAAAAGGTCGCATTTTGAGCACTGTGTTCCTCACCCCTGAGATGTTTGTCCAAGCGGCCCAAGCTGCAGGGAGCAATAAGAGGTGGCTGGGCTTGCAGGCTAACACCAGCCCCTCTTCAGAGCTATTCACATGGACAAAGGGATAGTGCTCAAACCATCTGACAGCTTCGGAAGCTTTTTACTAAGTGTCTTGATTGTTGATAAAGCCACATTTTCATGTTTCTCTGTCTTGAAGTTTATGCAACCAAAGGTGAATGACTAAGCTTACCCACTTTAATGAATGAAAGGATTTAGAGTTCTTAAAAGTCGGGAGCAATATTGTTTTTGCAAAAAGTAATCTTCAACATTTTTTCAAACAAGCAAACGCATGCTGGTATACAGGTAGGTATGGCACTGGTGGTCTAATCCATCTGTTACATTATTCACAGGATGGTGGTCTTCTCACAAACAATCCCTCTTCTATTGCTATTCACGAGGCCAGGCTTTTGTGGCCTGATGAACCATTTCAGTGCATCGTCTCCATTGGAACAGGGAAATACAAGGGGAGATCTGGGCCGAGTGCCGTGGAGTTCAGCAGTCTTCGTGAGAAGCTTTTAAAAATTGTGGCCAGCGCAACAGATACTGAAGGTGAGTTTTGAAAAACAGGAAAGAAAGATCTTTTAAAAAGCTCTCAAGTTTCTTTCCTTTGAGCTCAGTAACTGATCATACTAAATGGTATAAAGACTATAAAGGCTTGTGGGTTGAAGCAGTTGGTAACAGGACAGTTATTCAAATTTAAAATAAAAAATGTGGAAACAAATCAGCTACTAAATGACTGTTTTGCCTGCGAAAAATGGACCCTTCCAGTAGCCTGAATTTCATCGGAAGTAATCGGACGAAATTCAGGCTACCCTTCTAGGTATTTTTCAACTTTTGATAATGACCAATTAGGAAAAATTTTTGAACACTACTGGAAAGAGCACCTTCAGTGAAATGAAATTGCAAAGTTTGAAAATGATACATATTACACGAGCGAAGAAAATTTTATGAATGTTTCTATGGTGGGGGGGGGGCGGAGGGGGCACAAACTTGCCCCTAACATACAAACGTCCGTAAAATTCGCGAGTTTGAGAAGCTTTATCTTCGTTAGTTTTCAACAAAGGACACACAAACTTGGCAATGTTACTTGCCAATGTTATTATTTTAAGGCGCTTTTTTTGCAAAGCGGATGGATTTTACCTTATTTATTTTTTTTTATTTTAAGTTGAAAAAAAAAACATGGAAAGGTTTATTAACAAAGGCTCTCAAGATTGTGGTATTCACCTATAAAGTTTTTGCATAACTGATTCGCAGCTTTGCAAGAGGAGACTCAATCTTCTGAAACATTGAGCCCTGCTTTAAGTACTAAAACAGTTTGAATCATTCCCATGTATGAATTTCAAACTATTTTCCTTGCAGCTGTGGACATTGTATTAAGTGACGTTTTACCGAAGTCTGTTTACTTCCGTCTCAACCCAAACATGTCAGCGGATATACCCATGGATGAAGGGAGAATAGAAATGTTAGAACAAATTCAGTTTGATGCAAGAAGACATTTAGAGAAGGCAGATGAGAGTTTAAAGAAATGTGCTCGGGTTCTACTGCAGGACAAAACTTTACTACATCGTTCTTTAGATAAGTTCCGAGTGTGGTATAAAGATACGTAAAAATACATTGTCCAAATAGGAAGATATCTTTAATTCAACATGCCAAAAAAATGTACTTGCACAAACAATTGGAGTAGACGTAATTCAGGATTTCTTTATGATTTCTGAGTACTGTTTTCTCTCTTTTTGTCTTCCGTCTACTATTCTCTTGTTTGTTTCCTGTTTCCTTTTCTAAAAAGAACCCCATGAGATGTTGATTTTCAACTTGCTTACTGGTGTTCGTCATTTAACTTAACAGATTTTGTTATGCTCAATTCAAAAATGGCTAACCTTGTATGGTGAAATGTTATAGTCAAAATATCACCTTGGAATAATACTATGTGAGAGCATTTTAAATCCACTAGGAGGCCTAGGCTCATTGCAGCATTGAGTTCAAAAACATGTTACCAGTTAACAATTCTTCACTTTTGTTGACTACTTTTATTCCAAATTGGCATCAGTTTATAATAAATCTAATTTTAAATACACTGTATAGTGAAGTTAATCTACACCTGGGTGACTAAGAACCATACCGATTAATCTTTAACGATTCCTGTTCTTACCATTCCTGGTCAGTAGTGAATCAACTGCTTTTTGTGACAGTTTAAAAACTTGCTTATTATTTTTTTACTGTTTTTGCACCACTAATGTTTGACCTACTCCACCTTCTATCCCAAACAAAAATTAAACTCCTGCTCCCATAAAAAGAGTTGGAGGTAACATAATAATTACCCAATCCAGTGACTAGGATGTATGTGATGGTGAAATGAGATTCAAACCATCAAAAATTTAAGATACATGCAGAGAAGATGGTAGCTGAAAATAATATTCTAAAACTGTGGAGTAATAGTTTCTCCAAGACTCAGTTTCTTTACGGCCCATTAGTGCTGACCCAGGTTTAAATATTATCTGAACCCATTACTGGATTAATCTTTGAAAAGATTCCATTGTACCTTCATTTGGGTATCTGCAGTCACCAGACACGTTCTAAGATAAAACAATTTTGTCTACAATTTGCTAGCCCGCATTGCAGACATCTTCTGTGGGGGTGCGAATGTTTCTGCTTGCCTAACTGCCATGTTGAATTCTAAACAATTGAGGGGTTGGGGCATGAAGGGTTGCTTTTTCTTTTCTCCCAAATCTTTCAGACTGATGTATGTCATAGAGACAAAGATGGCAGCCATGGCAATATGAACATAAACAAGCAGGTTTTGCCTGCCCCCAAAAATACACCTGCAATGTAGGCTAAACCTCTGCTTTACCTTGGGTTGACGGAGCATGACACTACATTATTTTAATTTCTAAAACTATTTCTCAAGAAACTGGGTCACAATAAAGTGGAAACTCTCCTTGGAGTAACCTGCTAAATACAGACACTAATGCCAGGACACAAAGAAAGTCAGTTTTACCGCTTGCCATCCAAGCAAGCTGTAGCTATTAAGAACTAGGCCAAAAGTCATTTTAACTAGCTCCCCACCTAAAAAAGATGAGAAGGATTGACTACAGTTCTTCTGCAATTTGAATTCCTCAAAAATCTTCAGTTAGGAACAAAATTCACTAGCCTAAGCCTAATAGCAAAATCCACTGGCCGTGGGGTATCAGACACTACTTTCTTTGCATGCTGAACACAACTTGAAGCAATTAACGATTAAGACTGTGCTGAGAAGTTGAAACATTTAAATGATGCAGCACCACTTATCTATTGTTTCTTACATGGGGGCGTATATGTATGATTTAAAGTTCCACAGTCACTGTTACAAGTTCTCTACTGTTTCTTCATAGCTTCAAGGATTCGCAGAATCTCAATGAAGAGATTAATTATGTCGAGGTAAAGGTTGATAGAAGCCAAGATGTACTCCTCAGGTGACAGTTTATTCATCAGCATGTGTGTGTCGAACACAATGAACGCAGAAAACAGGAGGGCACCTGCAATGGCATACACCAGCTCAAATGTCTCACTGTGGAAGAAAAACTGAAAAAGAGACAACAGTAAGGATAGTCTTCACCATTCAATATAATAGAGACCTTAAGAAAGGATGACAATGACAGCAGTGAAAACGTCAGTAAAAAAATGAATTTGCCTTCTTTCAAACTTAATCGCGTATATTTGGACCCGCTCAATATGTCGAATACAGGCGACTTTTCCTAGAGTTGAATTCTTAAGGATTTTATTCAGGTTCAAAAAGAAGAAGGAAATTTCGTCGTCGTATGTCCACGTCCTCCATAAAATGGCAAATTAGGAGGTTTCACGTTGTAGTCGTGCAGTGGACGTCAAAGAAATGAACTAAAAAGTGTGATGCGCGTGCAGAGCTGTTGTTTTGATCATTACACCTATTGTTTTTTTGAGGTCGTCGTTGTGGTCGTCGTCATAGTCGCGTAAGCTCCCTATTATTTTATTAAGCTCTTACAATGTTCCAGTTAATTCTTTCAAGCATGGGGCCATGTAGACCATCTGAGGGGTCACCAAGACCATGTGCTAATTTTTTCCGTTATATTAACTTAACACTTATATGTCATCTGTTGGGTTAGGAAGCCTTCTTTGATGGGTCATTGACCTAAGACCCATCTCTTATCTGGAACACTGTCTTAAATCCACAACAGTTACAAGTCGATAATGTAATACTGCCAAAATTTACGTCGCCCTTCACAAAACACCTGTTGCAGGTGACCAGAGGAGCCCGCAGTCCTGATCTCCAGGTTACTATTATGCATGCATGGTATGTTTTTAGCCAGCATTTCTTTAGATTGGACTAAGATATGAATGGAATGCAATTTGATCACATGCATTTGGACCTTCCTTCACTCATAATCTGATCAAGCAAACGATAACATGTTTCGACCTTTTATCACATGAAACTTACATAAAGCACAATGTTTGAGCAACAGCATTTTGACCATCAATCCATAGTTCACCCATACTCCCTCACCTTTGATTATCACTATTAATAACTAAACTCCTTCTCATAACATGAGATTGGGCTGCCTGTTCACATACCTGCAGAAAGCCAGCCAAAATAAGGATCCATAAGATAGTGAACAACCTGTCAAAAAAAAAACAATAACATAAAATAAACACAACAGTGTTCATTTAGTTTTTTTGGATCCAAAATTCAAGACTTTTTCCAGACTCAAGGTTATCAAAATTAACAGGTGATCAATAGAGGCCTCAAAAAGGCAGGAAATATACAGACAAGATTGAATAAGATTAGACCAAAATGAAAAAAAATTCACTTATAAAGCACTTGTTGACGTAGCTTTGAAAAAAACTCAAGACTTTTTAACATTTTTTCAGACTTTATCTCCATTTTCCAGACTTTTTCCAGGTCTGGAAAATTGCTGCAAATTTCAAGACTTTTTCAAGAATTCATGACGCTATATTAACCCTGACACAAGCTCGGTCATGGCCTATTAATGATTTAATGATTCCTTTAAATGACGCTGACCAATACATACCCTGCCCCCCAGGAACTGTAATCTCTCTTGCTTTGCAGAGTGTATACTGTCAGAGCCATGGTGGTTGCCATGGTCAGAATAAAGGCTTCCAGCACGAGTACTTGATCATAGAAGGTCACTGTAACAGAGAAACATCAAAAACAAAATTACTGACAACAGTTGGGACAACAGTTAAGCAGAACCACGTGGCAAATTTTCAGTACACTGCAGGGCTACAAGGATTCAAATTGAATGAACTAGGGTCAGTTTAATAAAACGTTTTCGAGTGTAATTTACAAGACTTGTAAAATTACAACAAGTGCAGCTATTGTTTCCAGACTCTTAAACAATAGCTACACTTGTAAATTACATGGTCTTGAAAAAAATTTATTAAATTGACCCTTGATGTATGTTTTCTTTACTTATAAACAAAAGTAACTATGGATCAAACTCGTAACAGCTAGGAAAATAACTTCCTGAAAAACTGGTTTTATTAGTAGCACTCTCATTTAGGATCAAACAGTGTAAAGACACTCACCCAGTGTTCCAACAGTGTAAGCCTCTGATAACGTCTGAAATAATAGACACAAACTTTTAGTCTTCTTGATTTCATGTAAACAAGTACAGTTTTGATAGCACTTCATCATAATTAAGATAGTACACCAAGTTAACCAGAGTAACTGAATGTCATCAGTGAAAATAAAATATTATCAGTCCACCTTTCTTTCAATAACAGCTCACTTACAGTGATATAACATTCTATCTGATTCTGAGGTTAAATATTTTTCATTTTCTGATACAACAGTTCAATAAATTTTGATTGAAAACAAATTAAGAAAAAAAAGCACTAACGATTGCACAGAAGGTTTTTGAGCAGCCTGATGCAATTCAATTTTGGCGATTCTAGCAAAAGATGGACTTGAGCTTTTAAAAGAATGCTTCAACGGGAGGGAGGCCTTCCTCCAGAGCTACAGTAGTTCAAACAATGGTAAGAGAACACTCCACTTGTAAGACAGATAGATGACTTACAAAAGCCAACAGCAGGTACATATTTGTGGGATGTTCCTTGCGTTTAAACATCAGTCCAAGGAGAAGGCCAATGGACAGTACAAAAGCCACCATTAACACTTCAGGCCTGAAAAAGATTCATGATATAACAAAATGGCTACAAAGCCTAACAAACAAAACAAACCGCGATGACAAAAGAGAGCTTGCAAACAGCAAGTTCCCTGATACGAGTTCAATTAACAAGGCCCAGTTAGGGTAAAATTCCAGCAAGCGATATAGCCTTGAAACAGCAACTAAGACTAGGTGGAAAGGTGATGAACCACAAAAAGATGGGTTAAATACTGAAAGGGACATTGTCTACTCCTCATAACGCAAAATGTCCATATTTGAAATTCAGACTAGGCGCATACATACCCCCCCTCCCCCTCCAAGAGGGCTTCAATATCCAGGATAGTCAATTATAAGAGAAACCAGTGCTCTAGTAGCTCCCCAGTGGTCCCCCCTGGTGCCTCACTTCTGTTCTTGGGTGACCAGGAAATCTAGGGGTTTTTTTAAATAAGAATCCTTTGCTGTGCACCCTGGATTGCACGGGTTCAGAGCTATGGACTCCCTTCAAATTTTCTAAGAGCACAGGCTTGCTGTTTTACTTAAATGTGACTAGACGAACTTTGATCTATATAGAGGGATAACAGACTGGCCTTGTGTTTTTTGCCAAAACTAAGTGTCTCAGTTTGATGTTACTTGATGTAAAGTTATTTTCAGTGTACACGGACTATGTTGTACATTCACCTGGACTGGACAAAGCCTTTGATGCCTTCTGAGTACATAAATATTGCTGCAACAATAACAGTCAATGTAAGCTGAGCCGTGAGGATGCCATAAACCTTCCTGAGAAAACCTATAACAGAAAAAAAAAAATCATGGTTAAAAACAAACTGTCACATTACTGTTCTGAGCTTCAAAAGTCCACTCAGTTCTTCTGTTGTCTTCCAAAGACAGGGCTGTCACTAAGAGCCGGGGTCTGGGATTTTTGTCCGGCTACTATGAGAATGAACCCTCGCTACTTTCATAGGAATCAAAAGGAATATAGAGCCAAAGTTCTTCCTAGCTGTACAATTTCCCTCCTACTAATAGCAGATACCAAGCAACTTGAAATGCTAGTGACAGCCCTGCCAAGAGTATAAAAAGACGGTATCATCATGTAAGTGAGTTATGATCCACTGAGTATGATCGTCCAGGCAAATGTAGTCCTGAATAGGACTGTTGTTGACAGTGACTGACGATTCGACAACCTATGCAGTGGTCATCTTCCAAGTCAAAGTGAGTTGTATCACATCAGTTGATGGTATTAAATTCTCGTTATTGACCTGATTGGTCAACTAAGTCGTGATGTTATTTGTTGTCTATCATTTACGCCATGATGTTATTGGCTACAAAGACTTGAAATGTTATTGGTGTATTTCACAATTCAGTGGTGTTTGTTCTAAGTTATACAGTTTCAAAAGCCGCCAGATTGGATCACGCAAGCAGCTTGGTTTCTCATGCTACAGAAGAATGTTTAGCAAGCCAGTGGTGCCACTGAATTGCTAAGCATGTTCCATTAAGTTTGTTATGAAAACATAGTAGCCAAACTTGAAAGCTTGTAAACAAGGATATTGCAGCAACAAAAAATTACTGATAAGCTTGGCTTATTGTTATTCGTATTTATTTATTTTGATTTTTGAAAACAATTTTGCAACATGTAAACCAGCAATTAACAGATTATATGTAAGTAGGTACAGTGCGCAGAATCAGTCAGGTTTGATTGTTCTGTGAATCCATTAGGAGTGATTAACATATGGTTTGCTTTTCTTACGTGTCGTTGTAACTCGCAGCAAACTCGGCTATCATACTTCTCATTATTACGTCGAGGAGTCTTATACCATAACTACACAAGGATTTCATTCCTTCAAAACCCAAATAGTTAAGCCAGAGATTACTATTTTTGTAAATCATTAAGTTAACTTTAGCAAACACGGAAGAAACAGCTAGCCCATAAATACTTCGTTATTTCACATATTTAAAACAGCAAAATATTTATGTTATCATTAATGACGTCTGCCTTGAGACGAAAAAAGATGATTTAAAGGCGATTTACCTAGATCGGAAGTTGGAACGGAAAGAAATAATACATTTTCGAAACAAAATAAATTAACCTGAGGTAAGCAAATCTCAGAAACATACATGTATTTTAGTACGACTTTTTGCCGTCTAATAAGTCATATAAACAACAAAAACACACACCAAGTCGAATTTTTAGATTCGTCTGGGCAACAGTGACTCCGTAAGTGAAATCCTCCTCTAAACTGGACATTTTGGGGTTCCCAAACAAACTTCCCGTTGGATCTCCTTTGCTGGTCGCCATCTTGAGACGTGAAAATAATCACCTCCGGAGGAAGGATTTGCCGTGACGAATACAACGAATTAGCTGATTGGTTACCTGTTTGCAAAGAACCAATCACATCGTGTTTTAGAACTTCACCCAGAAGCCCTAACCAAATATGGTTGGATAAATGTCTGCGGCCGGCTGGAATCATGACGTCAAAATCAATGGCGCCATTTTTGTTGTCTGCGAATCAGGCACTCTTTTAAATTTTTTAATTTTTGGCATCATATTTTTGTAGTACTTTTCCACGAAAAGCAGTTTCAATGCTCATTCAAACAATGGAGAATAATGAAGATATCCTTCAAGCTCTACATGGCACGTTTGATAGAGAAAATATCACCTTTTGACAGTAAAATTTAGGCCACATTTTTAGACAATCCTGCTAACATTTACGGTTCTTTTGTAACAGAGTTCGAGAACATGTCGAATGCCGAAAAATTCTTAACACAAGATCTTGAGGATATGCTCTCATATATTGCCAAGACAGGCAGAGTGTTGTAAGTATGTCCATTAAGCTTATATTTATACCTCTTAAACCTTCATTTGACATGGGCGCGTGTTTATGTCGTGTTTTGTCGACTGAAGGTCGTCAAAGTTGCTTTTGTTACAGGATTTTTATCACCTTTGTGAAGTTTATTTGACCTAAGAGGGATAATGTAATTTAAGGACATTAAAACTGGACTTGTATTGGAGTAACAATTTCAATTTTTTTTTTCGTTTATGATTAACCTTCGTGATCATCTCACTTCAATCAACTTTGGCCAGCGGTCCTTGTGATGCATGATTGCGTAATATATTTTTTAGTGCTTTTCAACTTTTTATTTCACCCGTATTTGATATTTCTTTTAATTTTAATCGGTAAGATTTCCGTATTACCCCATACATTTTTAGGCATACATGTTTTGACTCTATTCATTTTAAACTATTTGTGAGATTAGATTGAACTACCACCCCTCTGGAAATTCCAGTTGAGGCTCATGATTTCCTTTATAAATTGTTGACCTTTAAGATTCTTCCCCCCCTCAGTATTTTCAACCCTGACCCTCTGACGATGACCCTCTGTGAGGTGTGTGTGTGTGTAGGGGAGTATTTTCTAGAACAATACACTGAAAGATAATGTTGATAATTGGTTAGGTATTCCAATGTATTCCAGGTATTCCTTTAATTTTTCTCCAACTTTTTTTTGTGATAGGTTTCCATGGAATTCTTTAAAACCAGTGTTCCTTTTTAAACTAGACAAGGTAACGTGTAAAGTTATAGACACTTTTTACCATCAAATAATATTATTTCAGATTCATGAGTTTAATGACTCTAGTTTATCGACATGACTTGATCTCTTTGGCATGTTCACCAGGTGATGCGGGAATTTTTTGAAAACAGTCCATCTAGGAATGCCACATCATCTGAGCCTACTGTTACCGCAGACTTTGAAGTGATGAGGCAGAGACTTTTAGACTGCTTGGATTCATTTACCAGGTTACTGCGACTTCTATTTAATATGCCACTTGTACTAGTACACTACCTCAGTTTATGTTTCCAACAGTTAAGGCATAAAATTTCTCAGTTTTAAAAATTTTAAACATGGTTAATTCTTTCTTGCTTTTCAGTGCTCCTTTCACCATTCAGCGACTTTGTGAACTAATGGTGGAGCCAAGAAAAAATTACAGTAATAGCGAAAAGTTCATGAGAGGAGTAGAAAAAGTAAGAGATAATCAGAGTTACAACAAACTTTGGACGTTGCTTTTTAAGTCACTAGTGTGTAAAACTCAGAGCTGTCAAAAAGTTTTAAGTAGCTGGCTAATAATGAATAGTAGGTGGCTTTGGAACTCGCTGCAAAGGCACAAGTTCTTGAGGGCAGAGGTACTAGGGGTATTTTGAAATTTAGAGTCTCGGAAATGGCATTTCCAGGGGTTTTCAATATATTAGTACTTTCCACCGTGGATGCCATGTTGTTTCATCAGAATACACACAAGACTGGGAACAAATTTGCCATCGAAATGTCCCAGGCATTCCACAACATTGCATGATTTGCATGTTTCATAGATCTAAACCTGTTTAAATATGCATTCAATGTCATTCAACACTTGGAAATGGATGCTTTATAATTTTATTCGATGGTGCTTATTTTTTGTTAGCAGTTATGGTAGAAGGACATGAAAGTAGCCAGCAAAGGATGGCTAACTAGCCAGCGGTTTTGTCCGGCCACCGGCCCTTTTTGGCAGCCCAGCTGGTTACAACAAATTTTGGGCATTGCTTTTTAAGTCACTAGTGAGTAAAACTTCACAATAATTTTGTTGTTGTTTATAGAATGTTCTTGTGGTCAGTACCGTGGATATCAACAGAGATGATCTTGCTGAGTAAGTGACATTAGACCTCATTAGGTACTAAAATTAATGTTAATTATTGTGATGGTGGTGATGTTGATGGTAGTGATGATGATGTTGTTGGTGAGAGTGATACTTGTGTGGTTGAAGATGATGATGAAGAATTGTAACTGCTGATCTAGCAGAAGATGTTTGCTGTTACATCTACATGTAATACAGTCAACTCTTGCCTTGGGGTCCCCTAGCTATAAAAGGCAAAAATCCTCTGAAAAATGAATTACAAACACTAACAGATTCTCGCTATTAATAGCACTAACTCTCTACGGTAATGCAAGTTGACTGTATTAAGTGCTCAGCAAATGGCCTGAGAGGTACATGTACAGTGTAACCTTTGCCCTGCTGACACCTTTCCATCACAGACACAAAAACGATAATGAACAGTAGCTTATCCCTTCCAAACTTATAGACATTTAAGTGAATAATATATCTCACTACAGTTGAACTTCCACTGTTGGCCACCTCTATACAACGGCCACCTGTCTACAATGGCCACTTTTTTTGGCGAACAGTCCAACAATGGCCACCTCACTACTTCAGCTCAACTTTTTTGTCCTCAAGGTGGCTGTAAGGGAGAGGTTCAATTGTAAAACAGACATTTTTTTAGGTCCTGTCAGCACAATTTTGTTGATCTCACTCTTGTTATGACAGACACCAAGCAGAAAGGAAATTCTTCTCACACCCCAAAATTACAGACTCTGGCTATTATGGACATGAACTTGTGCTCACTAGATATTGGAAGTTGACTGTACAAAGTGGAGAAAACAATATTCTGATCACTTGGTATACCTGGTACGTGAGTAAGGATTGAACTATCTGAATTTTTTTTTTCAGGATGACCTTGACAAACAATGTTGATGGACAGCACATGTTGTCTAACCTGCCCAATGGTCCCGTTACAAATGGAATTATGACTTACGCGATCCCTTCTGAAGGGAACTCAGTGACTGATCATGGCTACAATGAACGTGTTTCTCATGTCACTCCTGATAGTGTGATATCTCAAGTCACACCAGACTCAAATGGATCCACACCTCTTAATGCTCATGAAAATGGACATGATCAACAAGAACATTATAACGAAAGTAGTTCATCTGCTACTGAATCCTCTCCTATAGAAGAGTCTAATCTTCCTGAACAACAACTTAGCGAGGAAAAGTGTGAGAGAAACATGAACAAAGTTGAGGGAAATGTACCCCAGGAAGAGAAGGCGCCAGAAGTAGAAAATAAGGATCCTGGTTCTTGTCTGGATGCTCATGCCGAACAGAAAATCGAAAATTCAGAGGAAGAGAAACCGAGCTAGCTTCTGAGCAAAGTAAGAATTTTTGTGAAGATGTTGTAAGGTACACAAATCCATAATTCAAGCTTATGAATAAACCATACTGGAACAGTGAATATGAGGTGTTGCAGTCCTGACTCTTTCTTTTCCTTCTATCTCCTCCCCTCTAGTTGTTTTTCTTTTCTTTGTCCCTTTTTCTCCTCTTTTTGCTGGTTATTTAGTAGGCGTTATTTCAGTGGGAAAAGTTTTTGAGAAAGCTTTAAGTATCTTAGAATTAGATGAAAAGAAATTTAGGTAGGAAGTGGAATAAGATTTTCATGGGAATTTTCAGATCAACATTGCATGGTTTCTTGCCTTTTTCTGTGGCGTCCTTGACAGAATCATGCTCATTCTGGTATGGTTTGAAAGATCCCTTCACCCTGCACAAGTTAGCTGACAAAGTTGTCCTTGACCGTTACAACTGATGACATCCCAAGCGATGGAAGGGACATGGATCTGTAGTATGGAGTATGGGTTAACAGAGTTTTTGTTCCTTCATTTTCAGAAACAGAAGCAGTTAGTGAGCAGACGGCAGAACAAGCAGAGATCAAGGAAACAAGTCCATCACCTGCAAGTGAAGAAGAAGAGCCAATGGATGAGAACTAACAGACCATTGTCATTAATTTAATGTGGAATATGGTCGTGTATTTTAGCAACTTATTCATTCTCCATTCTACCAGTATCCGCATGTACAGGCTGTAGTAATGCCATGAGTTAGCTGGAAAAAGGAAGAATGCAAAACAACAGCTTACAACTGCTTTATCGTGCAACCAGTTTTTATTATTTTGGGTGACTTATTTGTTTGTTTGCTTTTTACATGACAGTGTTTAAAATGTCATATTACAGTCAAGCCAGGTTGAGCATACACCCCAAGTTGCCATTAATGAATTTATTATTTAAAAGTTGATTCTGGTAGTAGTTGTAGATTTCAGATTCATCTCTGCTTTCCTGCATGTTTGATGAGCAGTGAATTCACACGCGAGGTAGTTATGAAATTTTTACCACGCCAGTTTTCTTAAATTTGATCTCAATGTCTTCAAAGCAGTTTTAACCATTGAAGATTTCTCAATCTGACCAATAATTACGTCGTAAAAAATTCACTGCTCATTTTTCATGCACGAGTGCAGATATGAATTTGATACTGGTTGAGGCAACGACCAACAGATTCATTTTTCAGATAAACGATTCATTTATGGAATCTATGGGCGTATGCTTGACGCGGTGTGACTGTAGCTGAGACATCCTTTGTCGTTGCAACATAAAGGTGAATGAACTTTATCATGATACATTTGATCTCTTTAAAGTGCTTCTTGTTCACTTTGTTCGTATCATTCAGGAAGAGAGCCTGATACAAATCTTTTTCAGAGTACATTAGCACCCCAAGAACTCAAACTCGGGTAACTCAATCTCCCTGCTAACTTGGTTATCTTGAATTCAAATGACTTGAATTTCCTACATGAATTAAATGTCCTTTTCGTTGATAAAAAATGTCACTAAAATTTACTCCAGTAATTCAAATTCTGGTTCTTGTATTAATGTAACTCCACTCGGATGCCATCCCATAAGCTCAGCCATTTGTATAATTAGTATAAAAAACACTTAAACTAACACTACAGCAATTTAATTTGAATTGGTGCAATGAACAGATCACTGTACTATACACTGAAGTGCTGAAAAATCAATAACTATCAGTTATTAACATGGGAAATTGAATATTCATTCGATGCTGATAACTCAAACCCCCGCTAACTTGAACTGTTCTGAGTTTGAGTTACTGGGGTTCGACAGTATTAATTTTGCGGTACCTGTCACACCACATTTGGAAACAAAAAGAAAAACAACAAACTTAAGACAGCTAGAAGTACAAACAAAAGCATCACTTTCTTTAATATATTTGGTTTTTTCAGTAAATTGTAGGGAGGTTAAAACAACCTCTACAAGAATAGACAAGAAGATGAACTTTTTTTACTTTCTGTTAACTTGACTTATTTTTCATACACAGTTTTTTTTCTTCAGTTAGAGTTTTCATCTATGCCCTCATTTTTATTTTCTAATAAATAAGTAATAATTAACTGTATATTATCAAAATTTTAACTACTGACATAAAGGGAATCTTGTTTGAAAATATATTTTCTTGTTTTACGGTAGAAGTCTTCAACCTTTTTCCATCCATACTAAAATTATTTAAACTCTCTCAACTGAGAGAGTTGTATTGTAAATGACTATCATGCAAATCTTTCATCTTTGATTTCTCTCCTCTGCAGATAAATAAATTCTTAAAGCTCTAAATTTCTTATTTTTTATCAATCCTTTGGGTTGCACCAGAACCAGGATGGCACATGAGATTTTCTTCATGCTAAACTTCTCATTTAGGCATTAAAGGATCCAACAAGAAAATATCCTAGACCCATCAACCTAGAAAATCTGTTGCATTCAAGGTGATTGCTCACTTAAACAGGGTACCCAAGTTTTATTCATGCATTGGGAACCCAAAGATAGTAGTAGGTGAAAGTGGTTGCATCTGCCCTAAACTTGCTTGTTACACCTCCACTCTTATCTAACAGGTCATTTTTTTCAAGCATTCATTTTCATATTTAATGAGACCTTTATGTACAGTAATGTATAAGAAGTCAAAACTGTAGTTTCAATCTTTGATCACTAATTTAGTCAACATTAAATCCTAAAAGAGTGACATCACAGCAATTAAAGTCGGAGTTAACTGTCATGTAGAATAGTTATTGATGAAACTTCCAATAAAGAAGTAAATGAGTCAAGAATTTATTCTGGTTTTAGGCTGCCTGTTTCAAGGTTTAGGGAGTGGGGGGTGGGGGAGGGCATCCTGGATTTCAAGTGTTGGGGTAGCCTGCTAACAAGCTTTTCTGGAGCACTCTGGCAACAGGGCGAAAAGGAGGGAGAGCATGCAGTTACATCTCTTTTCCCTCTTCTCTCCCCCACCCCCATATCGCCAGTAACCCCAGGAGAGCTTGCTCGCAGGCTAGTGTTGGGGTTAATAGAAAGATTTATGAAGGGTTAAATTTTCCATTCAGGGATTTTTTTGGGCAGAAAAATTTGGCAGGTTTTTTAATCTCCTGATTTAAGTAGGGCTTTTGGGGGTATTCAAAACAATAATTCAAAGGTTGGTGGAAGTGTCCATGTATCCCAGCCACGTAGTTCTGCTATTAAAGTAAACAAATAGCACATTACATTGTATCTCAAAATAAATATGCTCCACAAAGTGTCCTGGTGTGCTTCCAACAAGGCTTTTTTTCATTTAGTTGATTTCTCATCCATCGTTCTCATTACACGCCAGGTTTTATTGTCACAGAAATGCCCTTTTGCCGTAGTGAATTCTCAGACTCAGAATTTTAGCATGGAATTGTTTTGTTTGTTTGTTTGTCTTTTTTGGGGGGGAAGGGGGAGCGCCTGGACTTGTAGGGATGACGCGCACGCAAAAATATTAACGTGTGGTATGGGAAAAGGGCCAACAATCTCGGAGCCTGGACGAGGCTAGAGGGAGGTGGGTAGTTCTGGGTGGAAGCCCTAGGATTTCCTTTTTACTTTGATCTTTTCGCCCATTCTTCCCCAGCACTTGGAACCGCCCTTTGTTTCAGGTGTTCTTATAGAAAGAACTAAATGAGTAATGTGAAGATTATTGAGTAGTGATCTTTTCAGGCTTGATCATTTTGATGACTTGGGTTTAATTTGCGTAACCACTAGACTACGAGTAGTCCCCCCTTTTTTCCTCAGGGATAGTAGAGCGAGCGAGGGCGCGCGCGAGGGCGCGTGGAAATCACCACGCGGCGTGTCGCCTTTCTCGCGGCGGTGGCCTTTTCTTCACGCGCCCTCGCGTTTCGCTCGCTCCACTATCCCTGAGGAAAAATGGGGGACTACTCGTAGTCTACGTAACCACAAAGCACAAGGGGAAAAGATCGCCCCCTTTTTGATACCCGCAAAGCCTCATGGGATACTTAGGAGAGGTCTGGAGGTCGAGGGCTACAGCAAACAAGTTTGATCGCAAGTTGAGTGCATGATACAAAACAAGAGGTAAAATATAACTTCCTCCATCCTTTTTTTAATCGGAAGGAACCATAACCTCAAGTCAAGCCAGTAAGGTAAGATTTTTAGACCTAGACTAAGCAAAGCATTGACTGAAGTTCCAAGCTTGGCTTTAGTCTAAAGGCGATGTGCACACTATGTACGTAACCGGATATAGCTTTGTGCCGACTTCTGTTCACACTTAAGGACGGTGATTTCGGGGCGATCTCTGCGACGGAGCAAAGCTTTGCGCCGATCTCTAAAGTGGAGAGTCACGTATCGGATAGGTTTTTAAAACTATACCGTCACGAAATTCGAAAATCTTTCCGGTAGCCTGGGGCATGTAAATAGTTTCGACGCTTGTTTAGTAACTTCAAATAATGATTCTTTTTTCCATCAGATCTGTAGTTGCTTCTTGCCATCTTATTCAAAGGTAGCAAACAGTTGCAGTGGTCACATTTTGAAATACCTTAAATATTTATTCAAATTTTGCTCCAACCACAAAAGATCAATTTACATAGCGCAATTTGTGGTTTAATGTTTCTAGACTATTTCAGTTATCATCCTCTCCTTTGCAATTTCGCTAGTAAGGAATATCTTCGGTTCAGACCAGTGAAAGATTTGCAAGATTTTAGAGAACTTAATGACAGATTTGCTATTTCCTGCAGGAATAATTGTAAACCATGGGTGGTAACCATAGCAACTTGCCTCCTAAACCACTGGGGTTTGAATATATGTGCATAGCAGTTCGTACAACTGACAGGCTTCGCATCATACTTGGTGGTGACCATGAGGCAGCCATCATACGTCAGATCATACAAGATACATGGCTCAAAGGGATACAAAAAGAAACATTTGAGCTTAATGGAGTTTTCGAGTTCAAGTTGAAGGGCAATCCATTTTCTCCTGCTTCTTCATCAAGTGATGCGGTGGCTTGTAGGAGAATGGCTGAGAGAATTTTGCACAGGCTCTACCGAGATGGATGGAAATGGAATTATGACTTACGCGATCCCTTCTGAAGGGAACTCAGTGACTGATCATGGCTACAATGAACGTGTTTCTCATGTCACTCCTGATAGTGTGATATCTCAAGTCACACCAGACTCAAATGGATCCACACCTCTTAATGCTCATGAAAATGGACATGATCAACAAGAACATTATAACGAAAGTAGTTCATCTGCTACTGAATCCTCTCCTATAGAAGAGTCTAATCTTCCTGAACAACAACTTAGCGAGGAAAAGTGTGAGAGAAACATGAACAAAGTTGAGGGAAATGTACCCCAGGAAGAGAAGGCGCCAGAAGTAGAAAATAAGGATCCTGGTTCTTGTCTGGATGCTCATGCCGAACAGAAAATCGAAAATTCAGAGGAAGAGAAACCGGAGCTAGCTTCTGAGCAAAGTAAGAATTTTTGTGAAGATGTTGTAAGGTACACAAATCCATAATTCAAGCTTATGAATAAACCATACTGGAACAGTGAATATGAGGTGTTGCAGTCCTGACTCTTTCTTTTCCTTCTATCTCCTCCCCTCTAGTTGTTTTTCTTTTCTTGCGTCCTTTTTTCTCCTCTTTTGCTGGTTATTTAGTAGGCGTTATTTCAGTGGGAAAAGTTTTTGAGAAAGCTTTAAGTATCTTAGAATTAGATGAAAAGAAATTTAGGTAGGAAGTGGAATAAGATTTTCATGGGAATTTTCAGATCAACATTGCATGGTTTCTTGCCTTTTTCTGTGGCGTCCTTGACAGAATCATGCTCATTCTGGTATGGTTTGAAAGATCCCTTCACCCTGCACAAGTTAGCTGACAAAGTTGTCCTTGACCGTTACAACTGATGACATCCCAAGCGGTGGAAGGGACATGGATCTGTAGTATGGAGTATGGGTTAACAGAGTTTTTGTTCCTTCATTTTCAGAAACAGAAGCAGCTAGTGAGCAGACAGCAGAACAAGCAGAGATCAAGGAAACAAGTCCATCACCTGCAAGCGAAGAAGAAGAGCCAATGGATGAGAACTAACAGACCATTGTCATTAATTTAACATGGAATATGGTCGTGTATTTTAGCAAGTTATTCATTCTCCATTCTACCAGTATCCGCATGTACAGGCTGTAGTAATGCCATGAGTTAGCTGGAAAAAGGAAGAATGCAAAACAACAGCTTACAACTGCTTTATCGTGCAACCAGTTTTTATTATTTTGGGTGACTTATTTGTTTGTTTGCTTTTTACATGACAGTGTTTAAAATGTCATATTACAGTCAAGCCAGGTCGAGCATACACCCCAAGTTGCCATTAATGAATTTATTATTTAAAAGTTGATTCTGGTAGTAGTTGTAGATTTCAGATTCATCTCTGCTTTCCTGCATGTTTGATGAGCAGTGAATTCACACGCGAGGTAGTTATGAAATTTTTACCACGCCAGTTTTCTTACATTTGATCTCAATGTCTTCAAAGCAGTTTTAACCATTGAAGATTTCTCAATCTGACCAATAATTACGTCGTAAAAAATTCACTGCTCATTTTTCATGCACGAGTGCAGATATGAATTTGATACTGGTTGAGGCAACGACCAACAGATTCATTTTTCAGATAAACGATTCATTTATGGAATCTATGGGCGTATGCTTGACGTGGTGTGACTGTAGCTGAGACATCCTTTGTCGTTGCAACATAAAGGTGAATGAACTTTATCATGATACATTTGATCTCTTTAAAGTGCTTCTTGTTCACTTTGTTCGCATCATTCAGGAAGAGAACCTGATACAAATCTTTTTCAGAGTACATTAGCACCCCAAGAACTCGAACTCGGATAAACTCAATCTCTAACTTGGTTATCTTGAATTCAAATGACTTGAATTTCCTACTTGAATTAAATGTCCTTTTCGTTGATAAAAAGTGTCACTAAATTTTACTCCAGTAATTCAAATTCTGGTTCTTGTATTAATGTAACTCCACTCGGATGCCATCCCATAAGCTCAGCCATTTGTATAATCAGTATAAAAAACACTTAAACTAACACTACAGCAATTTAATTTGAATTGGTGCAATGAACAGATCACTGTGCTATACACTGAAGTGCTGAAAAATCAATAACTATGAGTTATTAACATGGGAAATTGAATATTCATTCGATGCTGATAACTCAAACCCCCGCTAACTTGAACTGTTCTGAGTTTGAGTTACTGGGGTTCGACAGTATTAATTTTGCGGTACCTGTCACCACATCTGGAAACAAAAAGAAAAACAACAAACTTAAGACAGCTAGAAGTACAAACAAAAGCATCACTTTCTTTAATTTTGGTTTTTTCAGTAAAATTGTAGGGAGGTTAAAACAACCTCTACAAGAATAGACAAGAAGATGAACTTTTTTTACTTTCTGTTAACTTGACTTATTTTTCATACACAGTTTTTTTTCTTCAGTTAGAGTTTTCATCTATGCCCTCATTTTTATTTTCTAATAAATAAGTAATAATTAACTGTATATTATCAAAATTTTAACTACTGACATAAAGGGAATCTTGTTTGAAAATATATTTTCTTGTTTTACGGTAGAAGTCTTCAACCTTTTTCCATCCATACTAAAATTATTTAAACTCTCTCAACTGAGAGAGTTGTATTGTAAATGACTATCATGCAAATCTTTCATCTTTGATTTCTCTCCTCTGCAGATAAATAAATTCTTAAAGCTCTAAATTTCTTATTTTTTATCAATCCTTTGGGTTGCACCAGAACCAGGATGGCACATGAGATTTTCTTCATGCTAAACTTCTCATTTAGGCATTAAAGGATCCAACAAGAAAATATCCTAGACCCATCAACCTAGAAAATCTGTTGCATTCAAGGTGATTGCTCACTTAAACAGGGTACCCAAGTTTTATTCGTGCATTGGGAACCCAAAGATAGTAGTAGGTGAAAGTGGTTGCGTCTGCCCTAAACTTGCTTGTTACACCTCCACTCTTATCTAACAGGTCATTTTTTTCAAGCATTCATTTTCATATTTAATGAGACCTTTATGTACAATAATGTATAAGAAGTCAAAACTGTAGTTTCAATCTTTGATCACTAATTTAGTCAACATTAAATCCTAAAAGAGTGACATCTCAGCAATTAAAGTCGGAGTTAACTGTCATGTACAATAGTTATTGATGAAACTTCCAATAAAGAAGTAAACGAGTCAAGAATTTATTTTGGTTTTAGGCTGCCTGTTTCAGGGTTCAGGGAGTTGGGGGGGGGGGGGGGGGCACCCTGGATTCCAAGTGTTGGGGTAGCCTGCTAACAAGCTCGTCTGGAGCACTCTGGCAACAGGGCGAAAAGGAGGGAGAGCATGCAGTTACATCTCTTTTCCCTCTTCTCTCCCCCACCCCCATATCGCCAGTAACCCCAGGAGAGCTTGCTCGCAGGCTAGTGTTGGGGTTAATAGAAAGATTTATGAAGGGTTAAATTTTCCATTCAGGGATTTTTTTGGGCAGAAAACTTTGGCAGGTTTTTTAATCTCCTGATTTAAGTAGGGCTTTTGGGGGTATTCAAAACAATAATTCAAAGGTTGGTGGAAGTGTCCATGTATCCCAGCCACGTAGTTCTGCTATTAAAGTAAACAAATAGCACATTACATTGTATCTCAAAGTAAATATGCTCCACAAAGTGTCCTGGTGTGCTTCCAACAAGGCTTTTTTTCATTTAGTTGATTTCTCATCCATCGTTCTCATTACACGCCAGGTTTTATTGTCACAGAAATGCCCTTTTGCCGTAGTGAATTCTCAGACTCAGAATTTTAGCATGGAATTGTTTTGTTTGTTTGTTTGTCTTTTTGGGGGGGGGAAGGGGGAGCGCCTGGACTTGTAGGGATGACGCGCACGCAAAAATATTAACGTGTGGTATGGGAAAAGGGCCAACAATCTCGGAGCCTGGACGAGGCTAGAGGGAGGTGGGTAGTTCTGGGTGGAAGCCCTAGGATTTCCTTTTTACTTTGATCTTTTCGCCCATTCTTCCCCAGCACTTGGAACCGCCCTTTGTTTCAGGTGTTCTTATAGAAAGAACTAAATGAGTAATGTGAAGATTATTGAGTAGTGATCTTTTCAGGCTTGATCATTTTGATGACTTGGGTTTAATTTGCGTAACCACTAGACTACGAGTAGTCCCCCCTTTTTTCCTCAGGGATAGTAGAGCGAGCGAAACGCGAGGGCGCGTGGAAATCACCCCACGCGAGAAAAGGCAACACGCGGCGTGTCGCCTTTTCTCGCGTGGGGTGGTTTTCACGCGCCCTCGCGTTTCGCTCGCTCCAATATCCCTGAGGAAAAATGGGGGACTACTCGTAGTCTACGTAACCACAAAGCACAAGGGAAAAAGATCGCCCCCTTTTTGATACCCGCAAAGCCTCATGGGATACTTAGGAGAGGTCTGGAGGTCGAGGGCTACAGCAAACAAGTTTGATCGCAAGTTGAGTGCATGATACAAAACAAGAGGTAAAATATAACTTCCTCCATCCTTTTTTTAATCGGAAGGAACCATAACCTCAAGTCAAGCCAGTAAGGTAAGATTTTTAGACCTAGACTAAGCAACGCATTGACTGAAGTTCCAAGCTTGGCTTTAGTCTAAAGGCGATGTGCACACTATGTACGTAACCGGATATAGCTTTGTGCCGACTTCTGTTCACACTTAAGGACGGTGATTTCAGGGGCGATCTCTGCGACGGAGCAAAGCTTTGCGCCGATCTCTAAAGTGGAGAGTCACGTATCGGATAGGTTTTAAAACTATACCGTCACGAAATTCGAAAATCTTTCCGGTAGCCTGGGGCATGTAAATAGTTTCGACGCTTGTTTAGTAACTTCAAATAATGATTCTTTTTTCATCAGATCTGTAGTTGCTTCTTGCCATCTTATTCAAAGGTAGCAAACAGTTGCAGTGGTCACATTTTGAAATACCTTAAATATTTATTCAAATTTTGCTCCAACCACAAAAAAGATCAATTTACATAGCGCAATTTGTGGTTTAATGTTTCTAGACTATTTCAGTTATCATCCTCTCCTTTGCAATTTCGCTAGTAAGGAATATCTTCGGTTCAGACCAGTGAAAGATTTGCAAGATTTTAGAGAACTTAATGACAGATTTGCTATTTCCTGCAGGAATAATTGTAAACCATGGGTGGTAACCATAGCAACTTGCCTCCTAAACCACTGGGGTTTGAATATATGTGCATAGCAGTTCGTACAACTGACAGGCTTCGCATCATACTTGGTGGTGACCATGAGGCAGCCATCATACGTCAGATCATACAAGATACATGGCTCAAAGGGATACAAAAAGAAACATTTGAGCTTAATGGAGTTTTCGAGTTCAAGTTGAAGGGCAATCCATTTTCTCCTGCTTCTTCATCAAGTGATGCGGTGGCTTGTAGGAGAATGGCTGAGAGAATTTTGCACAGGCTCTACCGAGATGGATGGAAGCTTCAAATGTCAACTAATTTAACTCGCACAGGTGATTTGTCTTCTTGGATATTCAAGAAAGTTGCAGTTGCAGAATTATCTTCTCAACCATTTCTTATAATCGGTCTCAGCAGCTGGGACAGTTTGATGGTACTCAATGCTCCAATGGATCTGCACCAAGTTCTCAAAGATGCCATCGAGAGATCATGGCCTAAAGGCATCCAAAAGTGGACATATGAGAATGAAGTACTGTTAATCAAGCTTAAAGGTTACCCCTGGCGACCAGATGGTGAAGAGGCAGTTCATTCCAGAGCAGTGCTTCAAACTATTATCAGTGATCTAATACCCAGACAGTGGAATTTATATGGTAACTCCAACATCAGAGGTGACAGCAACACTCTGTTCTTCGAACACAATCCAAACATGGTACCAGGGCAGCCTCCTCCCGCACAGTTTATCATCAGCTTCAACAGTAATGACTTACTGAGGCTCATTGGAGCTCCAGACACCATCGTGTCAACTGTCCGAAGCACCATCCAGAGTTTTTGGCATAAAGGAATCCAGGAAGAAAAACGCTATGCAGAGAGTTGGCAGTTTAAGTTGAAGGGATATCCGTGGTGGGCGTCAGGAGAAGAGGCAGTAGAATCACGATTTCTAGTCATGAAGCTGATGGAAGTTCTGTTACCGTATGGATGGACCCCTGTTGCCGCGATTGATAGCTCAAGGAAAGACTCTGATAAGAGTTCTCTGCTCTTCAGATTAATGCAACCAAGGCAGGCACCCTTTTTCTGTATGAGTATGAATGAATCAGACAAACTTCGACTGATCAATGCACCAGAAGATGTTACCAAGGTATGGTGTGTCCTACCTACATTAGTAGATAATGGTAATAGTGCTCAACACTAATGCTAGTCCACTAGCCCAGGACTAGTGAAACTTCAGGCTGGTCTAGTAAAAATATACCTCTACTACCCCCTAGACCAGTTAAACAAGTTGACAAAATAGTTTTTCTAAACCTCTTTTACTTGGGAAGTTCTTTTTCTAAAACGCTTTATCAGTAGTTTGTTTCTGTAGCTTAATAAGACGCTGTGGGAGCGTATATTTGGGCGTCAATGTACTAGGCGTGTGTGAAGTTTTTTATTTGGGTGTGAGACGCCCAAATAGAGTACAGTAATCAAGTTCGTTTGTTTTGATTCAAAGTTGCAGTAGGCACGCAATACGTGCAAACTTAAACAAGCCAAGTGACACGAATTTCTGCCGCACACTGTCACAATGTTCACAGCATTTATCTTGGTTACACACATCCCACAGGTAATGCACTGCAAGCAAATGTGCAATAGAAAACAAATCTTTTGTAAAAACAAAGAACACTGAGTGAAACAAACTATTGAATAGTTTAAAAGGGGGGGGGGGCTTAATAGAGGATTTACGGTAGGCACTGTGTGAAAGTACAGAACAACAAGTTGCCTATTTTTCCACCTATCTAGATCTGCCAAGATGTCATTCAAACTCAGTATGTTCTTGGCGTTCAACGAGTGCAGACCTATGGCACTAGCCTGGAATTCAAGCTGTCGGGTAATCCATGGAGCTCATTTATGGATGGTCATGATGGAATCCATGCCAGAAATTTGGTATGCCACTTAATTAGTGCCCTTTCAGGTCGAGGTTGGATAGCTGTGACTGCTGCTGATGTATCTGCAAAGTATGTCGATGAAGACGATGGTTCAGATTATCCCATTGATGTCGACAGCATCTTCTTCGTATATGATCCTTCAGCTGTAGCTGCTGCACCCACAGCTCCACCGCTGCAGCTACCATACCCTCAATTGTATCCTCAACCATTCACACAGCCCTATCCTCAGCCCTTCCCGCAGCCTTATCCTCCACCTCCAGCTTACGGCTTCGCTCAGCAGGGTGCTCCGCCCCCTTTTGATCCACCAGCCTATGGGGCCTTTTCTAATCAGTGATGTAATAATTTGTCCAAATTAGGTATATTACAGTGTTCTGAATGTAACAATCATGTTAGTTGATTAACTGTCGACTCTCCCTTAGACTGTGGCTGGTCCCCTGTCAAATTTGTAAAGTGCACAGTACCTCTGACAGGTCAGCTCTAAGACCATAAACTTCAATGCTGGGACATTCATAAGCGACTATTTATTTATGTTTTTAGCAGAAAAATACTCTACCACTTCACTCTTTGTACCCTGACAATGTTCACATTTGAGCAGAATTTTTTTAAATGTTACAGCTGGCCAAACTGAAAATGGATTAGAACACAGTCTTACAGTGGCTTAACTCTATAGTTCAGTTCAACTAACCGACCTAAAGTGTCTTAACACATACACATGAGAATAGAAGAGAATATGAATACTTGTTGTTATGCTTACGCTGACTTGTAAAGTAGTCTTTACTGGCCAAGTAACTACTGGTAGTTGAAATAGATAAATGTGTACACATCATCAAATTTGGATATATTATGGATTTATTTTGTTTGCAAATTCAAACCATGCTCTAAGTACATACTGGTATATGTGATAGACCCTTGCTGCTAAACAATAAAAAGCAGCATTAATTTAAGAACCTGTCTTCACAAGGTTCTTTTTTCTAATGTCAAATGGAATTGAAGTTACATATTTAATTGATAAGGTTTTTTATTTTTCTTGAAATTATACTAGCAAGAATTGGGAAAAAGTAAAAATTTGCAGCAAATAATACAAAGCAACAGTGATGGTCATGAGGCATAAATAACAACAGGAACTGAAAAATGTTTAATCGTTGTTTTGCTAGTTCATGTTAGGGGTTGGAAAGGCAATAGACGTACATAATACAATTTTGGTTTGGACGTATGAAGTGTCAGTCGTAATTTTCCAATAAATTTTTCTGACTGAATGACTGTTGTGTTTGTTTCTGGTCCAGTAACAATCTGTCCGGATTTTTTTCCAGGTTAATCGTCGTTTTAGTAATAGACCAAAGGTTTTATTGGTCAAATAGTTTGTAAATCACGAGCCAAAATTAGTTTGATAACAATTTTCCCGCCCACCCATTCCGTTAGTTTTTCAAGGTTCAACCCACAGCTTAGAGGGATTTTATGCGGTCAAAAGCACAGGCCTTCCAGGTATGAGAATAAACAAAATACGTTTCCAAACTTAAAGGAGCAAACTGATAGTAAAAGATACGACACAAAGAAAACGGTGATTTATTTATTTTTTTGAGAATCTTTAATAACGTTTTTCCTAAAAATATTCTCATAACTTTTAAAGAGTCTGGGTTGCCTGTGTCAAAAGGGAAAATTTGCCCAACGCTGATTGGTCGAGATAAATTTGTTAGTTGGGCTTGCAGAAATGATATTTTTTAGTTGAAAAACCGCCTAGCAACCTATGAGGCCCTCGCTAACTAATGCTAGCTTGGCGAGAAATGAAAGGACTTCCCGACCTAAGGTTTTTCTCGAACTCCGGTGACTTCTGCGCTGACAGCAAGTTGATTGTTCGACATCTTTGTTAGTGGAGTTTATGGTGAAAAAACTGGTGCGGTCGTATCTTCGCCATGCCATTGAAAACTTTTGAAACACATCAGAGAGGTTTGGCTATGGCTGGACAGGTAAGCTTTAAAGTTCTTTTTCGAAGAAAAATGAAATCTTTAAAACATGCACTTAAGCCTAAATGAAGTAAACAACACGTTGAAAAATTTTAAAAAGCAATTCGTGTCTAGTTTCCATCCAAAAAGAGCTGAATTATTATAATTGTTTAAACTTGAGTTTAAGCGATTTTCAACGTTGTTTTTCAAAAAGCAAATAAGTTTAAGCTTTTAAGAGTGTCATTTATGCTGTAAGAAAGGGGTCTTTTTGCTTTTATGAGAACACTTGATTTCAGGCGGACTAGAACTTTCCGAAAGCTAAATTCACCATAAATTCAAAATGTCTTACGAAATCAGCTAGTAGAATGTCTTTGCGCGAGCATTCGAAAACACTCTTCTTCAGAGCGCTGTTTATGACGAAATGCGTTTCCATAGTCATTGAAAGAAAACAATCATTTCGCTTCAGCTTTCGAAGGTGTGTACATACTTTCGGTGCTGAGCAGTTTTCGATATTTTCAAAGTGATTTTCAGAGAAAAACTCTCAAAAGAGAAGTAAAAACAAACAAAAAAATATTTTAAAAATAACAAAAAGTTAAATAACGAGTTGAAAAATCATCGTTTGGCGTGGTGTGAAATCCCCGTCAGGACAACAACGATGGCTTCACGGCTTACGGGCAGGGAGAAAAAGGATGAGAACAGAATTCACTCAGCTCCCGTCACCCGGCAGCGAAACTCTAAAATACCAATTAGACTGACTCGATTGAGCAGTGCTAACCATGAAGGTTTCTCGTGCGAGGACAAAACGGCGAAAAAGAGACCTTTACCGAGAGATTCCGGGGAAAAGAGATCATCACGAATTCCTGTTGCTGTGGACAAAACAGGTATTCTAAATTTCTCTCTTTTTTTTTTTTTGTAAGTAAAATTGATGACTCGTACAAAAATACATTCTATTGTTTTAAAAATGAACTGGTGCATTTAATAACTTTGAAATGGTTGGAAATGAATTGCACTCATTAAGTAATTTTTAAGACTTATTAAAAGCCCTTTAAGAACATCTTCAGCAAAACAGAGAAAAACGGTTTTTATATTAGTCTTACGTAAAGTACAAACATTAACCACAAAGGACTGCAAAGGACTTATATAGAGTGGGGTCAAATTACGTAAGAGCTTATGTTCCGGCAGGAGCTCCTGGTTCAGGAAAGTTTACAGATGAGGGAGACTAGATAGGTTTGTCGCTGAGGTGTACAAGCTCCGTCATTTAGACATTGCAGTTATAAAAAAGTAGTGTATATTGTGAAGGAAGGTAGATTTTAAAGCGGGCACTGATTCAAGAGCTAGTGAACCTTACTAAGGTAGAGGGTGCTTTAGATACATCGTTCTGTTAGAAAGCGGGGCTTATCACGGAGGTAGGAACTGACAGAGAGAGTGCTAAGAACGACAGAGCGGGGCTAACCAGTAGAGAGAGAGAAATTTTTCAGATAATGATATTGTGATATAAATTAGTTTGTGCTTGTTAGAGAGTGGCTCATCAGGGGGTGGGTATGGGGATTACAGAAGTGGGTGTCTTTTGTGGCCTTTTAGAGAGAGAGAGAGAGAGAGAGAGAGAGAGAGATCCTTTATAGTAACAGAGGCGTAAAAGAAAAGAAGAAATAATTAGACGAGAGGGACTTCTAATAAGGAGGTGCATACTAGGGAGAGTGGGGCTTCCAAGAGGGAGAGGCTCATGAGAGAGAGGGGTGTATTAGAGAAAATATACTAAGCAGCGGGAGGGGCTTAGTATACAACGGGAGCCATAAGGTAGAGCTCATTTTTCTTTAAAGGGTTTACGGGGAATTAACTGAAGAAAATGAAGGTAAAAAGAGAATAAGATGACATATTGTAGTCGGATATTGAAGGAGAACTACTAGGGAGAGACTATATAAAAAGGAAATAAGGATACCAAATGGTAAATGCATTGTTGGTGAACATATAAGTAACAACTGGACATTTACACAGGTACAAATCTAAGCGATGGACGCTGTAAACAAGCTAGAGTTAAACCTAACTCTCCAGCCAAATCTAAACGCCTGGGCAGTGAGCCTCTTAGAAGTTTGAACAAACAAGTCCGGCCACAAACATCAAGACAACTCAATTCTGTGGAAAACAAGGAGGTAAATAGTAGCAAATTTATTTTATACTATTTATTTTGTCATTTTCATAGACCCCTAATAACTGAGTTCCGTGCGTTGTTTTAACAGAAATCAAAGAACGAGAAAGAGTATTGCGCTGTACAAGAGAACAGAAATGATATTACGGACAGTAACGCGTTATGTTGTGAGAGAAAGGATGACTTCACACCAGGTTTGAATACTAATGTTGAGGCTGGAGGTCTTATCATGAAAGCACATACCACCACAAGTACCTGTGAGCCACAAGGTGACGTCAAGAGTAACTCCTCATTGTCAGTCGATGATGAAGATATAGCAGATGCTGCCAAGTAAGTAATCTATGCATATTCGTGAAACATGTATTTATGACTTTTGGGGTGACACATTTTGTCTTTCGTAGGAGGAAGGTCTTTGCATACACAAGAGAATGTAAATGCACCCTTTTGCGATCTCTTGGCACATTTTTTTTGGTGGTCTAGACTAGGCTTCTACAAGTCTGGCTTCATTATAATGTAATGCCCTTGGCCATGGGTGGTGTCTATCACAGACGATCACAATCATGATGATACGGATAAAATTGAAACGAAAAGTTTGTATCGTAACCAGACAGAAAATTTCTTTCTTTGCTCATAGGAATTGACTACATATTTCAAAACACGAAAAAGAAGCGCGCAAAGCACCTTGAATAAGCGAGGGATAACCTTGCTCCCTTTCTCCTGGCTGATTTTCTGATTGGCTGTTCAAAACAACGTCACAAACTAAACGGACCAATAAGTGCAATAATAGTAGAAATACCCTCAACAGCTTCAGTAAAGCTTTTTTCCTGGCTCTCAGTACTGGAATACTGACTGGTCCTTGATGACCTCTGTATGTTAAATAATGCAATTTAATATTTCAGGCAGGTTAATGGGTATAATTTCTATCTAGGGAGCGAAGAGAAGACCTTAAAGAGGAAAGTCGCGACTGCGATGAAAACAAGGAGGAGTCAAGCTACCATCAAGATAAACTGGAAGACGATAGTGGACGAGGGTCGTTGGAGGACATTTGCATTGCAATTGCACCCTGCATCGGCAAAACACCAATAGAAGACAGCAGGGTCTTGGATGTTCAAGACGAAGCTGAGTTAGATAACATTTCAGAAAAAGGAGCTGATAATGGTGAGAATTCCTGGGACGCTTTGGATGATATCAGATTGCGCTGTGGTCCTTCAGGAAGCTGTGTTCCTTGTCTAAATGGAGATGTCTGCATGAAGTTAAGAGATATGGATATCATCTCTCCTATTATTGAGTTATACAAGAAAGACAATGAAAAGCTTGTGGACCAAGGTGCTTTGACGAAGAGAGAAATTGAAGAAGTTCAAAGTGAAAGTTTGCAGACTGAGATTGAAGCATTAAGATTTGAACTCAAGCGTCTCAATTCTAATGAAGAATACAGAGAAAGAGCATTTACAAATCTAAGAGAAGCCATCAAGAAAAAAGATGGGCAGCTTAAGGATTTAAAAGATGAACTGGACTATGCGCAGATGGAAAAGAACTATTACTTGTATCAAATCGAGCTGTTAGAGAATAAGCTGAAAGACAGCGAAGAAAGCAAAGAAAATCTTCGATTTGAATGTGACGAACTGAGGGTGATCTTTGACGAGTTAAAAGAAAAAAAGGACGGCCAAGGCAACTTCGTGGAGATGGAAAAGAGCCACTACTTGTACCAAATCGAACTGTTAGAGAATAAGCTGAAAGACAGCGAAGAAAGCAAAGAAAATCTTCGATTTGAATTTGACGAACTGAGGGTGATCGTTGACGAGTTAAAAGAAAAAAAGGAAGGTGAAGAAAACTTCTTGGAGATGGAAAAGAGCTATTACTTGTATCAAATCGAACTGTTAGAGAATAAGCTGAAAGACAGCGAAGAAAGCAAAGAAAATCTTCGATTTGAATTTGACGAACTGAGGGTGATCGTTGACGAGTTAAAAGAAAAAAAGGAAGGTGAAGAAAACTTCTTGGAGATGGAAAAGAGCTATTACTTGTATCAAATCGAACTGTTAGAAAAAAAGCTGAAGGACAGCGAAGAAAGCAAAGAAAATCTTCTATTTGAATGTGACGAACTGAGGGTGATCGTTGACGAGTTAAAAGAAAAAAAGGACGGCGAAGACAACTTCGCGGAGATGGAAAAGAGCTATTACTTGTATCAAATCGAACTGTTGGAGGTTAAGCTGAAAGAAAGCAAAGAAAGCAACGAAGTTCTACAATTCGAATGCGATGAAGCAAGGGAGATGTTAAAGGATTTAAAAGAAACGACTCGTCGTATAAACAGTGAAGGCATTGATTATGGGTATTTACGTGAAGAAGTTGAACTGTTGAAAGGTTCCCTGGAATTGGGTAAAAATCGAGAGGAAGGGTTAAAGAGTCAGTTGAAATTCCTGGAGGATGAACTTGAGAAGTTCAGAAACAAGAACAAACAGATTGAAGTTATCTATGAAACGCCAACAGTCACCATTTATAAAGAAAAAGGCAAGATGGCTTTAGAATTGTCAAAAACATCGGATAAAGAAAACGTTGAATTCAAAGAGCTGCTAAAGCAAATAGAAGAACTCACTGAACAAAACAAGTATCTCCAGGAAACGTTGACCACCAAGACACCGGCAGTGGATGAAGAGAAAAATCCCGAGACGATTTTGGACGCGAAACAGAAAAAGTTCAAATCTGGAATTAAGAAGCTTAAAAAGCGCATTCGACATTCGCATTCTAGCGATGCTAGAGATTCGGCATTATGGATGAGCCTGCTGAAGGAAGAAAGAAAAGAACTGGCTTATGTAAGAAACTCTTTGAAACTACAAACCCAAACAAGCCGTGATAAGGAGAGAGAATTAGAGAACAGCAAACAACGCCTTCAGCAGAAAGAGACTGAACTGGTAGAAGCGCAGGAAGGTTTGAGACACGTGAGTGAGACTGCTGGTGCTCTGCAAAATGTTGTTGAACAGATCGTAGATTTCTTGTGGAAGCTTGACGCGGCTATTAAAAGCCTTTGCAGAAGTTACACTCAAAGCACTCAAAGCCTGATGATGAAAAAAGAAACAGCACTGAGAGAAGCAGAAGCTGTCCTGACTGACTCCTCGCCAACACATGCGTCTTCTCGCCCGTTGACGGTAAGCCTTGATATAAAGTCCTACTTACGCAGAATCGTATCCAGTCGCAGTCACTAATTTATTTGTTTTTGAGGTGAGAGAAGATTGGTGCTAGATTGAGGAACGCGGGGTGTCATGGAAGGGATGAAGGAAATTGTTCTTCGTCCTTTCCCATGAGTACCGCGCGCAACAGTATCATCTAATCTTCTCTCTTTTCACAGAAGTGTAAACAGCGACTGGGTACATAGCCTGTGTAACAAGCGTTTCTGTTGAAAGAACGAGGAACGGGATTTTCGTTTTTGCCACGCATGAAATAGAACGAGAACCAATCTCCACCCCTCCCCGCTCTTTAACTCGCGCCACTGTTTTGGTTCCTCGTTTTTTGCTCCAAAAACGCAGGGAAATGCTTGCTACGCAGACAACTGGGTACAAATCTACTACTTAGATGTTGCGCTTTGTTTAAGAAAGACCTACAAGCCTTCCCCCAACATCATTTCTAGGGCTTTTCCTTTTAGAAAATGGGGCTAAAAAGCACTCAGTGGGGATGGGGTCCTTCGTACCCTTCTCACCTTTAGCCATCATCAGTAATTGTGGGGTACCACTGAGGTTTTGGAGCCCTGATCCCATTTAGGAAAAAAAGCCGGAAAATTTAAAATGCCTGCAGCTTGGACTGTTACTAAGATTTCAAGGTTCTGGGTATATGCATTATGTAGAGGGGAATCATGCTCATCGACGCCAAATCCTCGCCCCATACCGCCCGCCCTTAGAGACAGCCTTGAACTTGCAATAGACTCTGTTTTAAAACCTTGTTGTGAGAAATGGCCAATAACAGATTCGCTACCGTTTCTTTACGAAAAATTAGACCCTGTTTTGAATAAGATTCCCTTGAATTGTATACCCTGTTATGAATCAAGTCAACAAACTGTGCATTGCCAAGTGTCGCATTCTCGTGAGGCTTAAATAAAGAAGTTGCCAGGGCTCAACTATAGTGCTTACTGACACACATTGAAAAGACCAGCTTCTGATATGTGTCGGATGGCTTTATGGCATCAAAACGTATGTAACGGAGGGCGTATTTTACCATTTTAGGTATTATAAACGATGATGATGATGATAATAACGCTACCGTAACTCCGTTTGAGGCCAGTCTCAAAGAGTCAGTTTGAGGATGAGATAAACAATAAATACTGACTGGCATATCCTTTCTGTTGTTTCTCCAGTGGGCGGCATTGGACGCACAAGCGAGAGATCTAAGGCATGAAACCAGCACATTGAGGTAAGAAAATGTCAGTGATCTATTACTGCTGTTAGCAGTAATGCTAAACGGTAGGAAGTCACGATGAAGTCAACTACTCCACTATGGGCTCCCGCGGGCTCCCATGTGCTCCTGACTCCACTTTGTTCCCTCTTTCAGTCCAGTTGTAGATTGGGGATAATTGTTTCAAAATGTAACATATATTCTCTCTTCTGAGATATTTCTAGTTAAAAGTTCACACTTTTCTTTGAATTGTACTTGGGTTTTCACTGATTTACGTTTTTGCTAAAATAGTTGATTCTCGGCTCCTTGACGTCCGTCTTCATTGTCCCTGTATTAAAGTTGCCCTGGACCAGGTTACTCGGTGGGTAAAAAGATGAATTACGAGGTGTTGGCCGCAAAAAAGCGAGCCCTGCTATTAGGAGAATGAGGAGAGGCCTCTTCAGTCCCCTACCCTCCCCCTCCATCCCCTCACTTTGCCTTTTTCCTCTTGCTCACCCTGTTGTTCCACGGCCCTTCTTCACTGAGGAGCCTAGTGCGTATATCATACAGCCTCGTAGAGTTAACTTGTAGAGGTGTTTGCAACAAAACTGTATGTTATTTTTCAATGACTCTTTTCGTAAAAGCGTTTATCTAACTGAACACTTTTATTGTTTCCAGGTACTCCGAGAACCCTTCACCAAACCAGCCCTCGATTGTTTCCTCTGAAAGAGATATGACTGTGAGGGACCGGATCCCACCCAGAACAGATGACTCTGAAAACTATTTCCTTTCTCTGTTATCTTTTAAGTAAAAATTGCCATATTTTATCTGAAGGAAATGTTTATAACTAAATATACAACTATACAACTTTCTGAATTTCTAAACTATACAACTTTCTGACCCTAAATTAAAAATCTGTTGTCATTTGTTAGCTGTTTCGTTCTTTTTTGAAATCACTACTCTCTTAGAAAGAAGAATCGTTTTTTTCATCAAAAATATCTTGTTGATATAAAATCACTTCCAATCTTTCAGTTTTACTTAAGCCCGTACAAATTTCAGACGAACCTTTTAATCTAAATTTTCAAACTCCAAAACAGTAAGTATTTTGGTAATTATTTAAAAAAATTGAATTTCAGAATAGAAAAAATTGAGGTTAATATACGTGTTAATATTAATGAAATAATAATAAAAAATAGTGGAAATATTTTTCGCAAAGTTCGACTAAGTAATAAATGTGTAAGTATTATTTAAGAGTAATTAAGTTCAAATAAAATTGAGAAAATGTATATGTGCTATTGTCGTGTTACTACGTTTAGAAATAGGCTGATCACAGTAGTAAAATGACGCCACCGTTCAAATGACCCCTATTATTTGCCTCTCTCAGGGGCCCCGGCAACCTCGCCCCCAGGGCTTTTTCCTCAAACCCATTTTTTGAGGGAAAAGCCCTGGGGACGAGGTTGGAGCCCCGGTTATAGGCTGTAAGCTCCTTCATCCTTAGAAAAAATCATGGGATTGCGTATTGAATTGATGGACAGCTTAGGGGTTTGGAAATAACAAGGTAACATCTGAAATAACGTAAAGTAAAGAAAAAATTACCGACCTTTCATAAGTCACGTGTTTCCCAAGTAATCATAGTACTCTTAAGTACCGATCGAAAGCTAGCCCCCAGTCTCCCAGGTTGTCTAGAACTTCTTTTTCGTTCCTTCTTTTTAAATGTTTTCCCTTGCCATGCAAGCAGCTGATTCATGTACTTGAGGGGGGAGGGGGAGAAGAAGGGAGTGTATTGAGGAACGAGCGCCCTCCATATTGCTGTCACTTCCAAGCTCTGGGTAGTGCTTCTGATCGGTCGTGCCCCGCTGGAAATCTGCTTCAACCAATCAGAAACACTACCCAGACCTAGGAAGTTACACGTCATCAGTATGGAATTTTCTGCGCCCGTTCCTCAGATGTCATTTCGCTCTTTCACCAGGCTAAGCTTCCTCGCTTTGAGCACGTGAGCCGAAACGCACAGACCGCTCGGAAAAACGATCAGTAGGAGCTTGACGAGGTTTTCGCTTGCTTATAAACCACCACTAATGGTATTGCAAGGAACCGACAAACTTGCCGGGCGTTTCATGGGCTTTGCGAGTTGAGATTCATTTTGCTGCCAGCGTTTAATACTTGCAGGGGCGGATCCGGGATTTTTCTTAAGAGAGGGTGCTCCACTAAGGAACTAACATTTTAACTACCATTTTTACTGCGTTGAACACTGAAATTCTTCAGCCTCGTCTCATATTTTAATTCAACACCAATAAACCACAAAGTTATTTTTTTTGCAGAATACCTGTTGTTTTAGAAAGCCGCAGGACATCTCAGAGGAGGGGTGCGCACCCCCAGTACTCTCCCCTTAGATCCGCCCCTGACTTGGGCTTGAGTTCATAATACCAATAGGCCATTTTACAGTTATGGATGAAAGCGAGTCTGAGGGTGACCTTGTTTTGATACAAACCTTCCTGATTTATTATGTAAATCAAGTTATTCTTACGCTAAATAGTATTTTTCAAGAACAATTTCCATAACAAAGCAAAGAAGGTTTGTATCAAAACAAGGTCACCGTCAGCCTCGCTTCCATCCATAACTGTAAAATGGCATATTTCAGGACTGAAGCGCACGCTACCAACCCCGTGGTATGGCCAGTACCTTACGCATGCCCACAACCATATCACCCGGGCAGTGGCAGCCATGGACAGCCGTTTCGCCCTTATTGGGGCTCATCAGCATGGCAGCCGTCGGGTCAAAGACCCTTTACTGCCGAGGCGAGTGCAAATCAGCAATCCTAGCCTACATGGCAGGCATTAGGAGCGAAAGGGAGGGGGAGTTCTTCTTTTCTCCCCAGTATCCCCACCCCTTTATGCACCTGCCAAGCAAGCTTCACCCCATGAAAGGGAATCCGGATACTGGAATGCGGAAAATTTTTGCCTGTGGGATCCGAAATCCGGAAAATTTTACTTGCGGAATCCGGAATCCTGGGCTTTGAAGTCCAGAATACAGCTTAAGGAATCCACTAACGATTAAAATCCAGAGTCCAAGTTCTAGTGATAGAGACTGAAATCTAGTACCTGGAATCGTGAAATCCGTGACGGCGTGGAATCCAGAATCCCAGACTGTCATGTATTCCCGTGACATGGGGCTACAGCCTCTGGGTTCTCTTTCATTGTTGCAGCTCATTCTGATTGAGAATTTCTTTAAACCCAGCTATGAGCTCTTTTTGAACCTTATTTTGCGCTCATACAGGTATGCCTTGTGTTTGGTTACAGCCGTCTCTCCTCGCTAGAGACGTGTCTCTCCCGCGAAACGTCCCTAGCAGCGAGGAGCGCGCGAGGCAGTGTTTCATAGGCTTAGTTGAAATACTCGTCACTTCTTTGAAGAGAGAATTACTGATCAGTCTCACCCGTAAATAATTAAATTTCACGAAAGACGTCACTACAGCCAGAAATATATATCTTCTGATGCCCGTCAAAAAGACTACAAACTACAGCTGGGAACCCGTTTACGAGCACTCTAAAAACGCGAAACGAGTACACGTAGCGCGAGACTCACGCGCCAATAGAGACTGGGTTCTAAAAGAGACCAACATGGCGACGGAGTGACCAAAGTTGGAACATGTGTATTTTTAATGTCTCCAACTTGACATTATTATAGACTTTAGGAACTCGGATTTGACATCTATCGGTTCATTGACCCATTCTTCAACACTTGGAGTTATTTATGGGCTGAACATTCACGGACGTGGCATGGTAGGAGTCTTGAAAAATCCGACACAGCTCTTTTGAGGTATGATTGTGAGCTTAACTGAAAGTTTACGACTATTTAGTAGAAAGTGTTGGTCTCATCAGCAAATAATATTCAGTTAATGGTATTTTTAGGATTAAGGTTGCCTTCAAAGCACCCGGCCACTTAATTATTTGCATCTGGAGGAAAAAATAACGGATTCCCATTTTTGGATATTTTAGGGTATTTAATAATACCCATAAAAATCCCAAATTTGGCAAAGTGAGACAAGTTAGGGTTAGTTCCCTGATTGGGACTTGTCTCACTCTTCCAAATTTGGGATTTTTGTGGGTATTCTTTAAATACCCTAAAATATCCAAAAATGGGAATCTGTTATTTTTTCCTGTGACGTGTGGTTGAATATTGACAAGTGGGTTACCCCACCTAAGGGGGTTAACCTCACTTACCTGGGGTTTACACCTCATTACGGACATTTTTCTTTTGCCCTTGAGAAAGCCCTTAGAATTTCTCTCTCCTTTCTCCTTTGCCCAAGGGAAGTTTCATCTGAGAGACATCTGTGCCTTAATGACAGGAATTCCATAGCGATGACATAAAATCTGTGCTAAATCTGGTCAGGAGTTCTGATTGGTTGATATAGTAATTGCATTGTTTTAGCTATTGTTTACAAATGACAGAAAGACAAAACAAAACGTCACAAAGAGTGTTGCGGCAGCTCATTCACTGGAGAACTAACAACGTAACCACAACAGACCAGGAGGAACACAAACTCAAGCAAATTTATATTTGGAACCCATGACTACTAGATTACATTATGTAAACATTGATTTGCATCGTCAGTGTGGAATTTCTTTCATTAACGAGTAGACATCTCTCCTGCGAAATGTCCTTAGCTGCGAGAAGAGAGAAGAGACAGCTGTATTTGCAGGCTATATTCATCCCAGTTATCTCATTGACCCCAGTCATTTTATTCACCCTAGTTATTATAGTCATCCCAGTCACCCCAGTCATCCTAGTCCTTCTAGTCATACCAGTCATCCAAAACAACATTTCACCATCCAAATCATCCCTAGTCATCCTAGTCCTCCTAGTCACCATAGTCATGCCAGACACCCTAGTGATTCTTGTGATCCAAGTTATCCTAGTCATCGCAGTCACCCTTGTCATCCCAGTCATCCCAATCATCCAAATCGCCCGGCCATCCAATCCCAGTCACACAATATTATCCATCCCAGTCATCCTAGCAGGGCTTGACGTTGCGACCTGTGGGGTCGCCAATGCTACCAGCTTTTACTCAGTGGCGACTAAATTTTCATGCCTGGTCACCAACCTGGCCCCCAAGATAGGTGACTTTCTTCTTTAGGAAAATGTACGCTGATGATAAGTTGTTATCCTTTACAAAACTAATAGCCTGCGTAGCAGGCGCTTGGAAGTAGTGGGCACAAGAAAAAACGGGCGCGAGGGACGGACTTGGTAACTGCTTCTGAATTGATACCAGGCTTCTGTCAGTCAAAGTCAAATGTCCCGACCCCGGGGTCGCTTCGCACGATCAAAAGCCCGACAGCGGGGATGGTCCCAGGCATCAAATCCCTACCCCTTGCCCGCACTCCCCCCCCCACGGGATTTACATTGATAGGTGCATTACTCTGTATTACTCTGCGTTACCCTATGTTACCCTGTGTTACCCTGTGTTACCCTGTAATACCCTGTGTTACTCTGTGTTACCTTGTGTTCCCCTGTGTTACTCTGTGTTACCCTTTGTTACCCTGTGTTAACCTGTAATACCCTGTCTTTTTCTGTGTTCCCCTGTGTTCCCCTGTATTCCCCTGTAATACCCTGTGTTACTCTGTGTTACCCTGTGTTACCCAGTGTTACCCTGTAATACCCTGTGTTACTCTGTGTTACCTTGTGTTCCCCTGTGTTACTCTGTGTTACCCTCTGTTACCCTGTGTTCCCCTGTGTTACCCTGTGTTCCCCTGTGTTGCATTGTGTTACCCTGTGTTCCCCTGTATTACTCTGTGTTCCCCTGTGATACCATGTGTTCCCCTGTGTTACTCTTTGTTACCCTGGGTTACCCTGTGTTACCATGTGTTCCCCTGTGTTACTCTGTGTTACTTTGTGTTCCTCTGTTTTCCCCTGTGTTACTCTGTGTTACCTTGTGTTCCCCTGTGTTACCCTGTGTTACTCTTTGTTACCCTGTGTTACCCTGTGTTCCCCTGTGTTCCCCTGTGGTACCATGTGTTCCCCTGTGTTACCTTGTGTTCCCCTGTGTTACTCTGTGTTACCTTTTGTTACCCTGTGTTAACCTGTAGTACCCTGTCTTTTTCTGTGTTCAACTGTGTTACCCTGTATCCCCCTGTAATACCCTGTGTTACTCTGTATTACCCTGTGTTACCCAGTGTTACCCTGTAATACCCTGTGTTACTCTGTGTTACCTTGTGTTCCCCTGTATTACTCTGTGTTCCCTTGTGTTCCCCCGTGTTACTCTTTGTTACCCTGGGTTACCCTGTGTTACCATGTGTTCCCCTGTGTTACTCTTTGTTACCCTGTGTTCCCCTGTGGTACCATGTGTTCCCCTGTGTTACTCTGTGTTACCCTTTGTTACCCTGTGTTAACCTGTAATACCCTGTCTTTTTCTGTGTTCCCCTGTGTTCCCCTGTATTCCCCTGTAATACCCTGTGTTACTCTGTGTTACCCTGTGTTACCCAGTGTTACCCTGTAATACCCTGTGTTACTCTGTGTTACCTTGTGTTCCCCTGTGTTACTCTGTGTTACCCTCTGTTACCCTGTGTTCCCCTGTGTTACCCTGTATTCCCCTGTGTTGCATTGTGTTACCCTGTGTTCCCCTGTATTACTCTGTGTTCCCCTGTGATACCATGTGTTCCCCTGTGTTACTCTTTGTTACCCTGGGTTACCCTGTGTTACCCTGTGTTACCATGTGTTCCCCTGTGTTACTCTGTGTTACTTTGTGTTCCTCTGTTTTCCCCTGTGTTACTCTGTGTTACCTTGTGTTCCCCTGTGTTACCCTGTGTTACTCTTTGTTACCCTGTGTTACCCTGTGTTACCCTGTGTTCCCCTGTGGTACCCTGTGTTCCCCTGTGTTACCTTGTGTTCCCCTGTGTTACTCTGTGTTACCTTTTGTTACCCTGTGTTAACCTGTAGTACCCTGTCTTTTTCTGTGTTCAACTGTGTTACCCTGTATTCCCCTGTAATACCCTGTGTTACTCTGTATTACCCTGTGTTACCCAGTGTTACCCTGTAATACCCTGTGTTACTCTGTGTTACCTTGTGTTCCCCTGTATTACTCTGTGTTCCCTTGTGTTCCCCCGTGTTACTCTTTGTTACCCTGGGTTACCCTGTGTTACCATTTGTTCCCCTGTGTTACTCTTTGTTACCCTGTGTTCCCCTGTGGTACCATGTGTTCCCCTGTGTTATGTTGTGTTCCCCTGTGTTACTCTGTGTTACCCTGTGTTACCATGTGTTCCCCTGTATTACTCTGTGCTACTCTGTGTTCGTCTGTGTTCCCCTGTGTTGCGCTGTGTTTCCCTGTGTTACCTTGTGTTACCCCGTGTTACCCTGTGTTACTCTTTGTTACCCTGTGTTACTCTGTACTACTCTTTTTACCCTATGTTACCATGTGTTTCCCGGTGCTACCCTGTGTTCCCCTGTGTTCCCCTGTGTTACCTTGTGTCACCTTGTGTTACCCTGTGTTCCACTGTGTTACTCTGTGTTACCCCGTGTTAAGCTGTAATACCCTGTGTTTCTGTGTTCCCCTGTGTTCCCCTGTAATACCCTGTGTTACTCTGTGTTACCCTGTGCTACTCTGTGTTACCCTGTGTTACCCTGTGTTCCCCTGTGTTACCCTGTGTTCCCCTGTAATACCCTGTGTTACTCTGTGTTACCCTCTGTTACCCTGTGTTCCCCTGTGTTCCCCTGTGCTACTCTTTGTTACCCTGTGTTCCCCTGTGTTACTTTGTGTTACCCTGTGTTACCCTGTGTTCCCCTGTGTTACCATGTGTTACTCTGTGTTACCCTCTGTTACCCTGTGTTCCCCTGTGTTCCCCCGTGCTACTCTTTGTTACCCTGTGTTACTCTGTGTTCCCCTGTGTTACCCCGTGTTCCCTTGTGTTACCCTGTGTTCCCCTGTGTTCCTCTGTGTTCCCCTGTGTTACCCTGTGTTACACTCTGTTACTCTGTCTTACTCTGTGTTACCCTGTGTTACTCTTTGTTCCCCTGTGTTACCCTGTGTTACACTCTGTTACTCTGTCTTACTCTGTGTTACCCTGTGTTACTCTTTGTTACCCTGTGTTACCCTGTGTTACACTCTGTTACTCTGTCTTATTCTGTGTTACCCTGTGTTACCCTGTGTTCCCCTGTGTTACCCTGTGTTACACTCTGTTACTCTGTCTTACTCTGTGTTACCCTGTGTTACTCTTTGTTACCCTGTGTTACCCTGTGTTCCTCTGTGTCCCCCTGTGTTACCTTTGTTAACATGTGATACCCTGTGTTACCCTTTTATCCTGTTTTTCCCTGTGTCCCCCTGTGTTCTCCTGCTGTTTCCTTGTGTTACTCTGTGTTCCCGACGTTACGCTGCGTTCCCCTGTGTTACTCTGCATTACCTTGTGTTCCCCTGTGTTACTCTGTGTTCCCCTGTGGTACTCTGTGTTTCCCTGTGTTTTCCTGTGTTACCCTGTGTTATCCTATGTTTGCCTGTGTTCCTCTGTGTTACCCTGTGTTCTGCTGTATTACTCTCTGTGACCCGGTGTTACACTGTGTTCCCCTGTGTCCCCCTGTGTTACCATTGTTAGCATGTGATACCCCGTGTTACCTTGTGTTACTGTGTGTTATCCTGTTTTCCCTGTGTTCCCCTGTGTTCTCCAGGGCCCAGTTGTTCGAAAGCCGATTAGCGCTTAACCCGGGGTTAAATTTAACCCAGGTTTTCTTTTTGTTGTGTTCAAAAGCCTTTTCTCGGATAATTTTCTCTGCTATTTTTAGAGCTTCCAATCATCAACTTGTAGACAAAAAGAATTGAAACTGAAATTCTTTTTAAGCTTTCAAATCTGAATTCCAATCTCTCACTAACCCTCGGCTATCTTAACCCAGCTTTGAACAACTCGGCCCTGCTGTTTCCTTGTGTTACTCTGTATTCCCCTGTGTTATGCTGTGTCCCCCTGTGTTACCCTGTGTTCCCTCGTGTTACCCTTTGTTTCCCTGCTTTTTTCCTGTGTTCCCCTGTGTTACTCTGTGTTACCCTGTGCTCCCCAGTGCTAGTTATTATGCATAGTCATCCCAGTCATTTTAGTCACCATAGTGTTCACTGTCATCCCAGTCACTTCAATCATCCCAGTTGTCTTAGTAATCCCAGTTGCCCTAGTCATCCCAGTTATCCCAGTCATCCCAGTGATCCTAGTCATCCTGTTCATTCCTAATCAACCTGCACAGTCACTCCAGTCAACTTAGTCATCCCAGTCATCTTAGTCTCTATACCCACCCTAGTCATGCTAGTGATGCCAAACATCCCACTTATCCCAGTCATGCCAGTCATCCTAGTCATCCAGATCATTCTAGACATCCTAGCAATACCAGTCATCCCAGTCATCCTAGGCATCCCAAACATCCCAGTCATTTTAGTCACTCACCCAGTCACTCTAGTCATGTTAGTTATCCCTGTCATCCGAGTCATTCCTCTTACCCTAGTTACCCTAGCTGGTTCTCTCCCTCGCTCCGAAAGGTTTTTCTCCGGGTACTCCGCTTTTCCCCTCTCCTCAAAAACCAACATTTCCAAATTCCAATTCGACCAGGAATCTGGTAGACGAAGAACCACTATGCAGATGTGCTACTTGCAAATTGTTATTTATTTATTTTATTTATTTATTTATGTCCCTGTTATCCTGGTTGTCCCGTTTGTCCCTGTTGTCCCTGATATCCCTGTTGTCCCTGTTGTCCCTGTTGTCCCTGTTGTCCCTGTTGTCCCTGTTGTCCCTGTTGTCCCTGTTGTCCCTGTTGTCCCTGTTGTCCCTGTTGTCCCTGTTGTCCCTGTTGTCCCTGTTGTCCCTGTTGTCCCTGTTGTCCCTGTTGTCCCTGTTGTCCCTGTTGTCCCTGTTGTCCCTGTTGTCCCTGTTGTCCCTGTTGTCCCTGTTGTTCCTGTTGTCCCTGTTGTCCTTGTTGTCCCTGTTATCCTGGTTGTCCCTGTTGTCCCTTTTGTCCCTGTTGTCCCTAATATCCCTGATATCCCTGTTGTCCCGGTTGTCCCTGATGTCCTTGTTGTCCCTGTTATCCTGGTTGTCCCTGTTGTCCCAGTTGTCCCTTTTGTCCCTGTTGTCCCTGATATCCCTGTTGTTCCTGTTGTCCCTGTTATCCCTGATGTCCTTGTTGTCCCTGTTATCCTGGTTGTCCCTGTTGTCCCTGTTGTCCTGGATGTCCCTGTTGTTCCTGTTATCCCTGATGTCCTTGTTGTCCCCGTTATCCTGGTTGTCCCTGTTGTCCCTGTTGTCCCTGTTGTCCCTGATGTCCCTGTTGTCCCTGTTGTCCCTGTTGCCCCTGTTGTCCCTGTTGTCCCGGTTGTCCCTGTTGTCCCTGTTGTCCCTGTTATCCCTGTTGTCCCTGTTGTCCCTGATGTCCCTGTTGCCCCTGTTGTCCCTGTTGCCCCTGTTATCCCTGTTGTCCCTGTTGTCCCGGTTGTCCCTGTTGTCCCTGTTTCGTGGTTGTCCCTATTGTCCCTATTGTCCTGGTTGTCCCTGTTGTCCTGGTTGTCCTGGCTGTCCTTGTTGTCCCTCTCACCTTAATAATCCCAGTTGTTTCCAGTCTTGCCGCTCATCCCAGCACCCTAGTCATTGCAGTCATCCTAGTTACACAAATTATCTCAGTCATCTCAGTCATCCTGGTCAGCCTAGTGATCCGACATCCACCTTTAATAAACAGCTTTGTTTTTACTAAACTAAGCTAGGATATACTGTTGAGTTTTCTGATAAATGCTTTGACAAGTTCTATTTTTTCTAAAAAAAGTGAAGACAGTCTAAATTAATTGTTATCAATATTATTTTTCTTTAAGGAATGGACTATTTTGCGTCACAAGTTCGGAAGTCTTGATGAAGAAGAATAGCATGTCAACCTGCAGAAAACAAGATCAGGAAGAAAGGGCAGCTCTAAAAACAAGGTAAACAACTTTCCTAACTTTTTTACAGGAATATATTGCATGCATATATATGTTACAGGTCAAATTTGATTTCAGGTTAATTTTGATTTAACCTAGGTTGATTTTTTTAACCTAGGTTATTTATAACGTACTGTTATATATAGTCATGCGGTAAGCCATATTACTGGTACATTGATATGTTTGTACTAAATCCAAGGTAAGGCTAGCCACTCATATAAGCACTGACAATACTGATTAATTGTGTTTATGTTGATGGAATAGCCTCCTTGAATCACAGCTCCTCTAAATAAAGCTATAGATTGCTGCGATAAATCTATCAACCGATTGAACCGACATCCCTAAACCTTTTTATTCTTATCCCTAAACCTTTTTTTATCCATGGGATAAATCACCTCTATTCAAGGGGTGTATAGTTTTGGCTTTTAATTGGCAGATTCCTGGACATCTGTTTGCATAACCAATAAAATTAAGGTTTAAAGGCTCCACGCCTTCCATCACAAGATTCCATGGAGCAGTGATTCCTTTCATATAACACCCATTACCTAATATGACTGCAGTGGGAGTAGAATAATCACATAAAGGTTGAAGGAGGTTTAGGTCACATTTCAAGCGTAGGTTTTTGTTTTAGTAGCTTTACTGGTTCATTGTAAATCATTGTGGTGAGTGGTGGGGCCTCTTGTACGGTTGCCTCCTTGTGCTTTCCTTGCTAATTTAAGATCCCTTCTACCACTTTTCGGATCATCATATGTTTCTGGGAAACTGCCCACCTATGCCTCCCCTAAGCCAACATTAACACTTACTTCTCATTCAGGAAAAAATCTTGGCTTAGGGGAGGGGTAGGTGGGCAGTTTCCCAGAACTGTATAATGATCGATCCTACTTTTCTAGGCACCAGTTTCCCTTCTCATCCACTAGTAGGGCTGTCACTAAGTCTTTAAGTGTCTGGATCTATGTAATTAGTCAGCGGGAAATAGAGCGGCTAGGAATTCTTTTGGTTTCATTTTCCTTTTGTTTCCTATAAAAATAGCGTGAGGTCATGCTCATGGGCTCAGTGAACATATTGATGAATGGGGTTTGACTGTTATGGCTCTTAGAAATTATATGAATTGATAAACAGAATAATAACTATTGTAATGTTTATGATTGTAACTTGACTTACATGCTGATGTATGCTCTTGTTTTTCTTATCCAGATCAGATGCATTATGCCACAAACAGACAGGATCAAGTCTTCAACATTTAGGCTTTAGAGGTTATCTTAAGTACCGTATTACTTTGTAATCCAGCTCTTGAGTGAACCAGAGAAACAAAATGTGGCTTGCTTGTTCAAAAGACAATTATTATTAATCTTATCCAGGACACAAAATTAAAAATGCATTTAAATGCACTTTAAGGAAGTTAACCATAAAGTGCATCTTTAGAGGGTTGGTTGGTTAGCGCACACTGAGGTGGTTCGCTACAACATTCACATGATACAAGGCTTGTGGAGATTTCTTTGTGCAGGGCTTTTTGTCCTGCAAGGTTTCTTAATACAATCTTTCAACTACAGAAATTAGTACATAAAATATATGGGGCTGAAGTATCAACAGCTGATTCCTCGTATGTAGTTGAGGGCAAAATTACTTTGGTTGCTATTGTGCAGAAGAGTTGGTTTTGATTTTGAATTCAGAATCAGGAACAACTCGAAGAATTGAAGTGAATCGATAAAAGTTAGGTGAATCAATGTCTATTTTCAGAGCATGTGGTGGCTTAGTGTAGTTGGAGAAATTCACTTGATTTTAACATTTTCAGGAAAAACAGTCTGTGTTTGAAGCTCAAAAGGCAATCCAAATCACTGTCTACACAAAATGAAGGAAGACTGTCCAAAACACTTTTAAGTGCTCATACCAGTTGAAACTAATAATTTGAGTTTCCATGAATCACCGGAGCAAGTTACATGTAGCAGTTTCACATTGATTTTGTGACTGGATTTTTGAATTATCACAGCCTTCATCTTATTCAATGCAAATGTATATAAAAATTCAATTTTACAATCCTATTGTGCAAAGAAACACCCAGTTTAAAAAATTTGGCTTGATAATTAATCATGCCAAATAGATTTTTGATTTTACTCCTGGATAAGTATTAGTTTGCTTTTGATCAGGTTTGCCAATTAGCTATGTTATAGATAGAAGCTAAGTTCTGCTAAACGGTTTTACATGTACATCATTTTCATGTGCCAATTTTTGCAAATGCAAAGTCATTGCAAAAATTTAGAACTACCACATTGTCAATGACCCAATAATATTGAAAACTTTAATAAAAGCTCACAATCATTGTGTCAACAAACATGTAGAAAGGTGAAAGAAAACAAGGGAAAGTTTGGCTTAAAAAGGAGAAACAAACCTTTATTTTTTATAACGTAAAGATAAATTCATGCAATGTGCTCCAAGCTAACATTAATGTGCCTTGAAATTTCGTATTATCATTCAGCCAAGTCAATTTCTGGTTCAAAGAACCTTATGTATTCTACGGCTGCAGTTGCGCTCAGAAAGTTTAAGAAAAAGGTTTACAACAGAAATCGATGAATTAAAAGTTCATTCGAGTGTTGCTG